TTCACAGTGAACCGACGCTCCTCCACTCGTCTTACTAGGTATTCCTCAAGCAGTGAAAGCTGACATTGTATACATTTCAGCCCAACTTGTTTATGGGACGACACTTCGGCTTCCAGGAGAGTTCGTGGATCTAAACTCCTCCACGAGCAGGCTTACAAATGCAATGCCTTCAGTTTAATCTGTATCTACTCGACCGCGATTAACTGAAGTTTGCGTTCAACCTGACTTACGATATGGTACACACATCTTCGTTCGTCGAGACTCACATCGACGACCTCTCCAATCAGCATACGAAGGACCCTTCAAAGTTTTTCAACGCGAACCCAGGTACTACATAGTCGATGAGAACGGAACCAACGATAGCATCAGCATCGAGTGGAGTATTTGGAAGAAAGTCGTATTCACTTAGATTCGCCTTCGGTACAATCGCACGACTTCTACACTTATAATGCTTCAGCCAACAACCAACACACACGAAGATACTTTGCAAGTATCAGAAAATAAACCTAAAAGAACGCGTTGTGGAAAAAGAGTAAGATTTCCAGAACATTTGAACGATTATTACACGTAGGATACAAGTTGACATTTTATATCATCTCGATTTCTCTTTGTACTATATGCAATATAAAATAACAATTTTATTATGCTTTGTGTTTTTACGAGCGTGCGAGTGTATTTCGACATGCACTTACATTTCTTTCTTTTCCAGGACGACTGGAGAAGAACGATGAAGTCTACGAGTAACCGAAATTTGCATTGTACAATTTTTACTATATTGTACTACATGGTCCTTTATAGTAAGGAAAGACGACCAGACGCTGCTAAACTTAACAAGCTATCAGAAGAGTGTTTACCAACGACATACTCGTTAGGTTTACATTTCTGGCTGCCCACGTCTTAGGGTCATCACTACCCCACTAGGGGAGATCCGCAAGGTAAATAGCTGTGTAAGTTTTCGACATCGGATGCTGACCACATTAGTTTTAATTGACTCACCTAGCTGGAGGCACTCGGTCATGCATCCGCACCAGATCACGAGTGGGAACGCCGTGCTCAACAACCCCTGCAATCGCTAACCAGATTAGATCAGACGATCCGCGATATATTGGTAGCCTATCAAATATATCTTCGAACCTCCTCACTTCTGTCATTTGGTTTTACTTGGTGGGTACGCTTCATATTAGGTGTTACTGGTTAAAGCATTGTCAAACTCCGAATACATGTGGCATCTTCAACCAACAGGGCATGTTAATGGTTGCCAAGAATTCATCATTATATGACTGACACCTACCGGTATTTCAGCTTATTCCAGAGCAATTGAAATCCGTAAGTCAGCAAAACGAGCATAAATCTAGTTAACTGTTTAAAAATAGACAAAGAGGACTCACATCAACTCAGCGTATGTGGTGTGTTTTGCTATTCTCTCCCACTGATGGTGTTCAGGCCTTATGAAGGTAAGACTATTGGTAGTAGGTAAGAAATTCTGAAGTTTACCTGACCATCGTTTGGGATAGCAGTGAACGTCTGTTATGGTCGGTTACGGTTGGATAGCATAGATATGTCCAGTAAGTTGCTTCTCTAATTCAAGTGAAGACAAAGTAAGACATATGACTGCAGAGTTTTAACTGACATTACTTCAAAGAAAAATAAAACGAATTTCAGGGTATGGAGTGATTTAGACATGTAGAGGCCCAATGATATCTGAGTAGGACGCGAATGTGTTCGTGCGTGCTAGGAGTTCAGTGCAAACGAGGGATCCATCAATGTATGTAATTGAAATGCCATGAGTATTTTGGAGGGGACACTGTTCCACATTAATGAATACTTGACGAGCAGGAAGTTTCCTACAGTTGTTGTTTCGTATTTTTCAGCTTCCACTGCAGATACTTTATCTCAAAGTTGTATATGTGTAGGCCTTGGGTAGGAGCTATATTACAAGTGTAGTGAGATGAAAGTATGTTAAGTGAACCTAAGCCTATTTAGACGGATTCAATTCTTAGTAAATGGAACTGAGAGTGATAGTCAATGACTTAACTAATTTTAAGTACGTGATGAGTAAAATCGCATTGTATTACTTTCATCTTTATCATATCAGACTGGCGTAAGTTGGAAAATAAGAGCGGACAGTATTCAACGATAGGTCTCACACATATATTGTAAAGAATGATTTCTAACTCATATTGGAAGAAGTCACAAAGAATAGAGCCAAGAAATTTCTGCATTTTAGATAATTTGGTGGGGATATGTTTCGAGAAAATAAGTCTGTGTAATGTACACCTATGTCACTTACTAATATGAGTTTGGGTAGTGTTCTTGTTAAGTGTTATTTTAATTCTAACAGACTTACCTTCAATACATAGCCAACCACATTTCTTTGTGTTGAGTTCTAAGCTCCAGCGCTCACACCAGTCGTCCACCTTGTTGAGTTCATGATGAATTATTTGCACAGTACTACGTAAATTGCAAATGTTAGTTTTATAGACGACTTGTCAGTCATCAGTCTAAAGGAAGGTCTTATCAATGTTGAAGCATCTGTATATATTGTTGGTGTAGATCGTAAAATGCTGTGGACCCATTACACTACTCCGCACAAAATCACTGGTTATTGGTCCAGGTGTAGTTGTTGTGGAGTTAGTTCTGGTTATTTGGTATCTGTTCGTAAAAAAGACTTAATCCATGGCAATCTGTGGTTATCAACTCCAACTTATTGAAGTCTGTTTATATTTCTGCCAGGGCAGGTACACGCCATTTTTGCAGACATGGTCAATAAGTTACAGCATTAGTTTACTTACAGTATGCTTTCCAAGTAGGATCTTTAAATGGACGGAATCAATAAAAATAAAACAAAAAAATAGCCACACAGGAGTGCACTCCAATAACGGACTGGTCGGTAAACGCTAGCTCATCGACCGAAGAGGCATTGTCCGCATTTAAAGTTACACTAAGCTTAGTTACGTTTCGTTTATACTATGCTTAATAACACGTAGACTTAATGACTGCCCACCATAGATAACTAAAAAGGTGAAAAAATTCCCAGATGTAGAAAGAGCAATGTAATATGTTTGTCTCTTTAAGCTCTGGACTGTTGAGGTCTACTTATTGCGAGATTAGAGACGGATGTAAAGTGTTGATAAGCAAGGTTAGACTCCTTTATCAAAAACGAATAGTAAAAGATTATGAAAATTGTCCTTAATGGTTGTTCTTGTTCATGAAGAGGCAAATTCAGAGAAGTAATAGGATCCCATCACTTTTACTACAAGAACATAAGTTACTAATCGCAAGAATGTGGCAAAAGCCAAAGCTTCATCAGAATATTCTGGCTAAGTGTTTTCTACCAAAGGCGGCGAAAGACCAACAGTTAATTATAATAATTTCAGCTTTTCGATGGATCCCGTGGTTATGAGGAAGAGACCTATTTTACGAACACTTAAGCATCTAAAACCAGGCAAGTCCAGTGGTCACAACGATTTAATTGGCGATCATGGACCTGCAAGTCTAACCAGTTTAGTTGTTACACTAACAGAAAAGATTATTTGGATGGTTATCCCGAACCATGTAGCCGAGAATAATCTTTTGGCTGGGAAATAACATGGTTTTAATAAAGGTCATTCATGTTTGACGAATTTGCTTGTTACATAAAAACATTTGGCCACGGTGTAGGACATAGGTATTCTGGTAGGTGCTATTTCGACTGAGCTGAGTAATGTCTTTGGTAAAGTATCTCACCCTGGTCTTAATTAAAAACTGGAGATTTTCGGGATCCATTATGAAATCATATACCATATAAGTGATTTCCTTGGCGATAGACAAATGGTACGGATAAATAGGGTTCGACCAACTTGTCAACCTATGGAATTCGGCGTTCCTCAAAGTAGAACTATCAACCGTCTTCGTTTTTTATTTTGTGTAGATGATTTATGAACTGTAGGAAAGTCATTTGTTCTACTGTTTGCAGATGACAGAAATTTTTAGGCCTCTACACAGTATATCAGATAGAATAATATTACAGGATGAATTAAATTCAATAGCTGGATGGGTGAATATATGGTCTTTAGGAATAAAATCTAACAAGAGTGTAGCGATGCATGTCAACGATCCACATTACTACACAATATTTGGAGTTGTGTTACCTAAAGTAAAAGATTATAAAAGTCTAGGAGTTATGATAAACAGCGAACTGAAAACTACGAGTAAATAAAAGGCTGCTACTTCCAAAGGCTTTGTAGTCTTATGCGTTACGTGATAGCCGATGGTATCTAGAGACCTAACTCAAATTACATGATATAAAAACCCACAAAGATCTACTGAAGTGGTCAGAATTAGTGCAGTCCAGTGGTCAGACTAGAGCCATTTGAGCGTTAACAAAGACCCAGAGCTGTGTCGGAACAAAAATAAGAGAGCTAAAATAATCAATTGATCTATACCTGTTCATCAAGAAAGCATTGGAGAGTAGATATGATCCTCAACAAGGTTGCAAACTCTTGCGCCAAATTTGAGTTGTCATGTTTTCTCGCACTAGTTACTCCCAATAATCATTGTAAGTTCGTTTTGTAGGGTTACTGAGTCGTTTCCCTTTGTTATTGCTTCTTCCACTCTCAGATTCCCTCATCCCGATCCCCCTATTTTGGAGGAAATTTTGTCCGGTCTGGGTAAATTTAGGATAAATCTCTACAGAGAACTTTAAGATAATGGCACAAAACCTCGAAATCTCTCTGAATGAGGGAAAAATCCCTGAAATGACTGAGAGAAGCACACAACTTTTCTCGGAATCATCTAACATTTTGGGTTTTTTCAAAGTTTGGGGAAGACTACTATATTTCTTATGACATCCCAAACAACACAAAAAAGGGGAAATAAAGGGGAAAAAAGGGTAAATGCTATGGTAGCGAAAGGGGAAACATAGGGGAAAACGCGCCAGAATGTCGCCTTTTTCGCCTGTCCGGGGGAAATAATGCGGATTTTCCCCTTTTTCGCCTTTTTGTCGACAAATTACGGACTTATCGCCTAAATATCCGCTGAATTGTCGCATTTTCGCCTAAATATCCGCTGAATCGTCGCATTTTCGCCTAAATATCCGCCGAATTGCCTACTTATGCGCTTAATTGTCTACTTTTCGCCTAAATACACACATTACCTACTATTTTCTATCCATCGACAGAACCCCAAAGGTCTCCTATGTTCGCCTTTATTTTCAACAACAGACCAAAATATATCTGCAATGCAGTGGAAAAGCGGTAAATATTTCAAAAATTTTATTGAAAAAGAAAAGCGTATTATTGTACAACAGTAGAGCACAAGCTGAAGCATCGATTGTTATGCATATCCAATGCAATTGCTAATACATTGTTATTTGAAATTATCTGAAAAAGAACGAACAGGTTATAATGTATTCATAAGAAATGTGCATTTAATCAATAGTTCACTGAAACTCAAACACACATTCTCAACACTTCAACAGTTTCCCATGTAGGTAAAAGAGTAAGCTGTTTGAAAGAATAATGTTTATTGAAATCGAGGTACAGCATCAAAGCAATTGCACGGACTAATCCGAATTGGGGTAGTCGTCCTGTGAATTCTGAATTTTAAAAAAAAAACAAAAAAAAGTCACAACCATATCTCAATGACATGCTTTTGCACAACCAAATACTTGAAGCTGAACTTACGGTTATGTTCGTCAGTATTGTTGACTGTAACTATAGAGCCGTAGGGAGGTTATCACTTTAAATTAGTACCTACCTGATTTTCTTTTCTTCTATTTCGTTTTATCATCTTGTCTCGGAGGTCGTGAAAGTAACCTTGTGTCGCTATGTCGTATAGCTTACCAAGGTCTTTCTCATTTACAGAGGATGACAAAAAACGATGAGTTAAGGCACCTGAAGTTTAAGTAATAGATATAGGTTACTTCGTATGCAGCTGTAAAATGTGCATTTATGTAGTGCTCGTTTAGAAGAGGTGCCAAGTAACGTGAATTTACTGGCAACCTCCGGTGTCAGCAGATGCGACAGAATAAAACGCATGGACGTTTTTGGATCGTCACCTGATAACCTAGTGACCATTGCCATCTGTAATAGTAACAAATTATTAAATTCATGTCAATGACTTACAAATCTGTCCCTGGTTTCTTTCTGCGACAAACCAGTATCTAGCATCTGTAGTTCCTCTTCAGATGACAAAGGGAACTGCTGACTTGACAGTCCGCAATCGAATTCATGCGGTCTTTCGCGCTCATTAGACTTTGAAAGCAATTGGTTAACATTAACATTCAAGTTCTTAATGGCGGACGACATGTTGTTAATCGTTTTAGTCAAGTCATTGATAGCTGACGAAATCTTCAGCACCACAGTATACAACCTATCACAGGTGAAAAAGGTCACTAGATGATGCAGTTTACTTACTGGTCCAATACAGCGCCACCAACATGCTTACATTCCGATGTGGATGGTGATGTCTCTAATTGTGTTGAACTAAATAGTGAATATCTAAATAGTAATTAAACGTACTTGGCGATTGGAGATATCACTTTGTCGAAAACACGAAATTTGGGATATTGTACGCGGATATTCCCAGCCTGCATCTCAGCCACATCCATGTCTACTGAATTGTAAAGAAAATCTTCTTTACGTTTCATTACACCTCTAGGAAATGTTAGTAAGATTATTGTACAGACCTCTTGGGCTTCTCAGTGTTATGTGGCAGAGTGTTTTCATCCGTTGAAGTGTTTTCAAGGTGAGATTGCAGTATTTGCAGGGAAGCTAACAGATCTTTTGCAGACTGCAGAGATTCTATAGTGAATTATAGTTTCCATGATTGTAGCTTACCTAATTCATGAATAACTTTACACTTCATAAGTGACCAATTGTCATTAGGTTGGTCGCACTTCTGAAGGTGTATATCGACCATCTCATTCGGAAAAGCGCAAAGGTCATTGCCAACTATCCAGTCCTTTGATGCTATCATAAGTTGTTTTTTTTTAGGGCGTCAACAATAACGTATTTCTTGTTAGTGGGCTGAAAAGAACATAAGACGTAAGTAAATGGTTTATCATCATTAATTAAACACTAATGAAACGAAATGCATTTACAATAAAGTATGCAACAATGGGATTACAACTATGTAATTGGTACAATTGATGGCTATACATTTACAATCAATGTCCTTAACTGAAACCCATGTGTATTCATGGCTAACTACGGAGCACATAAAGATTCCAATATCACTAGATGGGAAAGGATCTTCAAAGTAATTGCGTGGGTCAATGAAAGTCCTAAATTTTAGTAGTCCATCCTCCTTTATGTCAGTAACTAAACCGGGCTGGCCGTTAACTACTACTACATTATCCGGTTTATATGAACTTATTTTGCTGTTGTTAAACATAATTACTTGTTTAATGGAGACATCATTAGCGCCTATTGTGGTAGTATTTGTTAAACCACTAATTTGAAGCCTATCCCTGAAGGACATTCTCTCAGCATAACACTGTGCTGCTTGCTTAGCTACTGCAAACCCACCACGCACGGAATTCTTAATTTGTCTCATATAAGACTCGAATGGAAAGGCTGAAAAACTATCTAAAGGTCCATGTGCACGAACGTCGTCAGGGAGGTGCTGTAACGAATTCACATTGTAAACTAAGTTTTCACACCCATAACACCATGCGTATTCATTTAGGAAGTTTAGTAAATCTAATCCGAAATTACATAAAAATGTTGTAGAAACCGCCAAATTAGATTTACTAAACTTCCTAAATGAATACGCATGGTGTTATGGGTGTGAAAACTTAGTTTACAATGTGAATTCGTTACAGCACCTCCCTGACGACGTTCGTGCACATGGACCTTTAGATAGTTTTTCAGCCTTTCCATTCGAGTCTTATATGAGACAAATTAAGAATTCCGTGCGTGGTGGGTTTGCAGTAGCTAAGCAAGCAGCACAGTGTTATGCTGAGAGAATGTCCTTCAGGGATAGGCTTCAAATTAGTGGTTTAACAAATACTACCACAATAGGCGCTAATGATGTCTCCATTAAACAAGTAATTATGTTTAACAACAGCAAAATAAGTTCATATAAACCGGATAATGTAGTAGTAGTTAACGGCCAGCCCGGTTTAGTTACTGACATAAAGGAGGATGGACTACTAAAATTTAGGACTTTCATTGACCCACGCAATTACTTTGAAGATCCTTTCCCATCTAGTGATATTGGAATCTTTATGTGCTCCGTAGTTAGCCATGAATACACATGGGTTTCAGTTAAGGACATTGATTGTAAATGTATAGCCATCAATTGTACCAATTACATAGTTGTAATCCCATTGTTGCATACTTTATTGTAAATGCATTTCGTTTCATTAGTGTTTAATTAATGATGATAAACCATTTACTTACGTCTTATGTTCTTTTCAGCCCACTAACAAGAAATACGTTATTGTTGACGCCCTAAAAAAAAACAACTTATGATAGCATCAAAGGACTGGATAGTTGGCAATGACCTTTGCGCTTTTCCGAATGAGATGGTCGATATACACCTTCAGAAGTGCGACCAACCTAATGACAATTGGTCACTTATGAAGTGTAAAGTTATTCATGAATTAGGTAAGCTACAATCATGGAAACTATAATTCACTATAGAATCTCTGCAGTCTGCAAAAGATCTGTTAGCTTCCCTGCAAATACTGCAATCTCACCTTGAAAACACTTCAACGGATGAAAACACTCTGCCACATAACACTGAGAAGCCCAAGAGGTCTGTACAATAATCTTACTAACATTTCCTAGAGGTGTAATGAAACGTAAAGAAGATTTTCTTTACAATTCAGTAGACATGGATGTGGCTGAGATGCAGGCTGGGAATATCCGCGTACAATATCCCAAATTTCGTGTTTTCGACAAAGTGATATCTCCAATCGCCAAGTACGTTTAATTACTATTTAGATATTCACTATTTAGTTCAACACAATTAGAGACATCACCATCCACATCGGAATGTAAGCATGTTGGTGGCGCTGTATTGGACCAGTAAGTAAACTGCATCATCTAGTGACCTTTTTCACCTGTGATAGGTTGTATACTGTGGTGCTGAAGATTTCGTCAGCTATCAATGACTTGACTAAAACGATTAACAACATGTCGTCCGCCATTAAGAACTTGAATGTTAATGTTAACCAATTGCTTTCAAAGTCTAATGAGCGCGAAAGACCGCATGAATTCGATTGCGGACTGTCAAGTCAGCAGTTCCCTTTGTCATCTGAAGAGGAACTACAGATGCTAGATACTGGTTTGTCGCAGAAAGAAACCAGGGACAGATTTGTAAGTCATTGACATGAATTTAATAATTTGTTACTATTACAGATGGCAATGGTCACTAGGTTATCAGGTGACGATCCAAAAACGTCCATGCGTTTTATTCTGTCGCATCTGCTGACACCGGAGGTTGCCAGTAAATTCACGTTACTTGGCACCTCTTCTAAACGAGCACTACATAAATGCACATTTTACAGCTGCATACGAAGTAACCTATATCTATTACTTAAACTTCAGGTGCCTTAACTCATCGTTTTTTGTCATCCTCTGTAAATGAGAAAGACCTTGGTAAGCTATACGACATAGCGACACAAGGTTACTTTCACGACCTCCGAGACAAGATGATAAAACGAAATAGAAGAAAAGAAAATCAGGTAGGTACTAATTTAAAGTGATAACCTCCCTACGGCTCTATAGTTACAGTCAACAATACTGACGAACATAACCGTAAGTTCAGCTTCAAGTATTTGGTTGTGCAAAAGCATGTCATTGAGATATGGTTGTGACTTTTTTTTGTTTTTTTTTTAAAATTCAGAATTCACAGGACGACTACCCCAATTCGGATTAGTCCGTGCAATTGCTTTGATGCTGTACCTCGATTTCAATAAACATTATTCTTTCAAACAGCTTACTCTTTTACCTACATGGGAAACTGTTGAAGTGTTGAGAATGTGTGTTTGAGTTTCAGTGAACTATTGATTAAATGCACATTTCTTATGAATACATTATAACCTGTTCGTTCTTTTTCAGATAATTTCAAATAACAATGTATTAGCAATTGCATTGGATATGCATAACAATCGATGCTTCAGCTTGTGCTCTACTGTTGTACAATAATACGCTTTTCTTTTTCAATAAAATTTTTGAAATATTTACCGCTTTTCCACTGCATTGCAGATATATTTTGGTCTGTTGTTGAAAATAAAGGCGAACATAGGAGACCTTTGGGGTTCTGTCGATGGATAGAAAATAGTAGGTAATGTGTGTATTTAGGCGAAAAGTAGACAATTAAGCGCATAAGTAGGCAATTCGGCGGATATTTAGGCGAAAATGCGACAATTCAGCGGATATTTAGGCGATAAGTCCGTAATTTGTCGACAAAAAGGCGAAAAAGGGGAAAATCCGCATTATTTCCCCCGGACAGGCGAAAAAGGCGACATTCTGGCGCGTTTTCCCCTATGTTTCCCCTTTCGCTACCATAGCATTTACCCTTTTTTCCCCTTTATTTCCCCTTTTTGTGTTGTTTGGGCTCCCCTAAATATTCTAGGTGTTTCCATTATATTCTCCGGTAAACCAACGTTTTGACTTCGTCCAACTAGGTAAGGTTAGTTCATGTTTAATAATTCACACCCTGCGAAATTTTCAACACAAGTCGCGAAAGAAGGATAGTCTCAGCTAGATGCCTCCGTTATGACAATGAGATATGAATGTCTGATTTCATTTCAAAACTTAGTGTCCAATTCTAGCCGCATAGATTACACCAAAACATTTGAAATACATCCCCAGGGTGTCGTGAGTCATCGACTCCACTTTTAGTCTGTTTTCCAGATTTACCCACACTGCTCATCACGTTCCTGTAACATAATTTGGCTTCCAACTAAACATAAATTATATATGTACACCCGATTAGACGATTCACTTCTAGGGCAATTCCATTCGTTTGATCAGGTTGCACATTACATTTATTTATTTATTTGAACATATAAATATTGGTACAAAGGGGCATCGAATACGAGTCACAAGTCAATGGTTTTGTGTGGGCTATGATACTGCCGGGGTGCCCAAACTGAACGGGTTGTTTTCCTTATGTAGTCAGACCTCAAGCCTTTGACCTTCAGGTCTAGTCCGCAAGACTGTAGAGCAACGTCAGGAAATGCAGTCCCATGGTAGCCGGTGACTCGTAATTGGTTCATACTCCATTTGCTCCTTCAGGATCCTGGAGTCCATGTACACCATTGGTTTGGAGTCGGGGTTTCCCAACTCCCCTAGGTGGATCCTTTATATCCACCAACCCGGTTAGAGCGCTGGGCATTCGCTTTTCGTTCTCTCGATTTTGTAAACAACACCCTCGTCGCTCGAAGGCAGAGTAGGGCTTACCTGATAGTGGTTGTGTGCATGTGGCCATGCGAGAGCATTTCGAGTGGGAGAAGCTACTCTCCCCACTCTCGGTCGTACCAGGGCATTTTGGGGCCTGTCTAACTAAACGGGGGAGTAAAAACTCAAAAAGATAGAGACAGGTCGTTGCCTTCTCATCGTTGCTGCCGTCCTTCCCAATGATTATAGCTTGAGTGAAGTTAACGATGAGATTTATGAGCTTTCCCGTCCTACTTTATGGCAGTGAAACATGGCCGGTAAGAGTAGAGGATATTCGTAGGCTACTAGTATTTGATCATAGGTGTCTTCGAAATATTGCTCGTATATCATGTGACCATCGAGTAAGTAACACAGTTGTTAGGAAACGGGTACTAGGTAAGGATGGCAAATCAATTGATGAAGTAGTGAAACTTCATCAGTTGAGATGTCTGGGACACGTGTTACGTATGCCCAACGACCGACTGCCTCGACGTGCTATGTTCAGTGGTATAGGAGTAGGTTGGAAGAAAGCTAGGGGCGGCCAGACCAAAACATGTCACAAGTCCATGAAGTCACTGACAAGTGAACTGAGTCATGTTGGTAGGTGTAGATTACCTGGTTGGGGACCGCGAGATGATAGCAACCGATGGTTAGAGACCCTGAATGACATGGCTCAAAATCGTTTGCAATGGTGTAAGCAGGTGCATCCACTCTTTGTGTTCTCTCAAATTCTAATCTTTTGAATTCTTTATGTCCCTTTCTTCCTCTTTCCAAATTTATTTCACTGGATTATACTCTTTAAATAACATCTTCAAACCCTAATCTTCCCGATTACTGCTTATACTTTGATTACCTCTACCACTACGGGATTTGAATCGACCACTGCATCTCTGTGCTAATGTGGTGTGGCAACTCGAACTGATGTACGTACGTACGAAGTTCTACGTTGTTACTGACTGACTGACTTATGAGCTTTCCGACGCTCTGATTTAGTACTAGTGGCAGGTAATTTTAGTGCTCAAGTAGGTAAACTAAACCAATCGGAAAGGCACTTAGGCGGATCTTATGATGTTGCGGCTCAGCGAATAGATAATGGTGACCACCTGTTGCAACTATGCTCAGATAACCATCTATTTCTGAGAAAAACTAACTTTAAACGTAAAGAGAAGCGTTGTCTGACGTGATGACGTCCACATTCAACTCAGTGATGGACCTAAGTAGACCACATTGCTATCAGCCATTGTTGAAGTGGCTCGATAAAAGTTTATCACTCATTCTGGATGGTGTGAGTTTTCCGATTCTCAGTGAGGCTGAAAGTGATATAGGGAAACTACAGCGATGGAGGACAGCAGGGCCTGACGGACTCACATCTCAGATTTTTAAGGATGGTGTTCCGTAAGAACTCGGAAGGATAGGGACACACGTCGTTGCCTTTTCGTCGTTTCTGCCTACGCTCCCACTGACTGCAGCTCAGATGATGTGAAAGATGAATTTTACAGAAAGCTGTCCGAACTTCTTCAGAAAGCTAAACGCTCAGACATAGTACTCGTAGGGGGTGACTTTAATGCTCAGATAGGTAGTTTAAACCAAACAGAAAGGCATTTAGGTAGATATTTTAGCATTCCGGCACAGCGAACAGATAATGGTGACCGTCTACTGCAACTGTGCTCAGACAATCGCTTATTTTTAGCAAACACAAATTTTAAGCATAAGGAGAGACATCGTCTAACGTGGCGACCGCCTGCACCAAGCCAACGATGGACTCAAATAGACCATATTGCCATCAGTCGTCGTTGGAGAGGGTCGGTAGAAGATTGTCGCTCATTCTGGAGTACCTGCTTGGACTCCGACCACGCCCTAATACGGGCACGCAACTGCTTGCGCCTCACTGGACGCAAAAAAGCCACAGTAAAAAGACCCATTAGAACCGAACTGAGTAGCGAGGAAACCAAAAGTAGGTTCCAGGAACAACTGAGGTCACGATTAAGTAGTTCTGAAGACGAGTCTGACCCAGATGTTGCTTGGAAAGATATACAAGCAGCTGTGGAAGCAGCAGTGACATTTATTAGCGACTTAAACCACAGAGTTTCAAAGAACCAGTGGATTTCTTCAAAGTCTATCACACTGATGGATTCTCGCAAACTCGTCCCATCAGGTTCCAAACATGATGAAGAGCGACAACAAATCAGATCTAGATTAAGAAAAAGTTTAAGAAACGACCGTGAGCAGTGGTGGGCAACGAAAGCAAAAGAGATGGAAAAGGCGGCGACTATCGGGAACACAAGACAGCTTTACAGACTAATAAAAGAAACTGGAATCAATAAGTCAAGTGTAAGTGAGATTATATCAGAAAAAGACGACACTCTCATCTGCTCTCAGTCCAGACGTCTAGAACGATGGGCGGAACATTTCAGAGAACAGTTCAGCTGGCCTTCAGCTACTCTACAACTACCCTCCATTCCCAGACAGTGTGAATGGAACATTGAAGTAGGTCCCCCAACTCTTGCTGAAGTTCAAAAGGCTATAGTTAATCTGAAACGAGGAAGGGCAGCTGGTCCAGATGGATTGGCTCCAGAGGTCTTTAAGGATGGTGGTCCAATTTTAGCGACTAGGTTGACTAATATTTTAGCTAAAATCTGGGAGTTAGACGTTATTCCATCTAACTGGTCACAATCACTTATCGTCCCAATATATAAGAAAGGGTCAAAATCATCCTGTGACAACCACAGAGGGATTAGTTTAACTAATATAATATCTAAAATACTAGCATTGATAATTACCAGACGCCTAACTAAGACTCGTGAACTGCAAACACGAGAGACTCAAGCTGGCTTCAGACCTGATCGTGGCTGCATCGACCACATATTCACCATTCGTCAGATTCTAGAACACAGGCATACTTATCGGCGTCCGACAATGGTGGTCTTTCTTGACTTAAAAGCAGCATTTGACTCGGCAGACCGCGAGATTCTGTGGCAGTGTCTGTCATTGAAAGGCGTACCCCAGAAGTACATAAACCTTGTGAAGGCTCTTTACTCGAACACTACCAGTCGAGTCAGAGCTTATGGCGAACTGTCATCTACTTTTGCAACCTCAAGTGGTGTCCGTCAAGGCTGTCCACTTTCCCCATTTTTGTTTAACTTCATCATAGATCTACTGATGGAAATAACACTCTCGTCGACTGAGTTCTCGGGTATTGATCTCTATCCAGGAGGTCCACTTATCGACTTAGAATACGCAGATGACATAGTCCTGTTTGGTGAAGACGCTGACAAAATGCAGAGTCTTTTGGTAGCACTAAACAACAATGCCAGAATGTTTGGAATGCGCTTCTCTCCCTCTAAATGCAAGTTGTTGCTTCAGGACTGGTCTGCGTCAACACCTGAACTAAGGATAGGGAGTGAAGTAGTGAAACGCGTTGACAACTTCACTTATCTTGGAAGTCTGATCAGCCCTAATGGGTTGGTATCGGACGAAATCTCAGCACGGATTCGTAAAGCTCGTTTGGCTTTTGCCAACTTACGTCACCTTTGGCGAAGGCGAGATATCCGTCTATCAATAAAAGGACGAGTATACTGCGCGGCAGTCCGTTCTGTTTTAATTTACGGCAGCGAAACATGGCCATTAAGAGTAGAAGACACTCGTAAGCTATTAGCATTTGACCACAGATGCCTTAGAAATATTGCCGGCGTCTGCTGGGATCACCCGGTAAGTAATAGTTAGGTTAGACTCAAGGTATTAGGAGATGATGGTAAATCAGTTGATGAGGTCGTGAATCTTCATCGACTAAGATAGTTGGGCCACGTGTTACGTATGCCTGAACACCGATTACCACGACGTGCAATGCTAACCGGTGTTGGAGATGGTTGGAAGAAAGTTAGGGGCGGCCAAACCAAAACGTGGCATCAGTGCTTGAAGTCACTAACTTCCAGTCTGAGCCATGTTGGTAGATGCAGACTACTTGGTTGGGGTCCGCGTGACTATCGTAACCAATGGTTGGAGACTCTTGGTGACATGGCTCAGAATCGATCACAATGGCGTCGGTGTATACACTCCCTGTCTTCCCTTAAACTAATAGATTAAAATCGCTTCATATCTTTCTTTCTACGAACCAATTCTTTCTTCTTGTACTATATCTCTATATGCAATCTTTCTCTTATATATTACTACCTTTGACCTAACCACTGCTATGAATCCGGTGTTCATCTTGTTGTGCTGATGCGGTATGGCAACCTGGACCGATGCACATATGTGCCTGGTCCTACGTTGTAGCTGACTGACTGACTGACTGTTCCAGGTTTAGCACTTAAATGAACTGAGATTTTAGCTAAAATCTGGGAACTGGATGTAATACACTTTGACCAGTCTCGGTCGTTAGTCGTCCCAGTTCATAAGAAACGATAAAATGTTGTGACAATCACAGAGAATTCAGTCTGACTACTATAATATCTAAACTAGTTTCAATAGTAATCCGAAGCTTCGCTACGGTTCGCGAATAGCAATCCTGATAGAACAAGGCTGGTTCCAAACGTAAACATGGATGTATAGACTAAATATTCACCACTCGGCAAATTTTCGAACGTAAACATACCTGTCGGCGTCCGACAATAGTTGTATTCCTTGACCTAGTATTTTGGGATCACGGAGTAGGCAGTGTCTGGGTCAAGCATAGAGTACTAGTTAAATATACAAAGCTTCTGTTGAAGTGGTTAAGACATGTGTTATGTATGTCCGACTACGGCCTACCTCAACGGGTGATGTTGTATGGTGCATGAGCAGGCTGGAAGAGAGCAAGGGTCAGGCAAACGAACACGGGATTAGTCCATAAAGTCACTGAAAATTGAACTGAGTCATTTTGGTAGGAGTAGGCTACTTGGTTGGGGTCCGTGTGACCATCATAACCAGTGGTTAGGCTTTGAATGGCATGACTCAAAATCGTTTGCAATGGCTCAAGTGTATCTATTCTTTGTCTTCCCCGAAATCCTGAGCTTTTAATAACTCATAAGTTTTTTGTCTTTTTATTTCCTTAACTTGTAACCTCTATCCCTAGTCTTCTAAATCACCACTAATAATGTTACTACTTGTACTACTTTGGGATTTGGCCCGACCATTTTATTCTCTCTGTGCTAATGGGGCATGTCGAATTGAATCAACGTACATATTTACAGGTTCTATATTGTAACCGACTAATAAGAGGTTGATGCAATACTCATTCCATAGATTTTACAACTATGCAATATGGAGATATTAGTCCATAAATAGGTGTAAACACTTATTATTTTTCACTCAGGCAGTTGATTGAAAGTTGGAAATCTGGACAACAATTTTGAGAAAACTAGACTGATTGCAAACCCGTATGTGGATCCGCAGACCGAAATTTTGTCCTCTACTGGGTTGTGAGTTAGACATGTCTAATGAATCCCAATCATATCCATATTTCTTGACCTTAAGGTAGTATTCAACTCAGTACATCGATAAATTTTGTGGTTGTCTGCCATTGAAAGGAGCACCAAAGAAATGTATTAACTTTGTACAGGCTCTCTACTCTAACACTGCTGGTCAATTTATGGCGAAACGTTATCGGGATTGATAACTTCAAGCGATTTATGTCAGGGTTCGGTTTTTCCATCATTTTTAACTTTATTGTATACATTTGTTTACAGATAAGGCTCCAATTACCTGACTTTTTAAATGTTGATCTACTAGGAGACCCACTAATTGACGCTACTTACTTTACTTACGTGTTACCTCTTGTGGAGCATAGGCCGCACTATTTAACACAGTACACTCAAATGACATTGTTCTGTCCAGGGAGGACTCTAACGACCTGCAGTCTTCTAATCACCTTGATCAACATTTATTTATTTGAACATATAAATATTGGTACAAAGAGGCACCAAATATATATGCGCCATACAATAACAATGAGAATGAGAGATAGAGAATGTAAATTGCGTATAAGAAAAAAGGAGAACAATAACGAACAGAAATTAGTTTATGATAGTGAAATAATAATAGTGGGAAAAGCAGTTCAGTTAGCAGAAGTACAACCAGAAAAATTCTTCCAGTTAAAGAAGTTACGTCCATTTTTTATGAAGCTAAAGAAAATTATAGCAGGATCGCCACTGGCCTCTATTTTGAGTTATATCGGTTAACGTCTTAAGCCACCATCTCTAGAACCCCAACCAGGGAGTCGTGATGGACCAAGAGAAGCCAGTCCTGTACAGCTTTCTTTCATACCGCGACACCATATCATACACTGACCACCTCTCCCCTTTTTCCAACCAGTCCCAGCGTCGGCAAATAATGCACGGGGACGACAGTATCACAGCCCACACACAAACAAGTGACTTGTGACTGGTATTCGGTGCTCCTTTGTACTAATATTTGTGTTCAAATAAATAAATAAATAAAAACAGGGTCCTGCCAGTCTTGTCAAAGTACTTTGCACTTGGAAGGTGCAAAACACATACCATACCTACAGACACTAATTGTCAACTGATAAAGGGCAGATTGCATGACTTTGGTATTATTGCGCAATAAAATAATATCACCTGCATACTCAAGGTCGAGAATTTCTCCAGGCAACAGACCTACGCCACCATTCCCTACATCCATCAGAGCCGTTTCCAGAACATCATTGTTAGCAAAGTTGGAGAGGAATGGTGAGATAGGGAAACCCTGTCTAAACCCAAAGCTTGAATGGAACAATGGAGAGAGGTGGTTGTATGCCCTCACTTTGGCTGATGTGTTTGTATATCGGGTTTATAAAATGTTAATAAACTTCTCAGGCACACCGTTCCTCAATAGACAATCCCAGAGGACAGTCCTGTATAACGAAGCGAAAGCAGCGGTAGCTGATGGCGATGTGATCAACCGGAGTCCGTGGTTGAGATGCAGAGGGGGGACACAAGGCGGCACGTCGGCGATGACTGTGTCGGTAGTTAGTGATAGCCAGAAGCAGGTTGTGGTCTGCGCACGTTTGCAGTAAACGGTCCCTCTTATCTAACCTGCGACCAACAAGTCCTCATCGGTTACCTGGACGACTCTCTTCTATGGAAGAATGTTTGTGTCGGGATGCTTTTCTTTACTGTCACGTTCACTCATCCACAGCGTGCTACTAAGATCTGTCATCATAATCTATTCTGTGATGGTTCCTATGTGATATTGCTTCTACTGGACCGACCCTATGTTATGGAGATATCACAGTATATGAAAGATTTTCAGTATGTCCAGTAGGGTGTATGACGATTGGGTCAGAAATTGCCCTTCGAATTCGATTTCTGTAGTTATTTTTGTTTAAAAGACTGTGGATGTTGAAATCTTCCTCCAATGTGATATAAGAAACGTGCTTTTTGAGAATCCGTTTGGTGAGTTTTATCAATTAATGGTTTAGTTTTCGAGCGTCCCGCAATTTTATATAAAACGACTATCAGAAAAGAACCTTTATCGCTCTTTAGAATCCATTACAGTACATCTCTAATGCTTAACCTACGTATCCATACTTGATGTTGTTATTAGTTTACCTGTGCTTATTTTTACGAATTCTAACACCGTCTTGTAAATATTTTAATTAATTACTTCAGCAGGTGCTTGATTGTGGACGATATTCTAAATGTGATAAATAATTTTACTACTCGGGTTCCCAAAGCGAAGTAGTTAAAGCTAGACTCGAATCTGGATTTTTGTTGTTAAACGTCACTAAGCCGCCTGTTCTGGTAAACTGTCAAACTCAAACAAACTTGGAAAGTCACAGTCACCGTTCTTAAAAAACTGCACGTTTCTTGTATTACTTACTCACTGGTTCATTCGTAGCTGCCAGTGTATGATTTCAGATGGTTTTGTAAATTTCTATAGCATAAGCAACACTCCAAATCAAGATATAAACTAACTTTCACAGAAGTGAAGCGTCAAGAGTAATAAAGACATTAAATATGGAGTTATATTCATAATAATCTCAGCGACTGAAGTCTCAATAGTTCTATCGTTAACTACCATTCAGTCAACAACTCATTAGGTGTCTTCAAACCATCATGAAACGAATTATGCAATCATATCCATGAGTTAAAATATAAGATCTAATTCCCAGTAAAATAAGTTTTATAACTATAATTTATTTGAGTTCAAGACACGATATTTTTCACATCTGACTAACTCAAACTCTTGTTAAACTCATTTCATTTATCCGTAAAGTGCTAAATGGATTTAAGATCATGTTACCATTCAAAGTTGACAGATTTTCTGTTAGTCATCGACTTTTAAGTATTCATTTACTGACCCTAAATACATACAAAACAAAGCAAAACGAAAGCGGTTATGGAAACATGTAATCAGTACGTGTGAAATGGTAATCATTGTAAGAAGATAGAAATTCTATTTCATGGTTTATTAAGGGTATTTACATTACAAATGTCGCTTTACATCGTGGTTTACCTTGAAGTCGGAAACAACATAACAGCAATAAAAGAACTTGCAACCATATTAGGTGATCCCAAGTTTTACGAACAAAAAAGTAGTAAGAATGAATTGTCTCAATTTAGTCAACCAAAACTAAGCGGTTACATTTTCTAAACAAGGCTGTTAAAACACTTAGATAGTGTTATACAAAAGTCAGTTTTATATTTTTAAAATCTAACTTTTTCAAATATTGAGTTTTCAGTTTAACAGTTCTACATCTTTTAGTTTCAGAATGAACAATGTTAACAGTGAGGACCCCACCCGTCAGGTTTATTCAGAATTAGGAAACTTTATCCCGACTGGATATCAGGAAAATTATGATTGTGAATTATCACAAAGCACTGTTGCTGCTGGCAGTTGTGGTGTTGGGAATCATTTGCCTATTTTTCAAAATATGTTGAGTCAAGTCGATGAAAAACCGAAAATACTATTGATGGGTTTAAGAAGGTTTTATTCCCTTATGTTAATATGTTGACCTATTATTTATAGAAGTGGTAAATCATCGATTCAACGGGTTGTTTTTCACAAAATGGCACCAAACGAAACATTGTTTTTGGAAAGTACCCACAAAATTGAAAAGAATGGTAGCATTTTTTATGATTTTTTTTAAAGGTATAACTTTTCAGACGTATCTGAATGCTCCTTTATCAAATTTCAAATATGGGATTTTCCTGGTCACATTGATTTTTGTGATGAGACCTTTCAATCTGAAGCTATATTTTTAGCTTCTTGTGCTATAATTTTCATTATCGATGCTCAGGTAAAGTATTAACTAAATGTGTATTGTATTTTGTTTGGCTTTTAATATTATTCTGTGAATTTGAAGCTACTATTAACAGCGCGAGTCCGTTATTAAACACTAGTGGACTTTGGTTTTGTTAAAGTGTCTCCTTTTGTAGCGGGTAATTCAAATAAATAAGCTAAGCCAATTAAAGCAATGTTTATATAGGCTTGTAATTCCACGTCATCGAATGGATAACGTCGGTTTTCTTCACTAAGCATACTCAATGAACTGTATTTTTAGAGATCCCTGACATCTGTTACAAAGGTTCAAAAGGCAACTTTTAAAACACGTTCTTAAACTTTGATTTATACTGTGTGCACATGTTCGTTTGTGACAGGCATTATAAAGCTTAACACGAAATTACAACTATGAGTAAAAATTGAATAGATACAATAAATAAGGATCAGAATGTTCATCTTTCTATGATATTGTCGGATTTACATTCTAATGTAAAAACAAAAGTGATGGTCGTGGATAATATAACATTAGTATCTAGGATAGGTTTGACATTTTCAGAAGTCTCTGGTAAATTAAAAAATTCTGGAAGCGTTTGTAGATATGAAACAAGAACCAAAATAGTGTGATCTCTTGTATTCTGTATTTTTGATAGAATTCAATTTCTGTGTCATTAAGAACGCATTACAACAAATGCTTGAATTAAATCAACAACATGCAAAGCGAGAACTAGCTGCTTTGCTGACTCACTAACCGTCTTCAGATCCTATACCAGAAGATGAAGAGCCAGTAAACGAACTTGATTCGAGTGGAAAGGATGAAGATGGACAGGAAGTTAGTGATGGAGAACCACAATATAAAAATAGAGATGTAAGAAGAGAATAGTAGAATCTTGTAATGTACATATATATTGGTCATCATTATAGTTTACTTCCATCAAAGGTGACTTTTTGCTACCTTGTACACATATGTAAATGATTTGCGTATATATGACACATGCAAAATCCTACATGAATTTCTTGTCCGTTCATTTTTATTCGAAGCTGTTATCATTGTGTTCTGGATGCAGTGTGCTTCCTAGTTTATTTTTTTTTTGCAAAACCTCCTGCTTATATTTTATTGATCATCAGCTCATCCCAACTTGACGATTTGATATTTTACTTTTCTGCTTTATAAGAATAAAGAGACATACATATAAGTTAATAATAATTTGTAATGAGTATGAAAATTGTTTTTATCAGTGCAATAGGTGTTGTCAGGGTCAGTTGAAGTTCATGCAGTACAAACCAGTTTTGTGTTATTTTCAGTAATCTTTAGAAGTTATTGTATTAACGACGGATATTACCAATACTGTATATATATCTGTGGTGAGATGACTGCGGTCGTCGTAATAGATTATAATTGAATACTTGATAAAATGCATATGATTCAGTTTCCTCGGTTTTTAATTGCTAGTTATATGTCAAATATTTATATTATTGATCGTTACTTTAATTCTGTAGGATGATTATCATGCGGCTTTAACCCGCCTACATGCTACTTTAGAATCAGCGTTCCGTTTTAATATGAATATTAAATTTGAAGTATTTATTCATAAAGTTGATTGTTTATCAGATGATCAAAAAATGGATATACAACGAGATATTACTCAACATGTAACAAGTGTCTTAGAGGATTTATTGTGCGAACAACCGTCGAATGCTGGAATTAGTATAGGGTAAGTGTAAGCTTAATGTTAATACTATTTATAGATTATTAGTTTAATCACTATCTCTAAAATATTTCGTTAATCACATCGAGCTCAAAGACTAATTGTTATGACGGGTGTGACTGCAGGTTTTGATAAGCAGCGTTTATTATCGATTCGGTGACACGTAAACACGAACGAACGGACTACAGTTCTGATTGGTCCTGCTTCTCTGTCCAGCCCAGCCAGTTGAGTCCAGAACACAAGTCACAGCCTCGGAGATATGAATCATTATATTTCAAACATACTCTATTTATTATACTAGCCAAGCATACCACATCGTACTATAAAAATAGAAAACAACATTTTGTACAATGCTCAACAAGTGAACTGATATCGACCAATAGGAAATGTCCATTTAAAGACCAAGGACACCATTGGACTTAACATGATAATTATTGGTCTATTCCTCTGCATCCACAACACTAATGTTAACATAACTTTTTCGGAATGGTTCGGGTAGTTGATTCCTGCTCAATAGTGGTCTCAAAGTTAAATCTTTCTTGCCGAATAAACTTTTAGATATTCGGACCGTATTGCTGTAGTTGGCAAAATCAGTTGCCACTGTAAACATCACAAAAGGGTATGGATTACATATATGTAAGTGCGAAAACTAAAACTGTATTCTCCTATATTCTAGCACTCATTTGCTTATCTCATACTCACTCGACTCATTATCACTCACTATATGGAAAAACTAAATTATTTGTTACAACTGCTAATGACCAGATCGAAATGTGAGAAATTATAATTCAGGAATGAGCATGACAGAATGTGCGACAGTCTAGAATGTAAAGTGATTCAGTTCTGCTTATTGATTGTCTTTACAAGTAGATTGTGTATTAGATACAGAGCAACGGTAACGGTAACTAAACAATGCAAGTTGGGAATATATGTTTGTTGGGATATTCAGAAAAATATCTCAAAAGTCATCCTGTTAAGTCTAACGCTATCCTTGGACTTGAGATGGTATCATTTTCCTGTTGGTCGATACTTATTTCACGTGTTATTTTCCTGTTGGCCAAATATTGTACAGATGTTATTTTCTATTTTATGGTACGATGTGGTCTGCTTGATTGGTATATAAACAGAGTATGTATGAAATGTAACAATTCATATCTCAGAGGCTGAGACTTGCGTTCTGGACTAAACTGGCTGGGCTAGACAGGAAAGCAGGACTCTAGGTTGTTCTCACGTGTTTTACGCGTCTTTGGTCCGGTCGATAATACGCTGCTCTCCAATCTGCAGTCACAGTTATAACAATGTTCGTCGTATTAATTTTTTCAGTATTTTATTGAAAAGATATTCAAAGCTCTCGACACCAATCCTAATGATTTTTATCTATCAATTATTTGGTAATAAATTTATTTACTTGATAGAGCTTTGTGTAAAATCACTGGTTCGACAAGCATTTCGCAAAGATTGTTACTCATGTGTATTAGAGAGTTTCTATGTCAGGTAGGTGATACGCTGATCGAATCTCGCCTGTTAGCTAGCTGAATATATTATCTGTCTGAATATGATATGCAACAATTATTGTGTAACAAAGGAATGTCCCATGGAAATTAGTTGTTGTTTTTTGTGGAGTCGGGTACTGATGCCCATTCTTGTTATACATGATCACAACCGTCTACGTGTGTGTCTCATTGCTAGAAAGTGAATGGGATTTCTTTGCCAATGATATATTCCATATATACTTTTTATGAACCGGATGTTGGACCATGCCATTCTTCTTTTCATTGTAATGTCAAGAAAATGGTACTTGTTCCATAGTAAAGTGAATGTTTTTATGGGCTTCTTTGAAAAGTTTCAGCAGATTTTGTTTCATGTTTCTGATTATTACACGCAATGACGTTGTCATCAACTTACTTCGAATAATACACCATTTCATCAATTTCTCCGAACTTGGTTCTTCCTACATTAGCCATGAAAATATCTGCTAGGACAGGACCTAATAGACTTCCCGCTGCTACACAATCAGTTTGTCGGTATATGACATTCTTGAACTGAAACTGAATATCTTTTTTACATATGATTAACAGTTGTTTGAGTTTGTTGCTGGTAGAGGTAGGATACCAGAACACTAGCAAATTATGTCTATACTTTCAAGAAGTGGTATTTTAGTTAACAGTAATGTTACATCAATGGAAATCATATTTATATAATCCATACTATCGCCAAATTCAATTGGATTTTTTGGTTTATACGCGACTAGTCGTTGACGGACTAATTTTAACTTATCCGCTAGCCAACGTGCAACGTTTTGATAAGTTGAATTGACTATTGACATAATAAATCTGAGAGGAACATCTTGTTTATTTGTTTTTGGTAAAACATATATGTGAGACAAATGAGACTCACGAGGTCGTAGGTTATTGTAAATGAAATGATCAATTATTAGAAGATCATTGAGTACATTATTGAATTATTCAAGATAAATTTGAATCTTATTCTAAACTACACTATGTTAAAGGTAATCTTTTTTTTTTTAATTTTTTTTTTAATAAAAAAAAATTGAACCAGATTTCATTTAACTACAATATATGATCATTCAATTTTTGAAGCATTCAGTAAAGTGGTACAAAAATTAATTCCTTACTTGGAAGCATTTGAACATTTATTAAATATATTTATTACAGTGAGTTTCCTTTTTTTTTTGTTTTCTTAATCATTACAAATAAATTTATTCATTATATCTTGCTTTGTGTTTTATTATTTAATTTTTAACTCATTTTAAGTATTTAAAAGTAACTTTCTTCTCTAGAAGGTTAAATCAACTTGAAGATTGAATAGATCCTTTTGTAAACAAAACTTATCCTCAATTAACTAATACATACTAGTTCATATCTCTCTTTCTGTATTTCAAAGAACATTTTTCTATAAATAGTAATGAATTTGAATTTCTTATTTAGTCATATGCTTATTTACTACAGGATTTTGGACTATAACTTTTAGAGAATGGTTGTCGATATCGTCGAACCTCTGAGACAAGAATCAGTTAATTGCAATTCATAAAACAAAACCTAATGATCGTGAAATTTGACTGATCCAGTCACTATTCCGTTACACAGATCACTTGATCAGTACATGTTCATAACATTTGGTTATCGGAATGTATTATGCATTAAAAACATTTCAGGATTATCCCTAAGATTTTAAAGTGATCACATACGAAAACTAATAACTTTTGTTGATAGTTGAGTTAATTCAGACACTAAAGTGAAATCAATTCATGTAATTTGCTGTGACAAAGTTATTTTCTTAGTCTTTAAAATACAATGATTAATAGAAAGTTTTCATTGCAAAAAGTACAATAAATATGTTTCTCGAAACATTTTATGTTTTCAGTAAGTAGTGTCCTATACTGATACTGAAACTCAATCTTCTTGTATACACACTCAAGCAACTACTGGAGTGAAAAGACTAAGAATAAGGAAAAAGCTTTTTCAACGAAACCTAATCGGTATATATATAATACTCAGTTGTCAGTTTACTCATTCATTGGTCCAAACTGTATTCTCGTAGGATATGTTTACATTTTAGTTTTATTAAAATAAGTCATCGGTAGTAATCAAAGTAAAGTTTAAGTCGGAACTCAGTAGTTAAAAATCACAAAAAAGCTGAATTCTCGGTAGCATTAATTATAGTAGAATATTTTAATCCTCAGGTGTTTCAAAACAAAGTCGAAGACACTCAAATGGGTCTCATGCCATCCTAGCTCAATGAGCGGACAGTCGTTACCAACTGCTGTAGTTGTTCTCAGACATCCGTTTATTCTTGACAATGACTAACTTTAAGCGCAAAAAGGAGCATCATCCTACATGAAAACCCCCACAATAAACTCAACGGTGATTGCAAACTGACCGCATTAGCCATCGTGAGAGAGGCTAAATAAAAGATCACCGCTCATTTCTGAGCACATATCTCGACTCTGATCATGCCCTAATATAAACATGTATTTATGTCTTGTTCTATGCAAAAAAAGACAAAATTTCAAGAGTGCATCTAAGGAACAAATAGAAGAGCAGTTAGTCGATTGTCAGCAACATCCACCTGGATATGGGTTGGCATGGCATACAGCAGTCATGATAAAAGCGATACGATCTGTAATAGACTAAAATCAAAATGTTAGTGAAAGTCTGCAACGTCTACTGAGCTGATAGACGTTTTTGAGTCTCATCAGTCTTGATGGGTTGGTGATTAGCTCAATTGGGCCACCGATTCAACAAGCTTTATTGGCTTTTGGCAACTTGCATTACTTTTGACGTGACATACAGACATAGGATGAGTATACTGTGCAGCAGTCTGTTCTACATTACGGCTGTTATTCGTGGCCTTTAAGAATACAGAGTATTTTGAGGTTGCTAGTTTTTGTTTGTAAATACCCTCATAGGATTGCTCATAAAATTGGGGACCATGAAATAAGCGATTCTGAGGTTATGCACAGAGTAATAAGCAAAAATGGCAAATCGATTAATGAGTTAGTGAATCTCTATTGTCTGAAATGGTTAGGACATGTTTTGATGTATGCCCATCTACCACCTCACTCGATGCTCAATGATGTTTGGTGTACGAGTAGATTTTAAGAATGCTAGGTGCAGACAAACCAGAATACTTTTTACTTCATGTTGCACACTTCTGATGATTTTGTGTGTGCTAGACTTTACTGAAGACCATTGTTTTCTCAGTCAGTCACAACGTAAAACATGTACGTATGTAGATCGGTTCAAGTTGGCATAACCGAAATGCTTTGCAAGTTGAACATGTTACTTGCAGCGAGCACACCGAACCATGGACTCAACGAAGCCATCCTTAAGGATAGGATTTCCTCAGTGATTAACGTCATTACAGTCACGTTCACTCATCCACAGCGTGCTACTAAGATCTGTCATCATAATCTATTCTGTGATGGTTCCTATGTGATATTGCTTCTACTGGACTGACCCTATGTTATGGAGATATCACAGTATATGAAAGATTTTCAGTATGTCCAGTAGGGTGTATGACAATTGGGTCAGTAATTGCCCTTCGAATTCGATTTCTGTAGTTATTTTTGTTTAAAAGACTGTGGATGTTGAAATCTTCCACCAATATGATATAAGAAACGTGCTTTTTGAGAATCCGTTGGGTGAGTTTTATCAATTAATGGTGTAGTTTTCGAGCGTCCCGCAATTTTATATAAAACGATTATCAGGAAAGGCCCTTTAATGCTCCTTAGGATGCATTACAAACGGGTCTGAAAATTTCTGTAGCATAAGCAACATCAAAATTCCATTTTTTTACTTTTGTCGTGCTTGTTGTCGCGTGTAAGGCGATTCCTAATATTATCTGGCATTTGATTTTTTCGCGTATATTTTTCAAATCTTTAATTTTTCCTTCATGTTTTCTTTCTTGTTTTACAGAATTCAATGGTGGACAAAGCATTTCTTTTTGATGTCACCAGTAAAATATATTTAGCAACAGATTCAAATGCAGTAGACATGCAGACGTATGAATTATGCTGCGATATGATTGATGTTGTCGTAGATGTGGCAGCAATCTACACGTAGGCTAGTAGTTAATGTGAAAACTATTTTCCCTATATACTTTTATTTTCAGAAATCTTCAGTGATTTTACATCATAAACTTTAAAAATTTTATTGCTCCAGAAACAATAAGAGTATCGAAATCAACATGTCTACCGGGCATCGATTTAACATAAACCCCTTCATGACGTTGAAATTACCGTCTAAAATTATGCTGATAATTTTCCAGCACAATGCCTGGTCATGCAACATAAGTTATCATCTAATTTTGCTGTACCGTTGTTCAGCTAGCTACAGGTGATATGACAGTACTTACTGTATACCATCATAGATAGGTATATATGATAGATACCACTATTTTGTAACTGAAGGTTATATAATCTCTGGTTTCTTGTGGTATATTTGTATTTTCCACTCATCTGGCAGCACGTATGTAAGTAACATTTCAGGTTCAATAATGTCAGTCAGTCGTACGCAGCGTTGAACCTAGTACATGTAAGTATCAGTTCAAGTTGTACTACCCCTTTAGCACAACCAGATAAAGTTTTCAAGGCGAATCTCAGCTGACTAGATGTGGGAATTTTAGTAGTGGTGGTTGAAAAGACTAGACATCGAAGATACAGTTGGAGAAGAAAATATAAATTAGTGGTTTGAAACGAAATTATGGGGAAACAAGAAAATTAGGATGAAAGATATGACAAACAATAAATGCTTCTGCGCGATTGCGAAGAATTTTCAGATATCTAGACTATGTCTCCAACTGTTGAATATGATATTCACGCAAAACCCAACCAGTTTGATCATACCTACATGGCTCAATCTAACATTCAGTGTTCACCCATCCCTAATTTTCTTTAAATTAATCGTAAACCAACTCAACTGTTAAGGCTCTATTTTGGACTGTTCTTCGAATTCGAAATGCAATTTCTGACCCAATCGTCATACACCCTACTGGACATACTGAAAATCTTTCATATACTGTGATATCTCCATAACATAGGGTCGGTCCAGTAGAAGCAATATCACATAGGAACCATCACAGAATAGATTATGATGACAGATCTTAGTAGCACGCTGTGGATGAGTGAACGTGACTGTAATGACGTTAATCACTGAGGAAATCCTATCCTTAAGGATGGCTTCGTTGAGTCCATGGTTCGGTGTGCTCGCTGCAAGTAACATGTTCAACTTGCAAAGCATTTCGGTTATGCCAACTTGAACCGATCTACATACGTACATGTTTTACGTTGTGACTGACTGAGAAAACAATGGTCTTCAGTAAAGTCTAGCACACACAAAATCATCAGAAGTGTGCAACATGAAGTAAAAAGTATTCTGGTTTGTCTGCACCTAGCATTCTTAAAATCTACTCGTACACCAAACATCATTGAGCATCGAGTGAGGTGGTAGATGGGCATACATCAAAACATGTCCTAACCATTTCAGACAATAAAGATTCGCTACCTCATTTATCGGTTTAGTAGATGCTTCTGAAATCCATTTGTTTTCCTTGACATTTTGATTATAGATTGCCACAGGCCCTACCGCTGTCTCAACGACTGTCTGGATATCTTGCCAACCCACGTTCGGGTGGACGTTACTGGTGATTGGTTAACTGGAAGGACGATCGCAGACCTCAGTGGGGAACTTCTTAAGGATAGATGCGCACGTCTGAAGGACGTTTTTGATATCTCAGCCCGGTTTTTCAAAAGGCCTCACCACTGTATATAAACCCATAGGGTAAAATGAGGTGTCTGCTTTTTACGGTCGACCGTTTCTAACTTCTTCCTTCCGTTGTTAGGAGGCAACACCGCTGCAGTTTGATATGTGATATTAAGTTCATACGAAATTGTCTAATCTGTTTTTGTATGGTAAAGGAAATCGTGAACTGAATCTTCGCTTATCTTCTTTAAATTGTCAAGTGATTGTTCTACCAAGTTAAGTACTTCGAACTTTTACTGCGTGGATTTTGACCAACTTCCGGTATATCATTTGCGCCAATGTCGTCTTTCTGTCCTGCTCATTTAGCTAATATGTTTGATTTGAGATATTCTTTCATTGGATATCCACTACTTCTGGACAGTTTGTCACAAATGCGTATGAGTTCCACAAGTACTCCAGTTTCATACTTCTCATGGAAAGTCAAATGGATGGTGTTATTAGACTTCAGTCCTTTCTTGTCCACCCACTCATTCCCTATCACTAATCCCGGTATATATCTCAAGACAAAAAACAAGTGCGTTTTGTGTTAGGCATATGTAATTCCCGAAGTTACTTCACCTCTGTTAACTTCATTCTAAAAGATACCTTCTCATCTTTGTTTGCAGTCCCCAATCTAATTTTGTTGATCCGCCTGTATCTGAGCAAACTGGGGCAACAATTATCTTAAACAATGACAGAGCATTATATCTTCGTGGCGTCAATCAGTATATGGCTCTAGCTTGTTTGATGTATGAAGAATCTTTAGAGAAAATGGGTAAACGATTGTTTCGTCTGTCTTTTTAGTCATTATTCTTAAAACATTAATTATAGTATGTATATTAGGTACAAAATATAAAATAACTTATTCATTTTCACATGTAAACATCTGCATTCTAACTATGCTTATGTGACTCAATACTTCATCGTTCAATAAGAAAACCATTGTACCACAATTTGTGTTGAAGCGAGTGAGTAAATAACAAGCTCAACTCTTAAAAAACCGGCAATTCGTCAACTCAAATTAAAGCACCTTACAAATCACTGTATAACACCTAATAAAGATCCCCTCTTCCCTACCGTTTACAAATTAATGACCAGATATCTTTCTCGACTACGTCCGATGTTTTGCAAGTTTTCAAACATTTTCAGAACCAACTCAAATGAAAAAGCTCCTTTTACAAACAAATAATAGGTATTTTGCTCCTGTTTTTATAATGGTTGATCGATACAATGTCTAGTAAGTGGCAAGCATCATCCCTCCCTAACTTGTGTATGAGTACACATGTAAGTCGGTGGACTTTATCGTTTTCGCAATAATTATGCAGGGGTATCTGTTTTTTGGAAGTTTGAAATAATAGAATGATCGAAAAATACGATGAGATTTAAAACTTCGAAAGTAGAGTTGGTTTATACTCTGTCAAACAACTACCACGCATTACATTCTGAAGTAAACTATTCAATGATTCTTGTTATAACAAATTAGTTTCTAGAATTTGCTTATTTTTATACGTTTGTAGGCTTAATAGAATTCAATTTCTGTGTCATTAAGAATGCATTACAACAAATGCTTGAATTAAATCAACAACATGCAAAGCGAGAACTAGCTGCTTTGCTGACTCACCAACCGTCTTCAGATCCTATACCAGAAGATGAAGAGCCAGTAAACGAACTTGATTCGAGTGGAAAGGATGAAGATGGACAGGAAGTTAGTGATGGAGAACCACAATATAAAAATAGAGATGTAAGAAGAGAATAGTAGAATCTTGTAATGTACATATATATTGGTCATCATTATAGTTTACTTCCATCAAAGGTGACTTTTTGCTACCTTGTACACATATGTAAATGATTTGCGTATATGTGACACATGCAAAATCCTACATGAATTTCTTGTCCGTTCATTTTTATTCGAAGCTGTTATCATTGTGTTCTGGATGCAGTGTGCTTCCTAGTTTATTTTTTTTTGCAAAACCTCCTGCTTATATTTTATTGATCATCAGCTCATCCCAACTTGACGATTTGATATTTTACTTTTCTGCTTTATAAGAATAAAGAGACATACATATAAGTTAATAATAATTTGTAATGAGTATGAAAATTGTTTTTATCAGTGCAATAGGTGTTGTCAGGGTCAGTTGAAGTTCATGCAGTACAAACCAGTTTTGTGTTATTTTCAGTAATCTTTAGAAGTTATTGTATTAACGACGGATATTACCAATACTGTATATATATCTGTGGTGAGATGACTGCGGTCATCGTAATAGACTATAACTGGTCGCATAGTTAAACTTTTAGATATTCGGACCGTATTGCTATAGTTGGCAAAATCAGTTGCCACTGTAAACATCAAATATATATGGCTGCAAAAAATAAAATTGTATTATACTGCCGAGTCTATTGCGATCAGACAACTATTAGTTCGACTCCGAAAATTAATGTCAGTTAATATTTACTTGGTGAACAGATTTGTAGAGGCTACTGTCGTATATCATTTTAGTTTTATCCTAACTGGAGTTACAAACAGTTTAGCTAATTATGCAAAACAAGATATATACATCTTGAAGTAAGGCATATTTTCAACTTGCATATCTGTCATGGTCCCTTCCGATTTTTAATGCACTAAGACTTCGACGGTATAATATGAGAGTACACATTTCGTTTCGTGTTTATTTGTAAACCAAATAGTTATTGCTAATGACATGTTTGCGAAATGACTTCGTAACTTTTTAGGCGTTCGTTTCTTGAAGACTGATCTTTGATGATTCAGTTAGAAACTAATGAGTGTGTGTTTCTGGTAATATATTACTGAAATATTCCCATATATACTAGCGCTGATTTGCTTATCTCATACTCACTCGACTCATTATCACTCACTATATGGAAAGACTAAATTATTTGTTACAACTGCTAATGACCAGATCGAAATGTGAGAAATTATAATTCAGGAATGAGCATGACAGAATGTGCGACAGTCTAGAATGTAAAGTGATTCAGTTCTGCTTATTGATTGTCTTTACAAGTAGATTGTGTATTAGATACAGAGCAACGGTAACGGTAACTAAACAATGCAAGTTGGGAATATATGTTTGTTGGGATATTCAGAAAAATATCTCAAAAGTCATCCTGTTAAGTCTAACGCTATCCTTGGACTTGAGATGGTATCATTTTCCTGTTGGTCGATACTTGTTTCACGTGTTATTTTCCTGTTGGCCAAATATTGTACAGATGTTATTTTCTATTTTATGGTACGATGTGGTCTGCTTGATTGGTATATAAACAGAGTATGTATGAAATGTAACAATTCATATCTCAGAGGCTGAGACTTGCGTTCTGGACTAAACTGGCTGGGTTAGACAGGAAAGCAGGACTCTAGGTTGTTCTCACGTGTTTTACGCGTCTTTGGTCCGGTCGATAATACGCTGCTCTCCAATCTGCAGTCACAGTTATAACAATGTTCGTCGTATTAATTTTTTCAGTATTTTATTGAAAAGATATTCAAAGCTCTCGACACCAATCCTAATGATTTTTATCTATCAATTATTTGGTAATAAATTTATTTACTTGATAGAGCTTTGTGTAAAATCACTGGTTCGACAAGCATTTCGCAAAGATTGTTACTCATGTGTATTAGAGAGTTTCTATGTCAGGTAGGTGATACGCTGATCGAATCTCGCCTGTTAGCTAGCTGACTTATAGAGTAAAGGAATATAGTATCTGTCTGAATATGATATGCAACAATTATTGTGTAACAAAGGAATGTCCCATGGAAATTAGTTGTTGTTTTTTGTGGAGTCGGGTACTGATGCCCATTCTTGTTATACATGATCACAACCGTCTACGTGTGTGTCTCATTGCTAGAAAGTGAATGGGATTTCTTTGCCAATGATACACACTTCTCATGTGGCTGATTTCTGATTGTTATAATATATCACTAGTCTGTTAACCGAACTTACTGTGCAGTTAACAGAACCAAGTCATTTCATAAGAGCTTGTGGCAAACCTATAATAAAGTCGATTTATTTATGGAAACCTGAAGATGCAGATCTCTTAACTGAACTCTAATGTAACACCTGTTAAGGGTAATAATGGATGTGTTTCCCGTCTTATCAATAATTAGACATTTATGTCGATCTTTCAATAATGACGACTAGGCAGGATATTCGCATACGGTAAAACATGAGTACAAATGCACTGGCTTTACAACGGTTTATGCTTTATAAGTTGTACATCCAGCTATTATTGTAGTGTTGTACTGACAGTTCTGCATCCCTGTTTTCTTTTTGCATCAAGGAGTAGGTCGCAAACGAGACTTCATAACAGTTGACGTATACTTCTTTTGTGAGAATTTTACGAAAATAATTTTTTAAGCTGGAAATGTTGGAGTTGTGATTAAATAAAGCACATGATGCGGGCATCTGACCCTTAAACTATACTTGGTCGCGTATATACGCAGGTGAGAAATTCCTGGTATCGACTTATTAACAAATAGAAATCAGGCAACGGATTAGAGTTTCGTAAATTGTCATTGATTATATCGCCATGTTTATTTTTGTTTCAAGCTCAAGAATTACATCAGGCTTATTACATCATATGGATGGAAAAATTCTCGATCGAGGTTTCTGACCGTGTAAATTCATTGCGTGCTTAGATTATTCTTACGCATGCTTTCTAAGAACGTACTTCAATAATGCAACTGAGGAAATTAGCATCGTATTTATAGATCAACAAACCACGTATATGTGTTACAGTCAACAAAAATCTTAAACTACCGAGGGCTTGATGTCTAAGACTATTAATGCTACGAACTCGTCCTTACTGAACAGTATCCTGCAGCTTAACCTCCAACAGGTTAATAACCGAGCCTTAACCTTGCGTACGATACGTGCGTAAGGCAGAAGAATAGCATTCCATTTGTGAACTAAATAATAAATACAACTGACGTTACCCCATCTTCCTCGGCTATTCATTCTAAAAGCAAATGCGGACCGAAAGTGCCTGTCTCCTCGGACACAAGTAGAGAGACCTGTGAACATTCCGAAGCCTAGCCTGAGGACAAAGGTAGACAATGAACACAGACACGCAGTTCCCTGTTTAAGACCCGGACTTATGGTTCCAATCTTGATATTCCTTGGCTGTAAGTTCGTAGTGTAATTATTACCTAGGAATGTCGTCTGTTTCTCTATTCACTTATGCATGTTCAGTTGCCTATCAAAGTCATAAATTACGCCGAATTCCATCACCCTTCCACTCATCATCATTTTTTTACGTCTTCCCGTTTATGCGATGTTATGTTACTCAAATCAAAAGACTAGACAAGCAAAATATCCAGTCACTTAGTATGGAACGAACATGAATACCAAGTATCCATTACAAAAATCCCGGTGTTATCTGATAATCATCTTCCAAAATGAGCTTACACCAGTTAGTGGAAAATTCCAATGAATTCATGTAAAAATGAAGTTTGACTGAAACACTACGTGACTTGATTTCGGAATGGTGAGGATTTGTAGTTCAGTTGAATGATTTACTAAGTAACTTTATGATACTGACCAGTCATATCTACATGCAGTTTACCTCTATCCGATAACTCGATGAGTTTACAATTCATTTATAAACCATCTAACTCACCTACACAAACAGGTATAAAGAATTAAATTCTAAACCAAGGATCTGTCTGCAATTGATGTTAGGCATACCTCAGGACGCTGCTGAGAAAATACTTATTCGGCATTAGGAAATATTCTAGTTGCCGAAGCTTTTAAATCCGTAGAGAAAGATCCACTGCCGACAGTTACTGTTACAATCGGCAATCGACAAATGGTTCGTCCGCAGTGTAACTAAACATCAAATAACAAATACTACTGTCATGGTGGTTTACGGTTTCAGGTTGTTGTCAGCTCCCCCTAAGTCCATGTTCTGAGGAAACTGAACAAAACTTGAGGAGAACCACGCAATTTCACCAAAATAGGTTTGCGTTCATAGGTTCTTCTATGACTGAAAATTTCAGCATGGAGCTTAAACTGTTGACATATGAAATTTATATTCCGTCCATTACTTATGAGTGGGTTCTTAAGTACAGAAAAAGCGGGCTTGCGTCTGAATTGGTAACATTTCGTGGAAAAATATGTTGTGATTATAAATGAAAAGCTGGTAATTTTACAACGACCTTTTATTTGGAATACATTAACGTAACCTTCTGGCTTCTCTTTCAGTTTCCAACAAGGTTAAAATATCGCCTTCTCGAATGGGGCCTTTCACGTTTCTTATGATTGTCCTATTAGTATCATCCAGAAATTCCACACGGACCTGTGTACATTGACCCTGAGAACCGGTTCTGCCAACTACCGCTCTCACCTACACCATAAAGTAGACGTATGACTATTGCCGAAACTTACTCTTGCAAGCTTTGTCTGAACGACAGCCTTGTCCATGTTCCCCAATTGAATTTGTAACAACCAGCTCTATGTAGCTCAACAAACAATCAATAAACAAGGTCAATCGTAGAAACTAATGCAACGATGCTTTAACTGTAAGGCTTAGAATGAATCTCAGTGAAGCTTCTTCTCTTACATTAACATACTCCTGATTCGAATGGTTCAAGATGTGGTGGATGAAACAGAAAATTTCTGTTAACCAGCTTTCATACGACAAAAAAACAGTGTACATCGATATCTCCATGTGATGACCTAGTTATGTGAAGCTGAAAAATTGAAATAATTGTAGATAGTTCAGTACGACCAACCTTTTCAAGCCGTTAATAGCATAGTAAGTTACCTTAAATTTGGTTGAAAATCTTCAGCCGGCAAGCATTTCCAAAAAGTGACGAATCGAACCTTGGTTCGATTACTGTTTCAGTTGCTGCGTTTTACATCTGAACTCGAGGTATTCCCCCTAAATTGTGTTCTGAAACTGAGCTTACACTGTTTTTATAGATGGTGCCTAGGGATTTTTACGTTGCTACTAGATATCCAAAGATACAAATGGTTCTAGACGGAATAGAAAAAGCTTTCGCTTAACGGGCTTCCGTTTATAGTAGCAGTGGGTCAACAATAACTCCGGGCGTTAACCTTAGTACATTAATGATAAAAGAGGAAAAAGAAAAATACTTTCGTAAATCATAGTAAGGTACTGTCCTTAATCCTTATTAACCTGTCAATTTTTTTAAAGGATTCCAGGGAAGTCTCTTCGAATAACTCAGTCACCTGCAAATTCCAACACTTTACCACTCTAAAGAAGTAGAAGATGTGTCTACACTTTGTTCTGCTGTGTTGTGTCTCTAGTTTCTGTGTGTTATCCCCAAGGTTTGTGCTGAGACCAAGCCTAAGTATATGTTTAAGGAGATCCTGAGAGTTATTTGGGTTGTTGTTAGCCATTAGAAAGTCACCCGTATGACGCCTGAACTTATGATTAAAGGTTTAGGAACTAAAGGCGCTCTTTAAAGGACTTGAATTTGTGTCCCTAAACTGATTTCGTGGCTCACCGTTGGATACGTTCCCGAGTGTCTTTATCATTTTGGAGTGAAGGATGAAAGGTTACGTTTCCGTACTGCGAATGGGAATGAATAAAACTGCCGAAGATTAGGTGAAAAGTTCTTCCATCGAATCGGTCAAAACTACCCTTCAACATTACCAATGCAAGGTTTACTCGAAATGTATTTTTGTTACAGTTAGCGTAAGAATTTAGATCGTATGGTGCCAACACATTTAGGTTTCTTTCAACTTAGGATACCTCTGAAGGGGATCTACCTTAATTGTATTTGTATCTTGCAACATGTTTCAGATGGACTACTTTACATATTGAAGTGTAAAAGGCAAGTCCATTGCTGTCCATCCGACTCCGAATTCAAGTTAGAACACATAGAAGTTCCAGATTATACTATTGGTTGCATAATTCACACAGCGTTTCAGATCCTCGGCGAAAAGTGGTCAATCTGACAATACTTGCTCTGGAAGATCGATCATATTAATCAAGAAAAGAAGAGGTCCTAGTATTGAACTTAATTGGACCTTACTAGGCATTCTAAATTCTAAGAAAAAATGAAGTACCTCCTGACATACAGACGACAGCATTTTAGGTACAACATGAGTAAATCGAATAAAGGTGATTTGACACCTGATAATTTGAGTTTATTGATAAGACATATATGGTTGACCCTATGAGTAGTTTTTGAGAAGTTAAGGTATATGACGTCAACCTTCCCCTTGCAATCAGCAGGTTAGTTATACATGAGTGACTTCCTCGAAAACCGTGGTGATGGGGTGAAAAGAATTTTATGGATAGTAAGAATTGTGTACGCAGTGACCGAGAACACTGTTGTAGACAATCGAAAGTATTTGATTACAAAATTAGACAATGTCTCATAAAAATCTGAGGGCCATGCACTGAATACTCCACTTGCAAAATGTCAATCAGTTGTCTCATACTTCACTGTTCTCCCGTTTCTACATTATTCATCCTCTGTTCTCGTTTTCTTTAATTTGATCACCATAATCTTCTGCCTGCATGCATTTCACTTTCGACTGATGATAGAAACCACTTATAACTATCGACATCAGCAGTACACACCATAGTGCAGACGGTTACATATCAGGGACTCTATACTTTTCAAGGGCATATTTCGAAGAGCTACCGTTCTGTAGTTTGTAAAGCTTAGGAAGTGGAAGAAAACACCAGTACTTATAGGATGGAAACCTCATGGATCTAGGATCATCAAAGCATTATTCAGAACAAAAGAGGAGAGAATTACAATAAATGTTATCCAATGTTATGCAACCGTCAATGATAGCAATGACGACGATAAACATCAGCTTTACGAGGGCCTGCAACCGACCATAGCGAAATGCCCAGAAAAGGACCTGACCATCGTGATGTGAAATCTAAACGCCAAAGTTGGCATGGAAAACAATCGGTATGATAATATCATGGGACGACATGGACTGGCGGGGAGAAAGGAACGAGAATGGTGAGAGATTCGCAGACTTATATGCATTCAACAAAATGCTGATAGGCGGCACAATATTCCCACATAAACACATACAAAATGCTACATGAATCTCACCAGATCACACCACGGATAACCAGATCTATCAAATTTGCATCAGTAAAATATTCAGAAAGTCAATGGAAGACATGCGGAAAAAGAGAGGAGCTGACATAGTTTCAGATCACCCTCTGGTGGTAGCCATGATGAAACTGAAGCTAGAGAGTGATTGGACAGCTGGACAAACAACATTACAAAGGTTCAGTAGAGCCTTCCTTCGACATACTGACAAACTGAACGAATTGAAGATAACTCTCGACAGCCGTTTGCAAACCTTACAGGATCTACAGGAAGAAGAAGAAGAAACGATTATAGAGAACAACTGGAAAGAGATCAGAGAAGCATTAACCTCAACATGTCAGGATGTGCTGGGTTGCAAGAAGCATCATCATAAGGAATGGATCTCCATCGAAATCCTGTTTTGAATTCAAGATAGGAAGAACAAGAAAACGGCAAATAACAACAGCCGAACACGAGCAGAGAAAGTCAAGGCACAAGCTGAATACTTTCAAGCAAGCAAGCAAGTAAAGATGAGATTTAGAGCCGACAAGCAGAAATACGTGGATGAGCTAGTAACGATGGCGAATTAAGCTGTAAGAGAAGGAAATATGAGACAGCTATATAACAGCCAGCACGCACTAACTTTTAATTAGTGTCACTCCACCAACGTTCGAAGAGATCAGGATGACCTTCAGACAAATCACAAGTGGGAAAGCAGCAGAACCTGACAACACACCAGCCACAGCACTGAAGCCAGACGTCGAAGTAACTGCAAACATGGTCCACGTTCTTATCACGAAGATTTGGGAAGAAGAACAAGTGCCGACAGACTGGAAATAAGTATAACTTATCATTATACCAAAAAGGAGATCTGAGCGAATGTGTGAAGAATCACAACACTGTCAGTACCAGGAAAGGTTTTTAATAAAGTGTTTCTGAACCGGATAAATACTCAGTGGACGCTTGAATTCGAGGTCAACAGGTCAGATCCCATAAGGATTGTCGTGCAAAGAACGAATCACGACACTACGGATCATCGTTGAACAATCATTTGAATGGAACTCATCACTATACATCAACTTCCTTGATTATGAGAAAGCATATGACAGTGAGAATAGGAGGAAATTATGGAAACTTCTTCGACACTATGTAATGGGTATGTGAGAAAATCGTCAACATCATCCTGAATTCATATGACGGACTACACTGCAAAGTCATGCATCGAGAACAATATTCCCACATAAACACATACAAAATGCTACATGAATCTCACCAGATCACACCACGGATAACCAGATCTATCAAATTTGCATCAGTAAAATATTCAGAAAGTCAATGGAAGACATGCGGAAAAAGAGAGGAGCTGACATAGTTTCAGATCACCCTCTGGTGGTAGCCATGATGAAACTGAAGCTAGAGAGTGATTGGACAGCTGGACAAACAACATTACAAAGGTTCAGTAGAGCCTTCCTTCGACATACTGACAAACTGAACGAATTGAAGATAACTCTCGACAGCCGTTTGCAAACCTTACAGGATCTACAGGAAGAAGAAGAAGAAACGATTATAGAGAACAACTGGAAAGAGATCAGAGAAGCATTAACCTCAACATGTCAGGATGTGCTGGGTTGCAAGGAGCATCACCATAAGGAATGGATCTCCATGGAAATAGTGAACAAGAAAGGAAGAACAAGAAGAACTAGTATGCACTGTTATTACCAGTTTGTTTACTTTGATAGAGGCGAAGTCCCAAATTCTGTTAGCATTCTAGACACAAAAAATCAACAGGATGGAATATACTGCAACCTGAAATATCGAAACAAATGGCACGAAATATTGCTGTTTCACTGACTACGACATTTTTTATGTTACTTAGCTGAAGTGAGTTACCTGCGAACTGGAGGGATGAAATTGTCGCTCTTATTCCTAAAGCAGGATCAAGACCACTTGCATCAAACTGTAGACTTGTAAACCTTACCAGTGTAGTAGTTAGAATACTGGAAACAATATTCGGAAGATCACGGTGACATTCGTGGAGACCAAAAGCTTATTAAAGACCGATTAACTGTTAATTAAGCTGGGAAATCTAGGAATTGACTGACCTTTCCTCTAGTACATCAAGGATTTCTTGACAGATCGTAGAAAAAAAGTAAGAGAAAACCTCAAATGCTTCTTCTAGAAATCAGTGCACAACGGAGTATCCCAAGGCTCTATCTTAGGTCCTTTGCCTTTGGTACCTTTTGTAAGTAAACTATCAAGTGTAGTTGAGTACTTGATGCCATTTTACGCCGACGATGAAATAACAGGGGACGTAAATTTGTGAGCTTCTCAAATGGGCTTAGATGTTCTGGTTAACTGGTTTCAAGAATAGTAGATGCCTGTTAACACCGCCAAGTGCGACTTGAAAATCTAATCCTCTTCAATGTGTCCTGTCGTGGGTTTGTAGGTGATCTGATTTCGATGCACGGAAGTCTAAGAAGTTCTTTCAGACATAATATACACAAGCTTTTTCCTCTTAATAAATTAAGATGACCTAGGGGACATGTCACGAGATTTCAAAGGATACTTGAAAATAACGCACCTGTGTCATTCCTGTTTTCACACTGAGTTATCTAGTGTTTGAATCTGTTGGAGATTGTAAAATAGTCCTAAACGGTTATTCTCGTATACAGAAGGGCAAATAATTGAAATTAATAAATTCTCCACAAAATCTTTTTTTGGGATTGATCAACATATGCTCATTGGTGACTGGCTTCAAGATTTGTATCCGGGAGTTCTGGTGACAAGCAGTGGCCAGTGGAATTCAACCAGGTCAGTTGTGAGACGGTAACTCACTAATGACAATAGTGGATGTGTCGCTCAATTTGGTGGATTAGTTGAGGTTAGACATTAACACTGCTGGATGGCGGCTCAAAGGTCTAGTGGTTAAGCGCTCGCGCGCAAGACCAGTGTGTCATGGCTTCGAATCCCGCGAAGCAAGATCGTGGTTGCACACTGCTGGGGAGTCACACAATAAGACGAAACGGACATCCTGTTCTTCCAGGTTTTCCATGGTTGTTTAGCTTCAATTGAATCATGATCTCAACAAGTGACATGGAGAATATGTATGGAGACTATAATTTATGGACGAATTAATCAGATATAAGATAATTAGTCTTGATTTGTGGCGCGAAATTCACTTGTGCATTTGGCTAAATAGATTCTTGGCATTATAGTGTATGCCAGTTTATAATATGGATGATTTCCTCTACTAAATACATCACGAGTTTAGAACTACTGAACATTTTTCTAAGACGGACAAGTTTTTAAACCACGTATAAGAAGTCTATCCACTTTTTCTCTGATCTTGTATTATACATTTTTGCCCTGTACTTACCGTTCGGTGATTGGCTAACATCATTCAAGGTCATTTCGGATTCGTTCTAAGGCTGTCCGAAGATTATAGTCTCATCAAGGACTTAGAACGCTCGCGTTTCGTCGAAGGGATGATCGTCGGCCCACTAAGAGAACGGTTTTTCCGAAGCCTACCAGTCTGAAAGGGCGTGGGTTCGAGTCCCACTTTTTGGACTGGTGGGCTTTGGAAAAACTTCTCTTAGTGGGCCGGGGACCCTCCCTTCGACGAAACGCTAGCGTACTAAGTCATCTTGTCCCATGACATCTAGACGAGGAAATACCTGAACCGCTACTTGCTGCAAGGAGTTGAGGTAGTCGATTGGATTATCACTTTCTGGTGACGCGATAAGAACTGGATAGTCACCTTCTGGGTGATCCCGGGTAGGAAAAAACAGTCACCTAGGGTTTTCCAATTTTGCTCTAGTGCATTGCTTGCCGCAAAGCCGTTGGCTGTAGCTCTTTTTACTGCCTCATCACTAGAACAAAAGGCGACGCCCAGAGAGATGATGAAGGGACTATAATCTTTTTGTCTAACATATCCTTCATCATTGCCCAAGCAACCAACAGAGGGGAGATAAAGGAGGAAAACGCGTCAGAATGTTTCCTTTTTCGCCTGTTCGAGGGAAATAATGCGGATTTCCCTTGGTCGCCCTGCAATAGAAAGAAGACAGAATCAATTAACAACGTCATAGATTGTGATTTCAACCCAATTACATTGCGACCTCACGCTTTTCAAAAAGTGAATAACCGTTGTTTTTAAAGGATTCCCGAGCTCCCAATTTAGGGGAAAACCTGACCCATTTTTATGAGATTTTGGGGGAGCCGCTTTAGTGAACGTTGGGGAAAAATGGCACAAAAGCCCTGAAATTTCCCCAGACCTGAGGAAATTCCCCAAAATTTCCTCAGAATTTCGCAAATTTCCCCAAACTTGGGAGCTTGGGTTTCATGGGTTGTGGAAAGGGGAGCACAGTCTAGTTACTTCGTATCTGTCTTATTTGTTTGTCCTTTTTGTTTGTTTGGGTTATGTATACTGATATAAATAGCAGTTGGATATCCATCACATGTGATGGGTGACGATAATGCATCTTCGTTGTAAGAGCTAAATTCGCCAATGGTTTATCAAGATGTGGTAAAAATAAGTTTCATTCACCATTTAAAGCGTTGTTTGCCAGAAATGTGTCCTAATATTATATTCAATCTAAAATCGCATGCACTTACTACGTATGCTTAATCTCATAATGTAATATGTATACGTGAAAAAGTAGATGGATGTACATGAAATGATCTGTCCGAAAATTATAATCACAATGAAAAAGTTTCAAAAAACAGTAAGGTTCCATTGGTACATCAATGTTGCTATTCAGAATCCTTATACTGAAATTCAATATTAATCCACCTTTGTTATAATGTCACTCCAATAATTTAATTTGTAACAGTCTACTACAAAGCGAATCTTACAATAGTGTTAATCAACACTAAACAATGCTCCCACTGGATAGCAAAAAGTTATTTCAAATTATTACCTAAATTATCCCTTCACCCTCAATGACATCTCTGTAGTTTGTCTCGTCATGAAAATAGCCTTGCGCTGTGATCTCGTATAAATCCGCAGTCTTTGTGTCAGTGGAAAATAAAAAGCTTAGTGTTATCGCGCCTAAAGGTTAAGAATAAGAAATCCCGTTTTACTCCGTATGGTGCCATAAAACCGGACTTCTGGAAATCTCAGCTCTTTCCAAGTAGTTTAAGGATCCTGGCTACCCAGGTTCCATGACATAGGACAAAATATAGCGCATAAAGATTTTGGATTATCATCTAGTGATCGCGTCTCCATGGCCATCTGACATTTAAATTGGTAATGAAAAAAAAGAGTGAACTTTAGGTTTGTTATTCATGTTGAAGACATCTACCCATGGTTTTCAGTTCCTCTTCAGTTGATAAAGGGAAATGAGAATTTGGTGATCCAGTACCAAGTTTTTGTTGATTATCACTAACACTATACTTAGACGGTTATATAAAACTGCCTAACGTCATCACTCAATTTAATATTGTTGATGACATGTACTACAGAACAAAATGTAGTTTTGTAAATCCAAAAAAAAACAGACTTTAATTGCAACTGTTACTTACTCACCTGCGATTCTAGTGCCAACGTATGTTGACATGGAAGTTGAACGCAGGACTGCAACTTGTGTGGGACTTATACATGTTTATATATTTAACGTACCGACTGCAATTGGAGATACTGGTGTGCCCAGCTTTCTGAATCCCGAATACTGAGCACGACTGTTTTCAGCCTGCACTTCAACACTCATGTCAACGGAGTTATACAGGTACTCTGGTTTCCATTTTACTGCGTCTGTAAAATATTGACGTGAATAACGTACTTACATTGTGGACTTCTTTGTACTCAGTGGTAATTTTCATCAGACAGTCAGTCAGTCATCAGACAAACTTTTGGCATGTCAACTGGCCAATTATCTGAACAAAGCTAATAACTCCTTAGGAGTTTGCACATTATTTTGGGAAATGAGTGTGTGTAGATCACCTCTGTAATAACCCACATGTAATAACCAGCCTATTGTCATCTGGTTGAGCAATTTTTCGGGTACATTTTCGGAAAACTGGCAGGATACTGCATAGTTCGTGAACAAGTTACTTGCTTGCTACAACAGTTAGTTGGTTCTTGCTTGATGAGTTGTTGACTACGAACTCTTTAGTTTTTGGCTAAATGATATTTTAAATTCAGAAATTAGTTCAAATTAATAGCTTGTGAGTAAGTGAAACACAAAAATGTATTCAGTAGCGGGACTATCACAAGATTATGTACTTATTTAGTGGATATGCACTTACAAGATACATCTGTAAGTGCAACGTGCCCATGACTAACAAGAACATCGATGTACCTATGTCATTGTCATGATGCATAAAAACATTTCGTTTTGTAAACTTGCTAATTAGTTATTGTTTTATATTCAATGCTCAAAAATTCCGGTAAATTATAGTGCTCTTGCAGCCACTTTTCCAAAGGTTTTCACGTCTGTTACTACTTGATCTCTGTTAGTTTCTCTATAGTCTTATCATCTTCTGAAGATTGCTTACAATATCAACTTAAATCTTGAGACTTTATTTTCGATTTTGAGATGGTCAAATGATCTAACTTCACTCAAGATCACTGACTATTTAAAAATATCATTACTTGTCCTAGTAAAGATCATTCGCCGATTTTTGAAATTGTTTCATTTGTGTTACCTTTAATCTTCAACCACTTCGGAAGCGATGACTTTATAGTTTGACGAGAAATCAAGCGACAAAGATGAAATACTGTCCATTGCATTTTATAAGCATATTTTATGTATTGAGATCTGGATTGTTTTATGAGATATCGCTCACAATTTGAAACGCAAATGAATCCTAAGGGTGAAAATATTGCTTAGTAATGTTTGAGAGCTCAGTGTTCGTTCGAATCAAGGATTAGTATGTATTCAGTGCTTATTAATTCTGTAGTGGAACTGGGAATGCTTCGCCATATAACGTTCACTGCATGTTAATAACGATCTGGACCTAGTGGGTTTCTGGCTTTATAGTAAGATCAGTGGGCTCAGTGAGTTACATGTCTGAAACTTTATGAACCGTCTCCCTCAATCTTCTTACAATTATCCCATCTAATCAGCGTTTGACTGTAGTAGATCGCTATTAAAATGTCACAAACATTTTAGTCGATGAGTTTTTGTAGCTTCATTAGCTGATTTACCACGTTTTACTAGTACCCTAGATTTAATTACACCACTACTCCCTTTTGCGTTCTATTATACATGGGGGGGGGTGCTTTAAAGACCTCTACGGACTAATACTATTAAGTTACGTATATTCTCTACCTTCAAAGTTTATGCTTATCAGTCACTGCAAAACTCCGTCCTTTGGTTGATAGATTAACATGTTTTCGCTATATGAGGGACCCAATTTCAAAGGTGTATCAAATTCTTATGATAGGAGTGTTTAATGCTATTTTGCACCAAGAAATTAGTTAAATAATCTTCATTTTCACAGACAAGTTCAAACGCGATGACAATGAAAGATTGAAATTTAATACTGTGCTACAGTCTATGAGTTCACTTAAGATTTTCGTAACTGAAATACGCTGAGAAGCAAATTTTCGTCCTGTCTACTTCAAATACTCGTTACAATAAACCTGTTTTCTATCGAATTGAGAAAGGAACAGTGAAGTCAAGTGACTTTTGTATTTAATACTAGTCTTTTCATGATAATGTATTCTCGACAGAAATAAAGTCCCAGTGTTTATTTTTTAACAGGACTTGAAGTAAGAGTTGAGTATCAGGTTCATTTATTTGTGTGATTTTTGACCATTTTTTTTTACTGAGAGTGTGGTAGTCATAATATTTTATTCGAAGGTTAAAACTGTTAAGAAGTCAAAGATAATGATGAAAGACTTCTGTGTTGCTTGTTTTCCCTCACTTTTTTGAATAAGAGTTCTTGATAAAATTTAAAATGATATATCATTGTTCCCAAGGTTTATTACTCTGTCACCCTTATTTTTTCCACAGGTGGTTAGTTCTCACTCAAACAACTTTCTCTGGTAATATCCTTCAAATTAATGTCGCTTGGCCAAAATTTTTCTGACGTAATCCTTGTTTCTATATGAAAGTTACTGGATTTAAACACTGAAACCCGGATTAGAAACATGCCACAAATTGCAATCGATGGTGTAGAGATTGATTTTCCTTATCAACCATATGATTGCCAAATTGAATATATGACAAAGGTTCTGTTATCATTAAATGAGGTAGTATTTCCATCCTATTGATTTTATGTTTTTTATCGGATTGAGTAAATTTGGTAGTTTTTGTTTTCTGTGCAAATCATAGTCAATTAAACCGACTCACTTATTTTATCGAAATATTCATGTTCTTATTTTGTATGTTTGTCTAAGTATGGTAATTCTTGAAAATCTATTGTTTTAGGGTAAACATGCCATTTTGGAGTCACCTACTGGTACCGGTAAAACGTTATGCCTGTTATGCGCTTCATTGGCATGGCTTAATAAACAAGCGAATTCAGTACAATCAATAACAAATGCTAAACATCAAAATACAATGGGTAAACGGCCTACCAGTGATAATGTTGATAATACGTTATCTCATCAGAATTTTCTTGCAAGTTTGGGTAAAGTGAATAATGGATGTAAGATTATTTTTGCATCAAGAACCCATTCACAACTAGCACAGGCTATTAATGCATTAAAACGGACGGTTTATTCAAGGTAAGTTAAGACTGTATTAACAGTTTTTTTTCAAAGGATTTGCTTTGTACGTAAAAGTGTTATAACTAATATTTTTATCAGTTCAGTTATTCTTTAAGCGTGATAGATATCAATGGAGTAACAATGTAATGTGCCTTCATTTGTTGATGATGATAAAAGCATGTTCTTTTGCTGGTCAAAGTTTATCGATCACCACTTGAAATATTGTCACTATGGTAGTAACCTTGGTAGTTTTTTTTCCGATGCTGTATAATCGGAAATTTTTATAGACTGGAATTACTACCACTCATCGCAATTAGAACGTAATAAATAATGCATTATGTCCCAGTCTTATATTATGAAAAGTTATTCAGTCTTTCAAGTGGATTCTTTTTGTTAATCATTTTCACTGATTGTTATTCTTAATCAGTGTGAAAATATGCGATGAACGACTTGATGTTTAGGGTTTAATAAAAGTTATTTTGGTTCGATTAATGAGTTAATGATGAACTTGGCTTTCACATAGTTATTATCAAACTTACCAAAAGTGAATGATGATATGTTAAATCAAATCAAAGTTATTTTGAATGCTTTATTCCAGATTTATGTCACCTGTAATAAATGACTGTTCATGACAACCATTATATGCTCAAAAATGAACAAAAAATGTAGTCATTTCATCTTTAGCTCCTGTATAATCTTGTCAAGTAACGATGATTCGACTACTAAAAGTAGTATGCTTTTCTATAACTTCTTATTTTCCCTTTACATGTGTTTATCACCAACCAACTCAGAACATAAATCATACACGTTACTTATGAATATATATTTTTATACTTTTGTAACCAGTTTCAGGAGACTGAACTTCTTTTTACTTTAAAGTCCCATCTTTTATAGCGGTTTAATATTAACAACATATTTCCATCAGATAATTTCGGGAAAAGTAGTTTGTCATGTCATTCCATAGATATATTCTTCCGCGGTTGATTTATATCCACTTTGTAATTGAATAAATGCTTTTTCTGTCAGTTTATTTACCTACTAATTAGAGTTTTTGATTAACTTCATTCCACTACATTAAAGACATAGCGTCAGTGTCGTCGGGTCAAGAGACCAATTGTGTCTTCTTCCCGATGTAGCGTCGTTAGAGTCGAATTCTGCCAAAATTTATGCGTGCCGTATGAGAGTCCAAACGAGAACGTGTGAATATTTCAGGAATTTTGACTGTAAGTATGCCAATATGTAAAATTTATTTTTCTTATTTGATCTACTCATATTGTCACATTTCCTATCAATGTATTAAACCTACTGTAGTATTTTCCTAGTTCAAATATTTTCAGTATTATCATGGTATTTACAGATTGTAAACTCAAAGATGCTGAATACTTGGAGAGTTTACTTCCAGTTCTACATTTTATGGTACTTCGTCTTTTTGATCATGAATTCTCATGGTGTCGTTTACATTTGTTAGCTATACTAAGTAACTACATTCATCGGTAGAAGTGAAGTCAATAACACGTTACTGTACTTTCAAAGAAGAAAATAAGTTGTGAATGAAATTATACCATTGAGTACCAACTTAACATTAAACGTGGTAGACGTAAATTCATTCACTTTTCATTTTACTACAAAAATTATATATATAGCACCATTTTACTTCCTTTTTGTCGCCTTACTTCTTTCAGTATCTTGAATCCCTTTTTCTGACGGTCGTTCTGTTGATGACTTTTTTGTTACATTTTTGCGAAATTGTTTTAAAAGAAAACGTAAATGTCTAATTTAAACTAGATGTGTGGTACGATATAATGGCGAGATAATAATATAATATGTATTAATATATGTAAAAGAGTAATCTGTTAGCGGTTAAGTCGTTCGACTTTCAGCCTTTAAGTCCTAGATTCGAAACCCGTTCTACCTACTTCAGTTTGAGGAACCAGCCCTCACACCTATAGTGCAGCTCACAGCCGCATCTAATAAGTTAGTTAATTCAAGAAGTTATTAACTACATATAGTCGGCTAGGAACACTATACAATAATACTCGATAATTAGATCACTAGATTAAACTGCATGATATACAGATAGATAATTTTAACCAGCACCTGAGAACTATACAGTCTGAACTAAGGTAACCGTTTGTTAACACTTTCTGAAATCCAGAATATAGTACAGTAAAATCATTTGTAAGAAGAAATCCGTATTATTATATAATGTCATACATCTAGCATATCTGTATCTCTGTCTTTGCTCAATGACCAATCACTTGATATATCAATAATATTGTATAAACCCTATATTAGATTTCAAATCTTTCCTGTTTATTTATTTAATTAGTTATTGAATATATACTACTTTTATAATAATATAGCATATATATATATATGTGATAAATAATTATGAACCATTTATTGTTTCATTTCTTATTATTCAGCTAAACGTGATGATATTTTAACCAATTTAAAATCTGAAGGTATTGTCGATATTGAAGATTTATCTAATTATGGTCAAAAAATAAAGTAAGAATTTCTCTCTATTTGATTTCATAAATTCCCTTCTCATTATGTAATCATAATTATTACCTCAATTGTTTTTTAAAAAAAACAAAAAATTAAATATGACTATAGCGATCGGTTGAGAAATGTGAGAATTCTCTAACGGGCGAATCAATCACTCTTTATGTTATTAAGATTGTAAACTCTTGCTCTTTTTTTTTCTCCTAAAAGATAGGTGTAAATAATGTTGGTTAGTATAATAAATATAACTCTTTAAATAAACTGTCCAATTCTGTAAACAGTGTTGAGAACCATTTGAATCAAAGAGGTGAAAACGACCATGAAGTACAAGTATTGTGTGTAGTTGAGTTAATACTATCCAATTATACACACCCATTACATTTGAATTTCACACTAAATTCAAACAGCAGCAATCTATGTTCCCAATCTCCATAGACCTTAGCCTTAAAAAAAATAGGAGTTTAATCACTGTAGGACAAACTGTGAATATCATGAACGTATAATCACATTTATTTAGTATCAACTATGGACATTAGACTGACACTTAGTCGGTTTATCACACAATTATAAACATTTGATTAATTTTAAGTTAGTTTAAACATTGAAATCACGAATCGATCAATGTTAGACCACCATTGATAACCTGAAAGCACTGGACGGCCGTATCGTCCTATGTTAGCGGTATATAAATTGAATTGAAGCATATTCCATGAAGGATTGTGTTGAGGCACGTTGATTGGCTATTTCTTATCCAACCAACGCTAGAAGAGACTTGGACAATATTCTAGAATCTTCTTATTTTAAATATACTAACGTTTTTCTTATTGTGATCCCTACTTTCATCTAACGTTTTTATTTGGAATATAATTAAGCTCTTATTCAATCATGTTCTAATTTGGGGACTTGTCGAGTAAAGCAGTGTCTAAGAATACTGCGCAATACGAGTATTTCGACAGAAATAAAAGAAATTATAACATCCTAGCATGGGGCTCAGCAGTGCGCATCCACGATCCTGTACACGGGACCCAAACCCGGGATCTTCAGTCCCGCGCGGATGCTCAACCTCTGGACCACTGACCTGGCATTCAGTGGTGTTATTGTGTAGCTTCAACCAATCTACGACATTGAGCAACCATCTTCTACTGTCTTCGGTGGGTAAACTGCCTCACACTTTACACGGTTAAACTCCACTGGTCATGGCTTCTCACTAAGACTCCGAGACTTCCCTCTAGAAGCTAGTCACTGGTAATCACATGAATTAGTTATATCTTTGCCACAAGTTGTTGATGATTTGGTCTTTAGGTAACCCATTCTTAACAGCTTACAGAATGGTGTAGTTGGTGTTAGAAAAATTCTTAAAAAACACTATCCCTTATTTGTATTAGAAAGTAACATCAATTATTGAGAAGTCATCTAGTGATAGCAATTTACAAATACCTTGTGGTCGGATGTTAACAGTTAAAACCAACTCCCAATAATAATTTTCTAAGATTATTATCATGAACAGTCATAGAACGAAAGAATAACATTATTACTGTCAGTGGCATCTAGCGGTTTTAAATCTGACCATTCTGTTTCCATTTTTTTACTTCAGTTCCTTTACCACTGATAGGATTAATGGGCAGGATTTAGGCAATTTACTGAAGAGTGGGTGATCTACAAAACTGATTTTCCTCTGTAGCTTGTGACATTTGATCATGTTTGCTTTCCTGTTAATAACTTGTGTATAGATTGAGATAGCCTTCTATCAGTGTGCATTTGTTTACGAAATTAGTCAGTTAGTTGTAATGTATTGCTTTAAAAAATCTATTTTGTTTCAAGTTGCCACACGATGTCGTCGTCATGAGATCATAGTAACAAGATTAATAACAAAGTAGCCGAAACACTAACAGTACCCTAATAGTAAGACAACATATAGAAAATGTAGTTGGAAAAAATGAGAGAGGATAAAATGTACTAAATAATTTTGTTAATCAAGATTTGGAGAAAGATTATAAACGAGAGTGTCTCAGCAACACTCTAGTCAATTTTCGGCTGTCACACAATGTCTACAACAATTGATCACCAGTATCTTATGTACTCAATCCTTGGTCAAAGACTAGTGTCTTTTACTGTTACGAAGCTTTGTATATGAATTGATATAAAATTGATAATTTATTTATTCCACTAGTTTTTATGAAGCAAACGACTATCTAAAATCTCTCTGAGAGATTTTGGATTGAATTGAATCCATCATATATTGACGTCAGTACTGTTAAGAGTAAAACAGTCATCAATAATGGTATTTAATGGTTGTTGCACAGTGCCACAAATTAAATGAAATCGTGGATGTAGACTGTTGTATTCCATCTAAATGGTTTAATAGTTAAAAACTCACTTCAAGACATGTAAGTTATAGGTCTGATCCCTGGTGCGATTTTGGGTGCTAAGGGATTCTGTAATATAACTTGGTTTTCAATTGTATCCAACTGATTTCATTCTGTGAAAAATGTCGCCCCAGTCATAATCTACGTAGTGGATGGCACAGATGTGTGTTGGCCCACGTCACAGTACCAAATTAGCACAATGAAACTAACAAGTTAAATATTATAGGAGTCGAAATAATTTTGTAGCAACTATAATGAGGAGGACTTAGCATTAGGTATACGGTTTGTAAATACAGTACTTACTTACTTACTTACTTACGCCTGTTACTCCCTATGGAGCATAGGCCGCTGACCAGCATTCTCCAACCCACTCTGTCCTGGGCCTTCTTTTCTTGTTCCATCCAATTCTTGTTCATTTTTCTCATGTCTATCTCCCTTTCTCAGCGTAATGTGTTCTTTGGTCTTCCTCTTTTCCTTTGGCCTTCAGGATTCCATGTGAGGGCTTGTCTTGTGACGCAGTTGGTTGCTTTCCTGAATGTGTGTCCTATCCACTTCCAGCGCTTCTTCCTGATTTCTTCCTCCGCTGGGATCTGCTTTGTTCTCTCCCACAGTACGTTTTTGCTAATAGTGTCCGGCCAACGGATCTGAAGTATTTTGCGTAGACAATTGTTAATAAACACCTGTATTTTCTGGATGATGGCTTTCGTAGTTCTCCAGGTTTCTGCCCCATACAGTAGAACTGTCTTGACATTTGTATTGAAAATCCTGACCTTGGTGTTGGTTGACAGTTGCTTTGAGTTCCAGATGTTCCTCAGTTGTAAATATGCTGCTGTTGCTTTGCCGATCCGCGCCTTCACATCTGCATCAGATCCACCCTGTTCATCAATGATGCTGCCCAAATACGTAAAGGTTTTGACATCTTCCAAATCTCCGTCAATTGTGATTGGATTGGTGCATTCTGTGTTGTATCGGAGAATCCTCCTTTTCCCTTTGTGTATATTGAGACCTACTGCTGCTGAGGCTGCTGCCACACTGTTCGTCTTCTCCTGCATCTGTTGTTGCGTTTGGGATAGAAGGGCCAGATCATCTGTGAAGTCTAGATCATCCAACTGCATCTTAGATGTCCATTGTATCCCGCGCTTCCCTTCAGACGTTGACGTCTTCATGATCCAGTCGATCACCAGGAGAAAGAGAAAGGATGGGAGTAAGCAACCTTGCCTAACACCGGTCTTCACTTCGAACGACTTTGTCAACTGTCCTCCATGCACAATTTTGCAGTGTAATCCATCATATGAGTTCTGTATGATATTGACTATCTTCTGGGGCACGCCGTAGTGTCGAAGAAGTTTCCATAGTGTTGTTCTGTCCACGCTATCAAATGCCTTTTCGTAGTCAATGAAGTTGATGTAGAGTGATGAATTCCATTCAATTGATTGTTCCACAATTATCCGTAGAGTTGCGATTTGGTCTGTACACGATCTATCCTTACGGAATCCTGCCTGTTGGTCACGAAGTTGGGCGTCTACGCAGTCCTTCATCCTGTTTAACAATACCCTGTTGAAGACTTTTCCCGGTATTGAGAGAAGAGTGATGCCCCTGTAGTTATCACACTTGCTGAGATCGCCTTTCTTTGGTATTTTGATCAGTAGTCCTTCTTTCCAGTCTGTTGGTACTTGTTCCTCATCCCAAATCTTATTGAAGAGAATGTGGAGTATCCGTGCAGTTGCCGCTACGTCTGCTTTTAGTGCCTCTGCTGGGATGTTGTCCGGTCCTGCTGCTTTGCCACTCTTGATTTGTCTGATGGCCATGCTGATTTCTTCAATTGTTGGTCGACCAACATTGATTGGGAGGTCCGTGGGTGCTGCTTCGATGTTGGGTGGGTCCAGTGGAGCTGGTTGATTCAAGAGTTCTTTGAAGTGTTCTACCCACCTGTTTTGTTGCTCTTCAATGTTCGTGATTAACTCGCCTTCCTTGCTTTTGACTGGTCGTTCTGGTTTGCGGCGATTTCCAGAGAGTTTCTTTGTCGTATCATACAATTGTCTCATGTTTCCTTCTCTTGCAGCCTTTTCCGCCGTCGTTGCTAAATCTTCCACATATTTACGTTTGTCGGTTCTGATGCTCCTCTTCACTTGTTTGTTTACTTCTGTGTATTCAGCTTGTGCCTTGGGTTTTTCTGCTCTTGTTCGGCTGTTATTGATCGCTGCCAGCTTGTTCCTTCTTTCTAGAATCTTATCCAGTGTACCAACAGTGATCCATTCCTTGTGGTGGTGCTTCTTGTGACCCAGGACCTCATGACATGTTGAAGTGATTGCTTCTTTGATCCCCTTCCAGTTGCTCTCCACAGTAGTTTCTTCTTCATTGAGTAGATCATGAAAGGCCTGGAACTTGCTGCTGAGGACTATCTTGAATTTGTTGAGTTTATTAGTATCCTGAAGAAAGGCCGTATTGAACTTTTGTGATATTGTCTGCCCCGATCGAAGCTGCTACCTTGACGCGGTGGTCGGGCTTGCCTATCGTGATGACCCAACCGAGCTATATTGGCTGGAACATATGTTCCTGCAGGTTCTACCATGCCAGGCAGGTCGATTGGTGAACGGTAAGACTAAAAGCAGCAACTCAAGGTCTGAGGGCGAAGTCGTACTGCTGACTGTAGAGAGGTGTGACAGCAGTAAGGTGTTTCCCTCGGACACCCCTCCCACAAGGAGGGGTGGGGTTAGAAAAGGTCGACCCTAAAAATGTCACACCTCACCTTACCTCACGGATTTCCGTCTCCGGCGGTAAGGCCCTTCGAAGAACGGAGCTAACACGTCAAAAACCTTCCACAAAAAGGCCGTGCGCGACCGGCCTCAAGCAGTTGTCCCTTAGGCTCTGCGGTCACGCTCCCAGGTCGTCAAGACCAACACTAATCCAATTTCCTTTTCAGGTTCCTCAAGAAATACCCTTCCACGGTGTGGGCAGCCGGGAAGTGACATCAGCCCTCATACCCGTAACAGCACAAGAGACCAAGGTGGTCACATTCAAATCTTTCCTACACCTCCTAATACCTCTCTTTATCACCTCGCACCGCTAGGGCGAACGATTCGAGTACATGGAACGCCATTCCTGGTCTCCTGAAACCACGCTCTAAACTACACGTAGGAGCTTTTAACGTCCGAACACTGTGCCAAATAGGACAGCAGGCTTCCTTAGCTAGGACTTTAAAATCTCGCGCCATCGATGTGTGCTGCGTCTCCGAAACGCGCATACAAGGTCCGAGTAGCGTCATTCATTTGACCTCACCCTGCCAAAATAAAGAACCGACTCGATTTACGCTTCGTATATCTGGAAGCCCTGATTCTGCTTCCCGTGGCCTCGCCGGCGTAGGTATAGCATTGAGTCCTAGAGCAGAACTAGCTCTCTTAGAGTGCGCTGTCCGACTGAACAGAACAGTTAGGATCCGGAAAGATAGGGACACTCGTCGTTGCCTCTTCGTCGTTTCTGCCTATACTTCCACTGACTGCAGCTCAGATGATGTAAAAGATGAGTTTTACAGAAAGCTTCCCGACCTTCTCCTAAAAGCTAGGCGCTCTGATGTAGTAATAGTGGCCGGTGACTTTAATGCTCAAGTAGGTAAACTAAGCGATAGGGAAAGATACCTAGGTGGATCTTATGGTATCGTGGCTCAAATAACAGATAATGGCGACCGTCTGTTGCAGCTATGCTCATATAACCGTCTGTCCCTTGCAAATACTAACTTTAAGCATAAGGAAAAACATGTTTTAACACGGCGACCCCCTAATTGGTCCCAACGTTGGACCCAAATAGATCACATCGCTATCAGCCACCGATGGAGGGGCTCGATAGAAGACTGTCGCTCATTCTGGAGCACATGCCTAGATTCAGATCATGCTCTAGTGCGAGCGCGTATTTGCTTGCGTCTTACTGGACGTAGGAAAGACGCTGCAAGGAAACCTCTTAGGGGCCTACTTAATGATAGTCAAGCTAAGAGTATATTTCAGGAACAACTAGGAAAACAGTTAGGCAGACATGTATGTGATGCCCACCCCGAGGCAGCATGGAATGATATCCGAAAAGCTGTGGAAACGGCAGTGATATCTGCTAGCAAGGTAAACCAGAAGGTTAGGGAGCAACACTGGATCTCAGCAGCATCTATCGCACTGATAGATGCTTGGAAACTCATTCCACCTGGCTCTGAACATAGTGAACAGCGGAGTCAGCTTAAGCGCAAGCTGACAAGAAGCCTACGCAATGATCGCGAACAGTGGTGGGTAGCGAAAGCAAGAGAGATGGAAAAGGCAGCGGCAATAGGTAATAGCAGACAATTGTTCAGACTCGTTAAGGAAACCGGAATTAGGAACCCGACCGTTAGCGAAACAATCTCAGAGAAAGATGGACATATTATTCATTCTCAATCCAGGAGATTTGATCGAAAGGCAGAACACTTTAGGGATCAGTTCAATTGGCCTTCAGCCACACTTCGGTTTCCCACGATCTCTAGTCAACCTGAATGGCAAGTTAATGTAGGTCCTCCGTCCCTTTACGAAGTTGAAAAAGCCATAGGAAATCTGAAACGAGGGAGAGCAGCAGGCCCTGACAGGTTTACTCCTGAGATTTTTAAGGATGGTGGTCCAGTATTATGCGGACTCTAACCACGTAGTCTGAACCTGTCTGTACATCTCAGATCAACAGAAATTAAATTTCTGAACTGATATTCTGTTTTAGCTTGACAATCCCTAGCTTTCCTCTAGCCTGCTCTTACGCAAGCAAACAGCCCCCGTCGATGTATGCACTGGTTAAGGTTATCTAACACATATCTTCACGACCTTAGTCGACGAAGATTTACTACTTCATCAATCAATTTACTACATTTTCCAAGAACTTTATGCATAACTTCGATATCATTTATTCTGTCGCTTCACGAAAAGGGAGGAATACCTTGAAATTCATGCACAAAACCCTACAGTCTACACATATCTTCTACTTTCATAGACCATGTTCTGTGGACATAAACTGAAACGGAGCATACAGCTGCTCAGTATACTCTCTGTGTGGTTGACAAACAAACATCTCACCTGCTCCACAAGTAAAACAAGTTTACAAAGCCCAACTGTGCTTTTCGAATCCTGGCCTATATTTCACCAGACACCATCCCACCAGAGCTGATGAGACTTCTATAATAAGTGAGGAAACCGAAACTCAACTTCTTCATTCCCTGTGATCGATCTAGGTAACAAGGCAGACCAGTCCTGAAGTATCATTGTTCGTTTAGAGAGAAACTCATCACAAACATGCTAGCATTATTGCTTAAGGGGGTCAGAAGACTATATCTCATCAATTTCTTCACCAAATAAGACAATGTCATCTGTGTATATCAAGTCGATAAGTCAATCTCCTGATAGGAAATCAACCCTTCAAAAGTTAGATCTTAAAACTTCGATTTCTAAGGGGACATCTATGATGAAACTTAATAAAAATGAGGGTAGTGGATAACCCTGACGAACACCACTTGTGGTTGACAATTATGGTGACAGTTTGCCATAATTTCTGACTCAACTAAGTGTTCAAATACAGAGCATTTGCTAGGTTCACATACTTATTTGTTACGACTTTTATTAACAAAAACTCACAAAACCTGTCGATCAACGGAGTTGAATAATGTCTTTAAGTCAGAAAACAACTACAGTCGGTATCTGGTGAGTATACTTCTGGAATCTTAAAAGGGATGAGTATTTGTTCAATGCATCACATTCACTCCTAGTTTTCTGTTCCCGAGCAGCAGATAGGAGACAGATGATTATAGAGGCCAGTGTTTTCAATACTATTTTAGTCAAACTATTTCCTCTGTTGTTACCACGAGATTTCTATCTTTTTATAATCTGAGACGATCAGTGATCGAGATTATCCAGACGGGATTATATCCCGTCACCAAACTCTAGTTATAATCTCAATCAACTTACCTCCTAACATGCGACCGCCGTACTTGAAGTCCGGTCGAGCAAATCTATCTGGTGCTGTTGGTCTCACTCTTTCCGCTAGATACTACCTTATGAACTGCATCAAAAGCTGGAGGAAATCGTGGCATTTTCCTATGACGGTTGTTCAGTGATATTCGTTACATATTATGACGAGTAGATAAAAGTATTTTACAATTTACAACTCATCTTATGGAAATATAAACATTTCGACTTTACATTTCTATATGTTTTCTAAAATAAATTTGTACTGTTTTTTCGTTTTAGATGTTGTCCTTATTTCATATCGAGAGAACTTAAAACCGATTCATCTTTGATTTTCATGCCTTATAATTACGTGCTTGATCCTCGAGTGAGTATTTTCTTTTACCTTTGTATGTATTTCTGTCTCTGTGTTTAGTAACTACTATGATTAACAATAGTTAAGTATTATTCAGACCATTAGTCTTAATCAGCAATCAGATTTTACCACATTTAGATAATGATCGAAGTTAAAGGAAAGTTTAACCTACATACCATAACGACGCGAAGTATGATTTCCTATCAGACTGAATGACTTTATCTATCTGGATTATTTTAAGTTGTTGATACTCCCATTAAAACGGCAAATCTCTGGTGTGTGCTACTTATACGGACAGATATAAATACTATGTGTCAGGGATTAGAAGTAGATTTCTTACTGATAGAAGAGGAAAATAAAGAGTAATAAAAAACAGGAATGAAAGGATGATGTAGTTTTTAAGAGACAATTCAAGAAATATGTGCAAATAACTCACTTGATGCATTGTTTTCATATTTTGCAAAGATACTGTAATTCCGCATGATATAATGAATTTCTCCTGCTCATGTCTTCGTTCATTACAATTGGTGTGGCTGCCTCTACTCATGATGAAGATTCCATGGCAGCAGGATTTTTAGGGATGAGATAGGTTATAAATATATTTTTCCGGAGGTTCAGGTGGTTCTTTATATATTATTCCGCACTAGGGTAGTGTGTCCCCAAGAGACTTGAATGTTGTTTTTTCATCAAGTTGAGCGAGTACCTAATCAATTTCATTACCTTCAAATGAACTCTTTCATCTTGATTAATGATTACTGGTAACTATGATGCCTATTCTATCTTGCATTTTTACTATGTAACGTACATATATGTTACTTATATCTGTCCATATAAATAGCACACATCACAATAGTAGAACCGAATGAGCCTTCGATTTGTACACATAATTTCTCCAAATTCACAAGAAATGAAAATTTTCTCTCACTTTAAGAAATGTTTCATGGCTTTCAGCTTACTGAAAAGTTTGACGTGTCAATAAAAAGTGAAAAAATATTCCCGATTATACAAAATGGCGGCCTGCTTAAATATCAGTGCTACTTGTTCCTGCTATCTGGATATCTCAACAAGTTATCTGCTTTTTGTTTGCTTTAACAGATCATTATGTCTTTTAATCAAATAAACTATTCAGACGCGTTTATGAAAAGTTTACGACCTTTCTCTGTACAAGTTACAAAAAAGTACAGTCAGAGACATCGTGGTGTCTGACATTGAAAAGAATGAACTCAATTCAGATGTCGATTCCTAAACTGCTAACATATAACTGGCGATCACTCAATATTTATCGTCAGAATCGATCAGGAAATGAGAAAAGGAAATTTTTTGAAATACTTTTTGCTTAGAATTCTATATTGTACCAAAAATATAATATTGAATAAAGCAATTGATAGTAACAATAATATGGCTCGCCAGCTGAGTTATTAACGTCAGAAAACTTTCGTTACATAATAATAAGGGGTACAAAAATTAAATCTGTAAAGGCGGCTTGGCGACCTGCTCATCGAATTTACAGGATTCCTGTGAGATTTGTTTATGATGACTATGCTACTTAACAGTAACTCGACTTTTATTCCAAGATTTATTCTTTCATTTTAGCGGTGGTTAGTCTAAATTATACTCTCGAACGACAATGACATCTTGAACCAGTTCAAAAGATCAGGAAGTAGCAAACATGAGTGAATAAATTATTGTGTAAAACTAAAGAATTTACAAAGAATACATTGTCTTAACATGATTAATGAACATTTTACGGTCATCCATAGTTTCCTAACAGTTAAAATTTGAGATTAGGATCGTGGTTCGGGGTTAGTTTATCTAAACCATAACTTTTAATACTAAATCCTCACTCCTAATCCCTAAACCATATACCTAATCCTAAAATTAAGCAAAATCCTAACCCTAAAAACATTGTAATGAAATACTACTGTGTCATGTATTTCTTTAAATCCATGCACAATCATTTCATTTTCATTTGAAAGTTAATGTTGTTCACAGGAATTTAATGTTTTTGAAGTACTTGATAATATTTTCTTCATTAAAATTAAACTCAGTATGACTGATAAAGAATAACTCGCTTTGATGTTTCGATAAACGTCACTAACTATCGGAATGTGCATTATAACATTGATATAAATAAAAATAATATATTTGTAATATCCCAATGAGTAGAAAATTGGATTTTCTGATGTTTCGTGACTTAGTGTAAGTCACTTCTTCAGAGAATAAATAACCAAAAACATTGAAGTAGCTTTCTCTACTCTGATTGAATCGTCAATGTACTCAAGGTTCACCTTTACATGTTAATTGTAATCTAAGTATTTTCTACTTAGTTGATGCAATTTTTATCAGGTTTGCTTATACTGAATTAAACCAGTCTCTATTGTTTTGGTATGTACTGAAAATTGATTGCTGTAGCTTTTTTTTTTATCATTTTTTCTGTTAGTTTGAACCTAAGCAACTTATATTTACTGTAGAACCATATCTAATATATATTCCAGAAGTTATAACAGTCTTTTAACATAAATCGACTACGGGTACGTTTTACTAACGAATCTAGTAATCCTTTTCAGGATTCTAATTCGATAATCGTGTAGCGCACAAAATCATAACATGAAATGTATGTGGAACAGGAAACTGGTACAAAAACCACAATTAGAAATGAGGTTTGTAAATCTCTAATCGAGAGGTTGCCCAATGTCGATTGTGCCACCAAAAGAACAGTCAAAAATAGATTATGACTTTCAAATAATTGTATATGAGGAAAATTACAAAATATGCTATAAATTAGAGGATAACACACGCCTTTTTCAAGGGTACTAGGGAATAACAATAATAAAATGACACCTATCACTTTAAAATAGGCAAGCTGTTGTGAATTAACAAAACTCAAATGAATAACAGATATAATGGTGATAAAATAATAGAAACAGAGAGGAAAGTGCACTAGAAGTATGAAAACGAATTTAAAGATCGAGAAATAATTGAATCATTTGCAATAATCAGATCTCTGAGATAAAAAAAACATAACGTTGCAGGTTCTTAAAATGACTGGACGTAACACACTACTAAATAATGACAGTTAGTATAGTGTGGTGTAAAACAAGAATTGAACAAGAAAGAGATGAATTTCCGAAGTTCGTAACAGATTCAACACTAATAGATACTGGATACTAGAACATGGTATGTGACAACATATCTCGAAAATCAAATTGGCTAGCTCGAAGAGATTACACTTAAATCAGACGACAGGTTTCCATAACTAAATCATTTTTGCCTACGTAGAAGTGTACCTTAGAAATTCAAACATCGCCACTCTTTCTTTAATGTCAAGACGAAATATTATTTATCCTACCGAAGTTGAACAGTTGGGTAGTATGACTTCTTATTACATGGCCATTGGAACTGGCAGACTAAGGCACGGGCTTCCACATTACTGTTAAGCAGAAATCATTATTATCTTCACAACTTTTAGGTAGGAAGAGTGGAACACGTGCCAACTGTCGGTCGAAATCATCACACGGCACTAAAAATCAAAACCGATCGCGCTATCCTATTGTCTGTTTTGTTCCATTTCAAATACTAAGCTAAAAGTTATGTCATAAAAGATGTGACAGGACTACGGGTAATCAACTACTATTGCAAATTACTAAGTAATACTACTATAACCAACTTACCCAGTACTGACTTGCGAAATCCACTATCTGGTACATCTTAAAATATAAGGGCTAGTAATTTTATCCCACATATATAGGTGTAGCTGTTTTTAAGTCTGCTGCCTAACTTCGAGCGTCATCATGGCCCTAACGGTTGCTCTTGATAATTATATCTTTTTCCTAGAAATACCTTAATTTTCATAATTTCTTGACTTACATTCATTATATTTTTCAATTACATAATCACAGTTGTTATAGTACTCGCCAATCATTTACAAGATGTATATATATTCATGCATCTTGTTTAATTTGTTAATTTTTTTCACTTTCATAGATTCGAAGTCTTTATAATATTAATCTTGAAAATACAACAGTTATTTTCGATGAAGCTCATAATATTGTAAGTTATGTGATGGATCTACATACCTATTTAGTTAGTTAAATAAAAGTTAACTTCACTGCCTTGTGTTTATATGTCGTACTTATTTTTACCATTTAAACATAATAATCTTTACCTGTACGTAGCTCAATCTTGTACTTTTGTTGCATTCATAAATTACTTGACTTATCCGTTCCATTATGTAGTGAACACGAACAATAGTGGTGACAATAGAATGTATTTCAACATAAAATTACAAAATCTCCTAGTAAAATTTGAGAATCATACAGTTGACTCTTCATTTGCAAGGTGTCAATCAACTGTATCAAACTTAAATGTTCCTTCTGCGAAATGTCAATCAATCGTCTCAGATTTCACGGTTCTTTCGTTTCCACATCGATCATTCTTTGTTCTCGTTCCCTTTCTTCGATGTTCTCAGTCTTCTACCTTCAGGCATTTCACATTCTATTGGTGCAACATACTACTTATATCTGTCGACATCAGTAACACAAAACATACTCGTCCTCCCTTTAAAGCAGTCGTTCTTGCGGCAGTTCTGCTTGCTGTGCCACTTTTTTTACAGTCTGTGCCACTCTCTCCGTCAAAAAGTTGAGTTGGACGCGCTGGTCTCTGTAGCTCCGTCGTCCACCTGGCTCACGGGATGTTCACCGACTGTGCTCCAGCGACATACTGAGCCATCTACATCCGATGTCCACCCGGCAGCTGCACGTCCCACCACTCTCCGTTGACAGCACCCGCTACATCGAACACCGTCCCACCAGAACAATCTACTCAAAGTCAATTGCCTGCACCTGACCGCTTCAACTAACTCCAGGTCCGCAATGGCGTCCGTAGGACAGCACTCTTCGCCCCTCCTGATTGGCAGCGACACCAAATGTAGTGAATGAATACACAAGTACTTATAGGATGGAAACCTCATGGATCTAGGATCATCAAAGCATTATTCAGAACAAAGGAGGAGAGAATTACAATAAATGTTATCCAATGTTATGCAACCGTCAATGATAGCAATGACGACGTTAAACATCAGCTTTACGAGGGCCTGCAACCGACCATAGCGAAATGCCCAGAAAAGGACCTGACCATCGTGATGTGAAATCTAAACGCCAAAGTTGGCATGGAAAACAATCGGTATGATAATATCATGGGACGACATGGACTGGCGGGGAGAAAGGAACGAGAATGGTGAGAGATTCGCAGACTTATATGCATTCAACAAAATGCTGATAGGCGGCACAATATTCCCACATAAACACATACAAAATGCTACATGAATCTCACCAGATCACACCACGGATAACCAGATCTATCAAATTTGCATCAGTAAAATATTCAGAAAGTCAATGGAAGACATGCGGAAAAAGAGAGGAGCTGACATAGTTTCAGATCACCCTCTGGTGGTAGCCATGATGAAACTGAAGCTAGAGAGTGATTGGACAGCTGGACAAACAACATTACAAAGGTTCAGTAGAGCCTTCCTTCGACATACTGACAAACTGAACGAATTGAAGATAACTCTCGACAGCCGTTTGCAAACCTTACAGGATCTACAGGAAGAAGAAGAAGAAGAAACGATTATAGAGAACAACTGGAAAGAGATCAGAGAAGCATTAACCTCAACATGTCAGGAGGTGCTGGGTTGCAAGAAGCATCATCATAAGGAATGGATCTCCATCGAAATCCTGTTTTGAATTCAAGATAGGAAGAACAAGAAAACGGCAAATAACAACAGCCGAACACGAGCAGAGAAAGTCAAGGCACAAGCTGAATACTTTCAAGCAAGCAAGCAAGTAAAGATGAGATTTAGAGCCGACAAGCAGAAATACGTGGATGAGCTAGTAACGATGGCGAATTAAGCTGTAAGAGAAGGAAATATGAGACAGCTATATAACAGCCAGCACGCACTAACTTTTAATTAGTGTCACTCCACCAACGTTCGAAGAGATCAGGATGACCTTCAGACAAATCACAAGTGGGAAAGCAGCAGAACCTGACAACACACCAGCCACAGCACTGAAGCCAGACGTCGAAGTAACTGCAAACATGGTCCACGTTCTTATCACGAAGATTTGGGAGGAAGAACAAGTGCCGACAGACTGGAAATAAGTATAACTTATCATTATACCAAAAAGGAGATCTGAGCGAATGTGTGAAGAATCACAACACTGTCAGTACCAGGAAAGGTTTTTAATAAAGTGTTTCTGAACCGGATAAATACTCAGTGGACGCTTGAATTCGAGGTCAACAGGTCAGATCCCATAAGGATTGTCGTGCAAAGAACGAATCACGACACTACGGATCATCGTTGAACAATCATTTGAATGGAACTCATCACTATACATCAACTTCCTTGATTATGAGAAAGCATATGACAGTGAGAATAGGAGGAAATTATGGAAACTTCTTCGACACTATGTAATGGGTATGTGAGAAAATCGTCAACATCATCCTGAATTCATATGACGGACTACACTGCAAAGTCATGCATCGAGAACAACTGACAGACGCATTCCCAGTAAGGACCGGAATCAGACAAGACTGTCTATTCTCCACCTTTCTCTTTCTACGAGTGTTTGACTGGATTACGAAAACCTCGACATCGGAGGGGAAGCACGGAATACAATGAATAGCTTGGATGCAACTAGACGATTTGGACTTCGCAGATCACCTGGCTTTTCTATTTTCATGGAGTTTTGTTTTGTTTTGTTTTCTTCTGAACGATGAAAGCTCCATGACTAAACCATCCAGCTCAGGGAACAAAACTCCATCAAAATCATCCACCTGAGCTACAAATCTTCCCCACCATCTGGCTCTTCTATCTCATACACATCAACATATGCAGGTCAAGAAAATCAGTGAAGCAGAAGCAGCAGCAGCAGCAGCAGCCTCTGTATGCATCAGTAGGTCTCAACATACACAAGAGAAAAAGCAACATCCTCAAATGCAACACAGAGAACACCAACCCAATCACACTTGACCGAGAAGTTCTGGAAGAGGTGGGAACGTTCACGTATATGGGTAGCATCATCGATGAACAAAGAGGATCTGATACGGACGTAAATGTAGGGGCCTCACTCCTACAGTTGAAGAACATATGGAACTGAAAACAACTGTCAGTCAGTCAAAATCAAGTTCAGAATCCTCAATCCGAACGTCAAGACAGTTATACTGTACGGAGCTGAAACTTCGAGAACTACTACAACCATAATCAGAATCGTACAAGTATTTATAAACAATTGTCTATATGAGATACTCAATTTCCGTTGGCCGGACATCATCAACAACAGCCTACTATAGGAGAGAAGAAACCAGCTTCCATCTGAAGAGGAAATTAGGAAAAGACATAAAAGAGTTGGATAGGACACAGATTGAGGAAATCATCAAACTGCATCTCGAAGCAAGCGCTAACTTGAAATCGTGAAGGGGAACAGAGGAGAGGAAGACCAAAGACCACACTGCATCAACAATTGGAAGTAGACATGAATAGGATGAATAGTGACTGGAAAGGATTGCCTAGGAAAGTTTTATGGAGGATGATGGTGAGAGGACTATGCTTCTCCATGAGTTGTAACAGGCCTATGTATGGTGGATGTTTGCGAACTAGCGTTACTTGTGACTTAAAGGAGATATCCGTTGGCAACCAAAGGATAAGTTTACTGCGCATCTTTTTGTTCCGTCTTACTGTATGGGTATGAAACTTGTGTATTAAGAATGGAGGATATTCGCAGGCTACTAGTATTTGATGTTAGGTGTCTTTGAACAATCTCTCGTGTATTTAGGGACTACCGAGTATGTAATGTCTGGTTTAGGGATAGGTTATTGAACAAAGATGAAAAATTGACTGGTGGGGCAGTAAATCTTGATCTGCTGATGTGGTTTGGACATGTGTTAAGTATGCACAACCACTGCTCACCAAGGTAGGCGATGTCTTATGTGGGAGCAGGTTGAAAGAAAGCCAGAGTTGCTCGAAGCAAGACATGGCATCAGTCCAAGAAGTCATTGACTTTTGATGGTTATGATACATTTCGCCACTTGCTTCTCTGCTCTTCTGTGATGGTCATCGGAATATTTAAAAATAATCATACTAAACTATATTATTAGTTAATGGACTTTTTGGTCGTTGATCTGCAATGTAGGCGAATGTTCACGAAATATTTTCCTATAGTACTTCAATTAATAAGCGGCGATGTCGTTAGATGGAATTTCTTTTTACCACTGATTTATCATGCAGTGTTATGAATATTATAGTTGATAGTGAACTTGCTTAGATACTTATTATATTTTCAGTTTTGATTTTACTAGTTCAGTTACCGAAGCTAATGTAATACAACAGTAAACATTTCTCTCGCTCTATTCTTGTTGTTGGATAGGAGCAAGTGTGCGAAGATGCTTCATCAGTGACATTAAGTTCTGCTTTATTAGCGTCAGCTATTGAACATGTTAAATGTGTGTGCGAAGTTGTATTTGATCATACTAAGGAGCATCAAGAAATAGAACTTTCAGAGAGTAACTGCAACATGAATCAAAATAGTGAACAAAAACTCTCAGTTATAACGAATAGAAAAGGGTTGTTTGATATGACACATCCTGAAGAAAATGCAAGTATGTTATGTTTATTGAAAGATGATATTTCATTTGACATTATTTCGTTTTCTAGTTGAAGCTTTGAGCATTGAAAAAATGATTACATTAAAAGGTTAGTGGTATGCATTGTTGTATAACTAACTTATTTTATGTTAGGACAGTTGATAGAATTAGAAAGATTAATTGATGAATTAAATGTCCCTCCGGAAGGTCTTACCAAAGATGGCGCGTAAGTTATTCTATGTGGTCATTGGTTGTCTCGAAATTTGTCAAAAGTCATTTAAGCTGTTTTTTGGAATGAGGCGATATATATAAAATAGAGCTAGTTACTATTTAGTCATTGATTACCGTATTTTTTCACGTTGGTTGAATTATATACTGTAGGATCTAGAAAGTCATTTGCTTCTTAAATAATAATAATAATAATAATAATAATAATAATAATAATAATAATTTAATCACTACTTTATTTGTTAATATAATTTCATATGATTACTAAGTCCGAAATCTGACTTGCGCCTCCGCGTCGTGCCTCTTGGATAGTGGGACGAATGACTCATGAAATAACGTGAGTAGTAACCCGGGTGGTAGAGATCGAGTTAATCACCCACTCGACCGATACCCTCAAATGGATTACGAACTCCACAAAGAAACGCAGCACAATTACTCTTGGATGGAAAAACGACAAAAAATTGACAAACGTGGCACATGTAATGTACGAGGTTGCTCCTCACGGGGCAAACTCCAACTGGTTACAAAAGCAGCTATTCTAGCCCTGGTAGTTGTGCCGTGCTTCGATGTGGCCTGTTTCTCTCCAGAGAGGCCTATCAGGCTTCACCAACTTATTTGGCTGGAAGGTGGGGGGACTAATTTCAGTGGTATATAAAACTCTGTGCATTAAGTAAATAAATTAAAATTCATTGACAATTGTATCACTGAATGCAGTTGAAGAATGAATGCTCAAAGCTGTATCCTTCATCGTTTGAAATTTATCGACCTCATTAAATGGTAGAATATTATTTTCAAATTGTTTCTTTCAATAAAGCCCGATTCTTTAGTTAAATAATGATTACTTACGATATAATATTTTAGATGTTCCATATATGAAGATAACAAGAATCTATGTAAACTGTACACTTGAATGCTAACTAAATTCATAAGTACCTGTTTATTTTACAAGCCTCTACAACTGTGATTCGGATAGTTGTAAATTATTAGCGCAAATGGTCTATTTGATTTACTGTGTGTATTTATTCGACCGCAAACGACCATCCCTTTCTGCATTTTATCAACATAACTTTTCAATCAAATGTAATAATTTACACAATAAATCATTCAAACAAAAAAGTAGCGCAAAATAATACTCGTTTAACTAAATGTCAGTGTTTTCAAAAGTGATGATATATACCTTGAAACGTCATCAATGTAATAACATTTAATCATTTGTTAATGTGCCCACGTTACTATCGTTTGTTTAAAATTCGCAATCCGTTTTTTCTAAAACTTCTATTTAGTTTCATCTTTGATCTTCTTAGTCGAGCTGGAATCAATCACTGGACCAATAACACTTTACAAACCGTAATCGATGAAATTATGTCATTCACTAATTCAACACATAGTAAATTATTACGATAGTAATTGTTATCGTATGCATTATTTCTTATTTAATTTTGGTAATGTTTTTTAAAGAGTTTTGTATTCAAAAGAGGAGATCAGACCAATATAAAGCTGTTAATGTCAGTTAATCAGCGCAGTCTGTCAAACTGTTGATTGTTTTTGTGTATATCATGTTAGACTGTATATGTGCTCAAACTGAATATAAGCGCAATAGACTGAGAAAATTGTTGGTATCCATCTATGACTGCTGAATCGGATTAATTAATTAATCTAATTTTCCTTAGAGCATATACGGGATATAACAAATCATTTGTTGAAAAAAATAGTTAACGTTTCACAGTTTATACAAACGTCTCAATTTCGGTTATCATAATTCTCTATCATCTTTTCACAATCTAGATTAATTTACTTACTATTCACCAATGTTTATCTCTCTGTTGTTGTTTATAGTTTGCTTCTATGCAATCGTGATATGAGGGTACTTGAACTATTGTGTGAAATACTACAATCATTTGCTTACTTCTGTAGCTCTGACTCATTCACAAAATGTTGTAAATCATGTAATACATACACAGATTAAATTATTGTTCAAATAATGTCAACTATTTCTCTCTCAATGCGTTCAAATATATTCAGTAGACATTTTAAATGATACATATTACATTGAACATTTTGATATTGTTTTGATCAGTGATTACCGAATAGTCTTGCTTTCTTCATTGAGTCGGCATGACAGTTACATTGTGATAGGTAGCAAGTAGCACTTATTCTACAGTCATAGTGAACAACAGTATCAGCATTTTAGTCGAGTCACGTTACAAATACAATTGTCATTTTTCAAATGCTTACGGAAACTTCTTTGTGGCTAAATTTATAAGTCATAAAATTAAAAAAATGACTAACTGCTAAACATTGTGAAATTTAAAATGTTTTATAGTTTTTTTCTCAAGGTGTAGCATAACGCAAAACCAAAGTTCAAATAATAAACGGCTAATGATACTTAAGTTTAGAATGTCAGAAACGCTTAAAACTCTACATAGATCTACCATTGATATCGATTTCGAATTCTTTCTCTTTTAATCATTAACCATTCCAACCAATAGGTTTCTATTCCACCCTACCTACTTCCATCTGAGCGACCAGATGATACCATTGGTTTTCACACAATGTGTTATGGCTCATAGTCGATTACATAAATCTGTGAGTTAAGTGGTCTGAATTATAGACAAACCATTCCTGTCTGCATTGTAGCACACAATCGTCCGATACACAGTCGACAACTTTCTGAGTTTGTTGTCATTGTCTTTTTCCGACTTCTTTGAGATCCCCTTGACGTTCAGGTTCAGCTACTTGAGATATCGAAGCAAACAATTCCTATGTGTAAGTGGGCGATACGGATTCGTACATTTTATTTGCTGCTATTCACATTCATTCAAATTAAACACTTATATCTAAACATAAAATCATTCATATATTTGGGTTGTAAAATCTAAAAAAACTATTACCCAGTTCGTGTACTTCGTTTTCATTTCACTCTTTTATTCTTAGATGTCAAAATTCGCAAAACCAAAGGTTTACACGAAGTCAGTGAGTTTCTAAAAGTAAGAGTCTTTTATTAAAAACATGGTAATTATATCATCTTGATCAATTTTTCTGATAGTTTTGTTTCTTTAAATTATCTCTCATAAGGTAGGCATTATGAAGTACTTAGTTTATACACTATAGAATAAATGTAATGTCGCAATCAATTTTCATGATTATTATTATTTTTGAGAAACTCATATCAGTAGAACATGATTTTAGAATTTGATGTTATTCAATGAATTATTCGTAGGAAATTACGGGAAATGTATAATGTTTAATCAGCGTTCCCAAGTTTAGCTTGACAACACTGTCATTCTAGTTCGTTCATTTTCAAGCTCGCATATAAATTCTTGTGAATACATATTCCTTTCGTCAGTTTATTATCTAAACCAAATCAAGACGTAAAGTGTGTTATAAAATGATTTTTCCTTATCCTTTTCCAGTCAATAGCTATGAGAAGTAAAAGTTAAGATGTTACCTATTTTCCATGAATTGTGTTTGTTTTTTTTCGACTGAAAATATACAAGCACATATACTGTCAATGATTATATTTCCATACCTATTTATCTGTGTAATGCTTAACTGACTTTGTAGTTACTCCCGACCGTCAGTCAGTCAGCTATACCATAGAAACAGGTACATATATGCATCAATCCAGGTTGCCATACCGCATTAGCAAAACAAGATAAACAAATTCATACCCACCTTAATGTCTTTCTGTTGGTTTTAAGCTACCTACTCAAGCATTTAAGTCACCTACTACGAGTACTATGTCTGAGTGTTTAGCTTTCTGAAAAAGTTCAGAAACCTTTGTGTAAAAGTCATCTTTCACTTCATCCAGGCTGCAGTCAGTGGGAGCGTAGACAGAAATGACGAAAAGTTAAAGGCGTGTGTCCATATCTTTCCGAGTTCTTACAGAACCGTTTAGCCGAACAACACAATAGTATCACAACCCTATACAGTAAGACTTCGTTCTCGAACCTTAAGTGGTTACTTTTAGTCTTACTATTCTTCAACCGACCTACGGAAAAACCTGAGGGAACATGTGCTCCAGACAGTAGATCTCGATTGGTACTCCACGATAGGCTATCCCAACCACTACGTCAAGGTATATGATTAGAGATTCGCTTTTAAATAATTGTACTTGCAAATAATATTTGAGTTATTTAGTTAAAGTTCAGTTACTTTAGATTGTGTGTTAGGTGTTTAGTATTTTAATGTAACTATTATTGTCAATTTACTTATATTAGTGCAACAGATGCATTTTAATGAACATAATATTCATTTGAATAATTTATAGACTTGATTCTTTTGAAATTATTGTAAACGGGAAGACAGCTTCAAATAAAAACGGTATTCGTTTACACACAATATTTTTTAGCAGTATCACTATATCCTTTGTTCTATAAAACATTATATATATATATATATCTTTTTGTAGACTGTGTTCGGGTACCTCCCGGGTGAAGCAAATGTAACTTTCAATTTCAAGACACACTTTAAACTACAACATAATGATTCAATCTCGTGTTATCGTTTACATATTAAAGATGATATATTATCAGCTAACAATTGTAATAAGTATGGTAAAAATGCTTGGGATATGCAGCCTAATACTACTACTACTGTTGGTGCAGCTAATCGTACAATTAGTTATTGGTGTTTCAGTCCTGGACGGTGGGTTATTTTCTAATTTGATTATATGTTGTAGTAAAAATCCACTTTCTACAGATGATCATATTTCAAGTGGAAGTGATTAGTTATCATTTCCTCACAACTTAGTAGCGTTAACACAATTGTGAATGATTGAGATCATGAACCGACTGATGTTAGACCACCTTTGAAAACCTCGAAGCACTGGACGGCCATTTCGTCCTATTACGGGACTCCTTAGCAGTGCGCATCCACGATCCCTGTCGCGAGATTCGAACTCAGGGCCTTCGGTCTCGCGCGCAAACGCTTAACCTGCAGGACCACTGAGCCGGCATCCAATGGTGATAGTGTCTAAGCACATGTTAATTACTAGTATAGAGGTTGTGGAGATTACTTAGTTTTTCATTGAGATCATGAACCGATTGGTGTTAGACCACCTAGTGACTAGCTTCGTGAGGGAATTCTCAGAGTTCTAGTGAGAAGCCGTGACCAGTGGAGCTAATCCATGTCGGCCAGAGACAGGTATCTACTTCAGTACAATGGAAGATGGTCGCGCAGTTTCGTGGATTGGTTGATGTTAGACATTAACGCCGTTGGATGCCGGCTCAGTGGTCCCGTCGGTTAAGCGTTCGCGCGCGAGACCGAAGGCCCTGGGTTCGAATCCCGCTCGCGGGGTCGTGGATGCGCACTGCTGTGGAGTCCCGTTGTAGGACGAAACGGCCGTCTAGTGCTTCCAGGTTTCCAAAGGTTCATGATCTCAATCAAAAACTTAATAATCTCCACAACCCCTATACTAACAATTGTGAATGATAATACAAGACTGATCTATATCAGTACTTTGTGTTTACGGACAGGAAATATAGTGATTAAGTGTATTCAATATTTCAGGCACTAGGTGAGTTGCACTATCTCTGATCGGCTGGTCACTGACGAGATTTCAGTGTCAATGCAAATATCTCTCGTTAATAACCAATTTATGTCACCTTTGGCAGATATCTGAATTTATGCCCATCCTATTTTGTGTTAGATTACTACTGTGATGCTTCGAACATAGATATCACAACAGAACCATCTGTCGTAAGGTTTCAACTATTATAATGTTAGTTTGCGATAGTCTAAGAGTTTTCAAGTCGAGGCATATTATCACTTCGTGTACCTACTGATCATCTTAGTTGCAAAAAGTATTACCAAAGGCCCACGCCGTGTCCGAATCGGTGACAGAAAACATTGTGTAGCGTAAATATAATTCAGTTACATCGGGACAAACGTTTTCTCTTTTTACCATGGTGTTCCTTACTGCCATTTTATCTCTTGTGCCATACATTCAAGTAAGCCTTCATATCGAACGGTTCAGTTTATTATGTACTGACTAGTGCTATCATTGTGATTGTGACTGATTGTATTCATCGAAGTGATTGACTTCTTCCACTACTGTGCAATCTTTGTCAAGTGAATACCTACTACACATAAGTTTGTACTTACAAATTTTTCTAATTCGTGTAGGATATGTAGACAGTATTATTCTGTCTAACAAGAATGCTTATAGAATAAATACTGGGAAAAATTTTTAGAAATGTTTTCATTAATGTCAAACGTTGTAAATGAAACTTGCTGTTTGACTACTGGATGAAAGAAATGACTTATTTGTTATATATTATGTTATTTGTTTCACAGATCTGAAAGCTGCTTGATCACTAAGTAAATGTAAGTACAGGAACATAACTAAATCTTTATATCACTTATGAAGCTTGTGACATGGATGTATATCCATTATTGAGTATGTATGCATTACAACGATTTGCTCTACTTTACGAATATTATGAATGATAATAGATCTACTTATTGTTAGAGCCTTATCTTTGACTACCTAAGAATATTGACTGGAGAAGATTTAGTAGATCAACGCATCCAAGTAATTGCTATTCTATATGAAACTGTTAACTTTGTAATAACACATTCAATCATTCAGACAAATATAAGCACGAAATGTTTTTCTAAAAAAGCTTTGTGATGCAAGTCCTTACGCTAATTACAGTCGGAATTTCGGCACAAACGATCCCTTGTATTAAACTCTGGATAATAAAATGAGTTTAAAACCCTACGTTATACATTTGTATGTATAGGGCATCAAACAGCTTTTTCTACTAAATGGTGACTTGTTTTTTACTCAAAATTTCACTGCAAATATTCGAACTACTATCTGAAAGAGAATATTATGAATTAGTTTTTAAAGTGTATATTATGCAAACTCTGACAATGTGTTTATGTATTTACTGCCAAACAGTGATCAAATTCATTCAATGTATTGGTCATGTTGAAATTTTCTCTTTTTTTTCTTGCACACACTTTATATTCACAAATTCTTGTATTTAGTGCTATACAACAATTGATCCAACAAAATGTACGTTGTATCATTTTAACTAGTGGTACACTCTATCCAATTGAACCAATAGAAGCTGAATTAAACTTGTAAGTTGATTATGTACACTGAACTAACAGTTTGGTAACATCAAACTGTATAGTGACTACGTATTTATGTTATATATTTACATTTACCTGCATATTTTGTAATAAAATTGCTTCCACATTGTTCATAACAGAAATTAGTTATTTAGAATTTATAAGATCTATTTAATATCTAACAAAATAGAATTCGTTGTTTAATAGAGCAGTAATTGTCATTCAAATAAGTACGTAGATAAACTACAGAGTCGTTTGATATCGAACTAATAAATTGACTTTAAACACTATAACTTAATCATTTCTTAGAACTAAGTTCTAGATTCACAAGACATATTAACACATTAACACAAAAAATGAAACCTCAATACTCCTCTGTGTTTATTTATGAAAAACGTTGTTTCAAACTTGTATGATTCCATGTTTTCTGATTTAATCATTCGTCCTTATAGTTTATTGAGAAGGATCAAAATGTACATTGTTTATGATATAAAATCTGAGAAATATGTTTAGCAATATCATAATTAAGCACAAATAAAATACGGAAATCAGTTTAAGCCAATAGAGTCTTCAAATACAATCCGAACACTGTGCTATCATCACAAATACAATTAAAATATCAAACGACATCTTCCCACTGTAGTATTTTCCACCAAGAAACTAATCAACCTGGTAACCAGATAACTGTATCTAATTTATCTACATAACGTCCAAAGAAAAAACAACTAATTCTAAAACAATCTACAATTAAAAATACGAAGCTTAAATATACTCTCATAGGAATATCAATTGATAACTAGTGAATAAGAGCAACAGTGTTAATTCGTAAATAAATAAGTTTGTAAATGAAACATGAATCTGCACAAAGTTGTTCAATTTATCTGACCAATAAACGAGTTAGTTTGACATGTTCATTTATGTTATGATTTTTAACTTTATTAATACATTCAAAATAATCATAGTTTTATTCATCTAGGAAATTTCCCATATCACTCCGTAATCCTCATGTTATTAATCCAGACCAATTGAATTTATCAATTATACCACGTGGACCCGATGGAGAGAAATTAAATGCCACCTATTCTGTACGAGAAACGTCTGCTTATCGAAATTCATTAGGTCTACTATTAAGTACGTCATTTATGTTAATTATTATGAATGAATACTTTGTATTTTTCATAAACGATTACACTGTATCACTGTTTGTTAGGGCCCCTAAATTCCTTGATTCAGCTGAGGGCGAGGAGAACCCGCTCTCCACTGCCAGGAAAGTCTCACTAACTACCTTCTTGCGGTGGTAGTGTTTTTCACGATATCAAGAGAACAAAAAGGAGATGTTCGACGTTTGAACCGAGTTGTTTGAAGTTGGAAAACCCTGATTCCTAACCAATGGTACACATAGGCTCCAGTATCCTGAGGGAACAAATGGTGTATGAACCTATTGTTGATCACCGGCTACCATAAAACTGCATCTCTTAACCTTGCTCCACTGCCTTGTGGATTAGACCTCTAGGTCAAAGGCTCTGGAATCGGCCTCCTGAAAAAAACAATTTCGGCCTAGGCACCTGGGATCAATATGTTTACAAAATCAATCCAAGTCGTACGACTGAAATGAACTGATAGATATCCACAAAGGTCCTCTTATAAGAGCACTCAATTTACGATGAGCCTGGTGAAGGTGTGCATAATGAGTTATATCTAGCCAAAAACTTAACCTGTACGTTACAATGTAAATGAAATTCTTCAAAAATTCTACTGTCATATGAAAGAAGTTGAAAAATAATCTCATTGAAAATAAAGTTAGGTTTGATGGTGTAAGATGATACTTCCCTTCTGCCTATATTATGGAAGAATATTTATTAAGTTTTCTAAAAATGATGCTTGATTTGGGGTGAATTTGAGTACTCGGTAGCGTTTTGATTAAGCCCAGAAAAAGGCCCGCTGCACTTGACATTTTTGTGACGTTTTGATATGTTAGCTTCATTTTTTCTAACCTTCCTGCCAGCGAAAAAATTCCACTAGTCAATTTGAGGTATTCTGCTTTTAAGACCTACCTTTCTTAACCCCCTTGTACGTTGTGGTTAAACAATGTCACTGAATATACCGCTTAGAAATCACTACTGCCATCACACCATACAGTTAGCAGTACAACTTGGGTCTCTAGCTTTAATTTGGTACGTTTAGTTTTAGGACCTTATTGAATAAGTGTCCCATCCAATTTGGCTCGATTCGGTCATCACGATAGGTAAGCTGACCACCATGTCGGCATAGTAGTCATGGTTAAGAATGTGTACAAAATTTGCAAATGATTGATACGGAGATGATTGTTTGATTTTTCATTTTCTCAACTTATCAGTATCAAAAGCATTGAAGAACAGAATTGTTTACGGTTTTTAGTTTTTAAGAAATAATCTACCATCTATCAGTGTATAATTATTTCTACATTTGATTAAACTGACTAAAATTATTGTTCGTTATTTTCTTTTCTTTTCTAAATGAAAAACTTCACTGGATTTTTGCTACATCATCAAATGACACAACTTTTGTAATTGATCTCCAGTTCAATTAGCTGAAGTCGTACCTGCTGGCCTATTAATATTTTTTCCATCATATGCGTTTATGTCACAGTGTATCGAATTTTGGAAGGTAGTTTTTTTAAGGGAATATATTTATTAAGAAATAAAATTATAATAGTTGAGATCATGAGTCAATTCAAGCTAGACCACCATGGAAAACCTGTAAACTCTAGACGGCCGTTTCGTTCTAGTATGGGACTCTTCTTCCATGATCCCGCCTCGCAATATTCGATCCCAAGATTTCCATGGTGATATAGCTTCAATTGACTCATGATCTCAACTAATAAAATTACTATAATATCAACCAAACCCCTTTTGATACAAGTAAAATTATGTTTGATTCATGAATTGATTTTTCTTTCATTTTACACATTATATTGAAATTTTAATGGATTACAGTGTTGAATGTTTCGATCAAAATACAATTTTGATCTAATCTTCTTACTTGTTTTGTCTAAAATTGAAATGGTCAAAATATTGTTATCATTTCTATGCTTATTTGAATGTGTCAAGTTATTTTGTAATAATCGGTCATGTCTCATATTTTACTTTTAGAAGTGTTCATTTAAAGTCCGAGGGGGAATTCATGCTGCTGATTGTGTAGAGGTGTCACGGCAGTTGGGCGTTTCTTTCATACAACCAGCATAACAGCAATGCTGCCTTCCCACAAGAAAGGGTCGTGTTAGAAAGGTCGACCCTAAAAATGATCACCTCGCCTTATCACGGATTTCTGTCTCTAGCGATAAGATCCCAACAAGTACGGAGCTAACACGAAAATCACTCACAAAAAGGTCGTGCGTGACTGACCTCAAGCAGTTGTCCCTTGGGCACTGCAGTCACACTTTCAAGCCACTAAGCTTACCTCTAGTCTAATTTCCTTTTAAGGTACCTCTAGAGGAATCTCTCCGCGGTGTAGGCAACTGGGAAGTGATAACCGCCCTCATACCTCTAACAGCACTCAAGACACTGTATTCATAATCAATTTCTCTAATTTCTATTATTCCTTCCATCTTGACTATCACCTGTAAACGTCCTCCTCACGTGTCACCATAGCCAACGATTTTAGTGCTCAGAATACTGTCCCACGTCTACTGAAACCCCGTTCCAGACTGCACATTGGAACCAACATTCAATTTAATTGATATACAAATGTATCAACTTTCTATTAAATTATTACAGTTGAGATGATTATGAACTTAACTGATTGTCATGTATACGAAAATGTATCATTTCTATAGAACTAAATGTACAATCTTTTTTTTGATTATCAGTGTTATCCCTTTATTATATCTCCATAATTAATTTTTCTTTATCTTTTTAAATAGAATGGTGATATTTATGAAAATTTATCAAAATTTAAACATATTTTTATTGAACCACGTGAAAAAAGTCAGTTCAACAAGGTGATTATAACAATGCATAATTTTAATATATACTTTGTTCAATCTGGAAAGAAGCATCTTAATAAAGTTTTATTGTTCAATTTCATTTATTGATGGTAAATCAGTTGATGAGGTTGTGAATCTTCATCGACTACGTGTTGCGTATGCCTGAACATCGATTACCATAACGCGCAGTGCTAATCGGTGTTGGGGATGGTTGGAAGAAACTTAGTGGCGGCCAAACTAAAACGTGGTATCGGTGCTTGAAGTCACTAACTTCTAGTCTTAGCCATGTTGGTAGATGCAGACTACTTGGTAGGGGTCCGCGTGACTGTCGTAACCAATGGTTGGAGACTCTTGGTGACATGGCTCAGAATCGATCACAATTTGTCTTCCTTTAATCCATTCAATTAAAATCGTTTCATATCTTTCTTTCTACTAACTAATTCTTTCTCCCTATATTATATCCTTATACACAACCTTTTTTTACATATTACTACCGTTGAAGTAACTACTTCTATGAATTTGTTGTTCATCTTGTTGTAGTAATGAGGCATGGGGTCTTGGACCGATGCACATATGTGCCTAGTGCTACGTTGTAGCTGATTGCTTCTAAACTAATGTTACAACATATTCGGTTTAGTTGATCCATCAAATAATTTTCATTTACCAAAGTATTCATTATTATGTCATTCGCTTATGAACAAATTGCCCCGATTTTTCAGTACGTTTAACTGAGATGTATTGACAAAAAGCCGATCATTGTATAATTTATCCCTTTAGATTAACAGAGTTTTGCAGACCAAATAAAATTGATGATTTTCACATTCAATTTAATCTGTTAATTGTTAGTTTTTATGTAATTCATATAGTATGATTTACACTTTACTACATTGGATATTTCCGACATGTTTACATTTCATCGAAGTGCTACTTGTTTTCAGTTAAACATAACTTCTTCTGTATTCTTTGAATGGTAATTAGTTCGAACATGTCGTATCTCCTGTGTCATTCAATTTTCGAGGATAGTTGTTATTGGATACCCCACCACCACCAAACTGGTTTAACATTGTTATTTGATCTATAATGACGATGTTGTTTAAATAATTTGGTGAAATTTAAGATATTTCTGTTTCTATCATAACTAGATATTTAATGAATATCGAAAAACTGCATGTATTGAAAATTCACTCGGCGCAATTCTTTTCGCTGTAATGCGTGGACGTGTAAGTGAAGGGTTAGATTTAGCTGATAATGCTGGTCGAGGTGTCGCTATACTTGGTATACCTTATGCACCAATTCATGATCCTAGAGTACTTCTAAAAATGTCTTATTTAGATGAACAATTTGTTAAATTGAAATCTAATTCAACAAATGATCAACAGCAAAAAACTCTGATTGATAAATATCCAACTGGTCGTCAGTGGTATAATCTACAAGCATGGCGTGCAATCAATCAAGCCGTAGGAAGGTAAATAAAAAAAACACTGTTTTTAAACTTATTTAATTAATCAATTTTCTTAAATATTTTGATATAATATGTAATTCTATTAGTAGTATAGTTTACAGAACTAAATAAATAAGTTGATAATACTAATTCAAGATATTTGTGAATTATACAATAACTAATCTTTTGAAGTTCAAAATTATTGCTTAAAAATTACATATGATTCTCTTTGATCGATCAAAATCACTAATAAAAAGTCGTAAGATCCTATTTCGTTAACTACAGAAGGAGTTATTAGCCCGACTAGCGTATTTAATAAGACTTTATTTTTAGTAACCATACAACTTTTTACTCGAGCTCAGGAATAATGTACTATGAGGTTATTGAACACGTTTAAGATTCCGTCGTTGATTTATCGATCAGATTATTATCTGCTTAAAGGAACTGAATCATAGACATACTCAAGGACGTCTAGTTTTAGTTATATCGATTGATATCACACTTAATTCTGTTAAGCTAGACATTGTTTAGTATTGCTTATTACTAAAACAACCTATGGAAGATATACATCAGTGTGTGGATTTATATTGACAAAAATTGCTTAACACATTTTTCGCCTGTTAATACGGACGTGTTAGGATGTCGTTTTTATGTTGAAATTGTTATTATTCCTTTATTTGTCATATGACTTGCTAATCGAACGTTGTATTCGGTTCCTAAGCTATTCTCGTAACCCCCAAGCTGGAACTGCAAAGCGACCTGAACACGAGAGAAAAGCGCAAAATACGCGAGAAGCACTTTACCCCAAAGGTCCGTTTTAGTACAGAAAATATAGGTTTTTATAGTATTCTAAATGTCCTTGAGTTTCCCGGAAATTTTGGAATCCTACTAAACATAGTAGTAGTATAATAATCAGCCAATCAAAAACTCTACATGTGATTTCTCACTTCCTTGATGTTTCTGGTTAAACTTCAAGTGAACGCTGATTGGGTAAAATGCGTCTTAGTGTTTTTTGAACCTTTCTTGTACTTTGCGAGAAGTTTTCTGTATCACCCCCAGAATTTGTTATTAATTAATCATGATGATCACACCCGATACTTTTGTTGTGTTATTAGTCATTAAGATAATTCACTCTTTCTTTGCTTTACAATAGTAAAAAACATTCTTACATAACCCATTGTTTTTATGAATATATAACTGTTTTGCCCATAATTTGCGTTGTTTCTATACTGCTCATATTCCATTTTAAACAATACTGTTTTACAGATTTCAATAATTATTTTTTGTTCATTTTAATCTATTTAAAATAGAGTAATTCGTCATTACAAAGATTATGGTATTATATATTTATGTGATGAACGTTTTGCATCGAATAATGCACAAATGAATTTAGCTGGTTGGATGCAAACAAAATGCAAAATATACAATAAGGTGGAATTACTTGTAAAAGATACATATGAATTCTTTTGTAATATGCGCAATAAAGTAAGTTACTTTCAGTTGTTATTCATTGTTAGAAATGCTTTTTATTGAATGTATATTCACTTCAGTTTAAAGGTGTTAAATTCTTACCAATTCAACTTGTGTTTAGTCAATTTTGTTTTGAGCTCTATCGATTGAAAACATTAAGTCTTTCTTAATCATGGTGCAATGATTATACTTGTAAGTTGTTCAAACCAAGACATAGTTACTATTCCATAAATAATAAATTAGTTTGAATTTTTGGAAATATATAGCAATAGTAAATCATATGTAATACGTTCCCTATTCTATTAAAAAGAAGATGTAAATGGATTCACTGTATATTTTTACTTCAATATGACTGATATTCTCTGTGTAAAAATGTTCACTATCAACTCACAAACTGTCTATTATCATATCTATTCCTCATTGTTCGTTTCTCTCCAAGTATGATATCAAGGAATAGGGACATATAGTGACGTATTTTAATGTGAGGTTGTGTAGTTCTTGGTTTCTATATTTCACATCAAAATGACTCTTACAGTCTATCACCCAAAAATACCTGAAATTATTAATATGACTATAATTCTTGGTATTAGAAGATTTCAATTCCGTAAACTGACGGTTAAGCACTCTCTTTGAGGTTTGAATATCCTAAGTTTTATCCCTTATGGGGTCCCGAACTGCTCGGGAGTCTCATCCTCGGAAAAAATAGCTGTGGGATATTTCCTGGACTCAAATGTTTGTCCAGATACAGTCAGCATGTGATTCCTAGAAATTACGCCCGTTACTCCTAGTGGGATAACATAGTTCGCCTACTAGCATTCTCCATCGAACTCTGCCTTATTCATCCTATTTATGTCTACTTCCAATTGTTGATGCAGTGTGGTCTTTGGTCTTCCTCTCCTCTGTTCCCCTTCACGATTTCAAGTTAGCGCTTGCTTCGAGATGCAGTTTGATGATTTCCTCAATCTGTGTCCTATCCAACTCTTTTATATCTTTTCCTAATTTCCTCTTCAGATGGAAGCTGGTTTCTTCTCTCCTATAGTAGGCTGTTGTTGATGATGTCCGGCCAACGGAAATTGAGTATCTCATATAGACAATTGTTTATAAATACTTGTACGATTCTGATTATGGTTGTAGTAGTTCTCGAAGTTTCAGCTCCGTACAGTATAACTGTCTTGACGTTCGGATTGAGGATTCTGAACTTGATTTTGACTGACTGACAGTTGTTTTCAGTTCCATATGTTCTTCAACTGTAGGAGTGAGGCCCCTACATTTACGTCCGTATCAGATCCTCTTTGTTCATCGATGATGCTACCCATATACGTGAACGTTCCCACCTCTTCCAGAACTTCTCCGTCAAGTGTGATTGGGTTGGTGTTCTCTGTGTTGCATTTGAGGATGTTGCTTTTTCTCTTGTGTATGTTGAGACCTACTGATGCATACAGAGGCTGCTGCTGCTGCTGCTTCTGCTTCACTGATTTTCTTGACCTGCATATGTTGATGTGTATGAGATAGAAGAGCCAGATGGTGGGGAAGATTTGTAGCTCAGGTGGATGATTTTGATGGAGTTTTGTTCCCTGAGCTGGATGGTTTAGTCATGGAGCTTTCATCGTTCAGAAGAAAACAAAACAAAACAAAACTCCATGAAAATAGAAAAGCCAGGTGATCTGCGAAGTCCAAATCGTCTAGTTGCATCCAAGCTATTCATTGTATTCCGTGCTTCCCCTCCGATGTCGAGGTTTTCGTAATCCAGTCAAACACTCGTAGAAAGAGAAAGGTGGAGAATAGACAGTCTTGTCTGATTCCGGTCCTTACTGGGAATGCGTCTGTCAGTTGTTCTCGATGCATGACTTTGCAGTGTAGTCCGTCATATGAATTCAGGATGATGTTGACGATTTTCTCACATACCCATTACATAGTGTCGAAGAAGTTTCCATAATTTCCTCCTATTCTCACTGTCATATGCTTTCTCATAATCAAGGAAGTTGATGTATAGTGATGAGTTCCATTCAAATGATTGTTCAACGATGATCCGTAGTGTCGTGATTCGTTCTTTGCACGACAATCCTTATGGGATCTGACCTGTTGACCTTGAATTCGAGCGTCCACTGAGTATTTATCCGGTTCAGAAACACTTTATTAAAAACCTTTCCTGGTACTGACAGTGTTGTGATTCTTCACACATTCGCTCAGATCTCCTTTTTGGTATAATGATAAGTTATACTTATTTCCAGTCTGTCGGCACTTGTTCTTCCTCCCAAATCTTCGTGATAAGAACGTGGACCATGTTTGCAGTTACTTCGACGTCTGGCTTCAGTGCTGTGGCTGGTGTGTTGTCAGGTTCTGCTGCTTTCCCACTTGTGATTTGTCTGAAGGTCATCCTGATCTCTTCGAACGTTGGTGGAGTGACACTAATTAAAAGTTAGTGCGTGCTGGCTGTTATATAGCTGTCTCATATTTCCTTCTCTTACAGCTTAATTCGCCATCGTTACTAGCTCATCCACGTATTTCTGCTTGTCGGCTCTAAATCTCATCTTTACTTGCTTGCTTGCTTGAAAGTATTCAGCTTGTGCCTTGACTTTCTCTGCTCGTGTTCGGCTGTTGTTATTTGCCGTTTTCTTGTTCTTCCTATCTTGAATTCAAAACAGGATTTCGATGGAGATCCATTCCTTATGATGATGCTTCTTGCAACCCAGCACCTCCTGACATGTTGAGGTTAATGCTTCTCTGATCTCTTTCCAGTTGTTCTCTATAATCGTTTCTTCTTCTTCTTCTTCCTGTAGATCCTGTAAGGTTTGCAAACGGCTGTCGAGAGTTATCTTCAATTCGTTCAGTTTGTCAGTATGTCGAAGGAAGGCTCTACTGAACCTTTGTAATGTTGTTTGTCCAGCTGTCCAATCACTCTCTAGCTTCAGTTTCATCATGGCTACCACCAGAGGGTGATCTGAAACTATGTCAGCTCCTCTCTTTTTCCGCATGTCTTCCATTGACTTTCTGAATATTTTACTGATGCAAATTTGATAGATCTGGTTATCCGTGGTGTGATCTGGTGAGATTCATGTAGCATTTTGTATGTGTTTATGTGGGAATATTGTGCCGCCTATCAGCATTTTGTTGAATGCATATAAGTCTGCGAATCTCTCACCATTCTCGTTCCTTTCTCCCCGCCAGTCCATGTCGTCCCATGATATTATCATACCGATTGTTTTCCATGCCAACTTTGGCGTTTAGATTTCACATCACGATGGTCAGGTCCTTTTCTGGGCATTTCGCTATGGTCGGTTGCAGGCCCTCGTAAAGCTGATGTTTATCGTCGTCATTGCTATCATTGACGGTTGCATAACATTGGATAACATTTATTGTAATTCTCTCCTCCTTTGTTCTGAATTATGCTTTGATGATCCTAGATCCATGAGGTTTCCATCCTATAAGTACTTGTGTATTCATTCACTACATTACATAGTGTCGAAGAAGTTTCCATAATTTCCTCCTATTCTCACTGTCATATGCTTTCTCATAATCAAGTAAGTTGATGTATAGTGATGAGTTCCATTCAAATGATTGTTCAAAGATGATCTTTCGTATCGCATCATAATTCGGTTTACAACAAACTTTTTACCATCAAATGAGGTAACATTTTGGCCCTGCTGATCGGAAACTAGATCTGATAACTACATATAAAGAAAATCTAATTTTCTCTCGTTGGCTTAATATTTTAAGAATGAAAATTGTGGTACATTTAAAGAAGAAATAAAATATCATTGTTGTCAAAAGCAAATTAAAATTGAACAGCTATTTATATTCCCTTCTGTATTTCTATTTGGATTCATACAAATTTAACTTATTTCTAGACAGACTATTGAATTGTATAACTGTAACTTCTTTAATCTACTAAACTGAATAATACTGAATAATTTTACTAGTCTCCTAACGTCAGGAGTCAGTCTTCACGAGTACGATGATATTTTTATAAAAGTTTTAATATAAAATCTTTCCCATCCAAATTATAAATTCATTATTACTCTCGACTGATATAACTTATTAGGATTATAAGAAAAATATCATTGTGTTCACTTCTCTATATATATGGTTTCCTTTATTTACAGTATCCATCCATCGATCGACCTGTTGACACTACTTCAATTGTAAATAATATGTTAACTGAGAATAGTTCACTGCGATCAGTAAATCGAACAAAACCATCTTTAGAAAGATCTAACTTGATATCAAATCTCCCTTCGGCTTTTGAAGTAATTCAATTCGTATTTAGTAATTTTTATAGCATATATCATTTTATGCTTAATATAACTATTTTGAAGAGAATTTTTCTGATATACTCACTGTATCATGAGTAGTTTAGAACTATAAAGAGCTTATTGATTACTTATTTATACTTTAATCCTCTAAGTTGTTTACTGTCTTGATCTAGTGTTTTATCAATAAGAAATATCGATTAACAGTGATCTTAACACAGAGGTACACTGTTTTAGTTTGCAGTGCATCCAGTTTGTAAAGTCTTAGATCATAGGAGGAGACTGAAAATGTATCGTTTTCCTCCCCAGTTTCTTCTCACTTTGACGAAACTCTAGTCTGACGGCACCATAAATAGTCGACTAGTTCTGCCTCTACTTTCGCGCCTAATACTACGCCCATATCAGCCAAACTGGATGAGGTTGCAACAGTGCCCCCTTATAAACGCGCGTGAAACTAGCTTTACGACTCAACAGACGGAGAACGAGTCTTAATTATCTCACTATTCTTAAATACGGGTCCTGTATTTAAAGCAAACGTTCTCAAAACTTACCAAAAATATAGCCAAACCTACCTTTCATCCGACCTGCATCAGTATGTGTATGTTGATTGAGCCTAGTTTGCAAGTCAATCTTCGTTCCAGAACGGCTGTTTCAAACTTCTACCATTCATTTACTTGCGATCATTTAGACGGAACAGAATTTTCTTCATAGACGAACTGCTGGGTAAGATGAGAAAGAAAAGAATGCTTAAAATGGAAATGAAGGGTAATAGATAGGTAACGCAATATCAAATGAAGCCGAACATAACCAGGTAATTGTGAATATGGTTTGCCAGAATTCGGAGTACGAATACCCTGCATTTGTGGACAAAAATACGAATAACTGGATTTGATAGCGAATAAACAGCTGTACATTAGTAGTATGTTCAAAATATACAGAATGAAAATAACTTCATTTTAGTATGTGGTTTAAAATTTCATCGTCTTGATTGTCGAGTTTATCTTAAACACTTTCTGAGATAAAACTAAATTATCCGCGTCACTTAGCACTACTCATTGCATAAATTTATTCCTTCTTTTCGTATAGCCATTCAGTGGTTCTTTAAACTCTACTAGCACTCTTGGGTTTGTTTGATTACAGGTTTACTATTGATTATAATGTGTAGTACATAACCCAAGCACTTTAGTAGGTACATCATCACCTATTTACTTACCATTTTTAATTAGGCTTAAAACTGCTTACTTTGCACCTCGATTGCAGGTCTGTTTTAAACGATAATATTTCGGCGATTTCATAAGATCCTAATAATGCATGCAAATGACTTTGATGTTGCCACAAACCATCCGGCAAGTTCACTGCTTCCCGTATTGTTGTGTTGAGATTTACATAATCTATTCTATAAACTCTCATACTATTTAATAGTTGAATTCATTAGTCATATTAGTCGTCTAAAGCTAGACCACTATGGAAAACCTGGACAGCTGTTCCGTCCTAGTATGGGGCTCCTCAAAAATGTACATCGACGACCTCGCTCGCGGGATTCGAACGCTTAACCTCTAGACCACTGAATTGGCATCCAACTGTGTTGATAGTTCGTAGTTGCGTACGTATATCGATATTAGTGATAATATCATTATGTCTTTCTCCTTTTATGCACTGATATATATAAACACAATGTTGGTTACTTATTTCACTTCTCTCACTAACCCTTTAAATTAAGCTGAATATATTCAGTCCAAATGTGAATGATTCAGTTACTCTCATAACAAGTTATCATTCGGATCACTCACCGTGTTCATCAAAACTTCATGAATGTAATGTTGATTATAAAATAGATTCTATCTCGTCATCAGCATCCATATTTGATACGGTGTACATTGAATCAGAGAATATAGACCAGGTAAGCAATTTAACAATAAATGTATAGATTTCAGTCTTGGAATTTATGTTGATAGTTTCATTAATATTGGTTGAAAGGAAATTTTCCGGCATATTGACAGTTTCATGGAGCCTAGTTGTTGTACTAGCTGGTTTGATTTCTAGTCTAAACAAAAAACATCGTTGATATTTCATTTGTAGCTCTACCGATATATTCAGTTTCTCATCAATATTTAATAAAATGATGGAGTACTTTAAAAAAATAATTTCCTCTATTGTATTCTGTGGGTATGATCTTTCAACTAGGAGCGTCATTGTTCTGAACCATACCTTCTGAGGTTCGGTAGATTTTCACTTGTAGTTTTTACTTATAGTCTGCTACATGAAGCTGTTCGGAGTTGTTGATACTCAGAGCCATCGCTGTCTACAAATGGAAGGTAACGACTTCAGTTCGACAAAATAAAAAATGAACATTCGTAAGTTTAAAATTCCATTTTGTTGGCTAAGTATTATTTACCGTTTGTAAAATTTCGAAGTTAGATTAAATGTTTCATATAAGAGTATTGTAACATTTCATCAGGTAAATTCATTCGGTATTTATTCTTTGCCATATCGATCTGTGGCATCTTTCCATGTGAACGTATAAAATTATAAAACCTGAGTCACTGGCCGTTGCTACTAAGCAGTGATTAATTTAGCGAGGTTTATGTGAAATCTTAAACAAAAATCATACTTAACAACTATAATTTATTTGATTTATCATTTATATGTTCGAAGATATAGTTGATTTCGCGATTTCTTTCAAGTTTCATTTCCTTTTTCTAATCGTGCGTTACCGTTTTTTCACTGTTTGTTTGAACATGTTTTCTATATCTCAATAGTTGAAATCATGAGTCAATTGAAGCTAGACCACCATGGATGACGGCTCACTGGTCAAATGGTTGAGCGCTCGCACGCGAGACTGGGTTCGAATCTCGCGGGGGCGGGATCGTGGGTGCGCACTGCTGACGATTACCATACTAGGACGTAACGGCCGTTCAGTGCTTCCAGATTTTCCATGGTGGTCTAGCTTCAATTGACTCATGATTTCAACTATTGAAATTACTAAAATCTCCACAAAATCCCTTCTGATATTTATTATATAATTTATTATCTTTAAAGTTACTAATTAAACTTTTTTGATGGTTTTATATTTATGTTCTCAGAATAAATATATATCAAATTCTAATTCATACTCTGGTGATCTATTAGAACAGAAGTTATTACAACGAAAACCATGTAAACGAATTAAACTTTTGGAACAGAAAAATAATTCTATAGAATTATCAGAAAATGTTTCATCTACAACTATTGTAAATAATGATAATTCTTTATCATCTAAATATATGACCTTGTTAAAATCTGTTCTTAAATCGAATGGAACCAATGAATCTGTTTATGCAAGTCGTCTAAATGATTTTAAACAAGTTATGAAAGAATATAGACAAGCTATAACACTAAATCAAAATACATTGATCAATCAGTCTAATCAACTGGTAGAAGTATTATTCACTCAATTATCTAGAATATTTATACCATTAGAAGCACCTGGACTTTTACAAGGTAAGATATCCTATATATGAATAGATATCGTGTATTCTATCTAGGACACCATAATAGTCAGTTTCTCTTAGCGCGTGTGGTGCTAAAAGTACTTGAGATCAGTCAAACATGAATGGGAAATATTTATCATTCTTGTTGTTCTGCATAGATTACTTCATTGAAGGTATTGATCATTCGTCTTTCCATTCCCTCAACTAATTTCAGACCATAAAAGCTGTTTTAAATTATTCAATATTTAGAAAGCCATCACATTCAGTTAGTCAAATGTAATGAACAGTTTGGTACGTATGTACCTCAGTTCAAGTTGATATGCACCACTAGCACAGCGAGATGAAATTGTCAGACGAAATCTCAGAATAGAAGAGGTATTAACAGTATGAGTGGTAATTGGAAAGATTACGCATCGAAGACACGATCCCAGAAGAGAATATAAGTTAGTGAAATACACACAAAAAACGTTTTGGAGAACTTAGAACATCAGGATTTGAGGGAAGGCAAAAAAGCTAGTGCACCTGCGACATTTCAAGAGATTTTGACGACATCACTAAAAGTCTTTAACCACTAGTTACGACGATCACGCGGACCATAACCAGATAGTCTACACCTACCAACATGAACCAGTTCATCAGTCAATTACTTCATGGACTGATGCCATGTCTTGCTTCGAGCAACTCTAGCTTCCTTTCAACCTGCTCCCACATTAGACATCACCTACCTTGGTGAGCATTTTGTCAGCACCTTCACCAAACAGAACTATATCATCTTGGTATTCTAAGTTAACAAGTGAATCTCCTACAAGAGCGACCCTCGAAAAGTCAGATGATGAAAGTGTTATCCTTAAAAGCATGTTTATGACAAGGTTGCATAAAGATGAGGAAAGCGAAAAACCCTGAGAAACACCACTTGAAGTAACCAGTTCCGATGACAGTTCGCCATAAACTCTGAATCGACCAGTACTGTTCAAGTAGGGAGTTTGTACAGAGTTAGCATGCTTCTTTGGCAAGCCTTTCAATGACAGACATTGCTACAAAAGCTGTCAACCCGTGAAGTCGTATACCGCATGAAGATCAAGGAATACAACTACTTTAAAAAGAAGAATATATTTGTAAAATCTCAGCGAATGAATTTTAAGTAAATCCAACGTTTCGCCTGGCAATCTGGTCCAAGCTTTTTCAAGGAAAATATAATCAAACAACAAAATTATTCGATTTACTTAAAATTCATTCGCTGAGATTTTACAAATATATTCTTCTTTTTAATGTCTCAAATTAACTCGGCGCCAAAATACTGTGAAACTATTCGTTCAAATTTAGACGAAAGTTCTTATTTAATTGAATACAACTACTGTCGGAGGGTACGTCTATTTCCAAAATCTGCCGAGCAGTGAATATTTAGTCTACACATCCACGTTGAGGTTTGAAACCAGTCTTGTCTTATCAGGTTTGCTCTTAGTGAACCGCAACTTAGCGTCGGATTATTATTGAAACTAGTTTAGATATTATAGTAGTCAGATTGATTTCTCTGTGATTGTCGCAAGAACATTTTGTCGTTCCTCATAAACTAGGACGATTATTGAAAGAGACTAGTTAAATTGGATTACATCCAGTTTCCAGATTTTAGCTAAGATCTCAGTTAATTTAAGTGCTAAACCTAGAACACCAGCCTTAAAAACCTTAGGGGTGAGTCCATCGAACCCTGCTGCTCTCCATCGCTGTAGTTTCCTTATAGCATTTTCAGCCTCACTGAGAGTTGGAGAACATACATGAATTCATCAATCATGTAGTTTGGAGACAGTAAATAACTGAAGTTTCGGACTCAAAATCTGAGTACCACACTGCCGTGCATGGGTGACTTAGATGGTCTTATTTTAAAAAGACTGAAAATAAAAATTATTATATTTTTCACAGTCCAACTATTCACTGTCGAAAAGTCAGCGTTTATCTTTCACCGAAACCAAAACAGCATATTAACGATTGTTTCAAATCCCATTGAGTTTATCAATTTAAATATATATGCGGAAAGATATATTTAAGTAGGAGTGATCGTGATCTTCAAGTAGTGATGGCTGAACATATATCTAAATAGCTACAAATAAGTGAATGTCATTGATCCAATAAGATCCCTCCATTGTGAATACATATGGTTTTGAACGCATATAGGTTTGGTATCAAGTTAGATGTTTTCCGTGAATGGTGTCTTGACAAGTATGTGATCAGATTTTTCGAAATGTATTGCGTGAATTTAGCATGTGATTTTGATAACCTTCGTCTTCTCATCAAAATTTATCAAAGCGACTAATTATTTTATACTTCTAAATGATATACAGAAGAAATTAATATTGTTCTGATTGGGTTAATAAAACAATAAGTGTGTGCTAAACTACTTATATTGTCCATGTGAGATATTTTGCGTTTTAATATAAGAAATCATATCTCGAATTTTCAGTTCTTATTGTCTATAAGAAATCTACATTAATTCACTCACCATACACTTGGATATGAGCCAAATTCTAGGTATGAAGGTCAATAATATTCTCATTGTCTAAACCGTAATATAGATGGGGCGGAATTTTGAACCAGGGAGTTAGTGTTTGAAAGTCTGACTCCTTAATTACTAATTGTAGGCATTTCATAGAAATCCACAGGTCGCCTACAATGATGTTGAAACATTTGTGCACAAATTGTCAATTCTAACATGTATAGTAAATGTCTTTCAGAAAATATAACTTCTTGTCTTGAAAATATCGGTTTTATTAATAAACAATCTATTCTTTTGCAATATATTTGTACGTATCTGTATGTGTCTACTACATATGTTTATTATTAGATGCCATTTGTTTTATCTTACCGGAGCATCGTAAACGTTATGCTGAATTGTGTCATAATTTGACGGGGTTACCAATTATTCAATCAAATTCAATAAATAAGACTGTAGATACTTCAAATCAAGGTATGTAATCGATTAAAATAAGCTTATATACGTTGTACTCAGATTATTATTTCATTGTTTTGCAAAAAACCACCCGAAAATTCGGTTTTTTCATCATCAGTCAATACGACTTGTAACATTGAATTATGGATGTTGCGTTCTAACATATGAATTTCTAGCGCTGTTTTTCGATTTTTTTTTCATGGAGTAAAACCAAATGTTCTAGTAGTTAACCAAATTTGCATAGTCATCAAAAGCATGTCTGGTATTCCCTGTTTATTCTTTTGGGGTGATGTCAGAATGATAATGATCATAGTCTTTAATATTCCCCTCAGTACTACTCTATAGTTGTGCAACGTCAATATTTCTTTGAAGAAATAACTAAATATTATTTACGAAGTAATACCCCAATACAGTGGAACCACTAAACGAGTTGCTTCAAATTCCAGATGTAAATGATTAATCCGGTTGTTGAGATACTAAACTCATATCAAATAAAGCGCTTTATTCATTTTTTTGTTACGTACACCTAAGTTAAAAAATATTCTTTGTCCATAGACTACTAAAAAACTTAAGTACGAAGAAATGTAGATTCTATATATAATCTGTAATTGCTAAGAATCCTTTGCGTCAATAATAAGATAGATTTCAGCAAAATATGTTGTTTGACTTTTTTTTAAGTATTGTACTCCATATTTTTCCAAGTGTCTCGCAGCCTAGCAATTAATCCAAATCAGCCAGTGAAACTAGAGAATATACCTGAAGTCTCAATGAAATGTTGCAAATGCTCAGCTGATCCGGCACAAGTCCCAGTGATATCATGCTGTAAGCACATAGCTTGTTTTAAATGTTGGCGACATATCATCGACAAAGTAAGTACTATTTACTATATTTAAGTAATTTAGAATCTGAAACAATATTGCTCGATTATGTATATATACTGAGATTGACGTTTATTCCTAACTCCATCCTTAATTTGTGCTATTTGTTAGATTACCTATTAGTTCACTTTTTTTTCCAAACAAGCGTATTAACACCCATTCTTGTTTTGAATTTTAGGGTGATCATCAATGTCCTGTATGTAGAAAATTACTGAGACGACGTGACTTATCACGTTTGACACAAAAAGAGGATACGGAACAAAATCTTTAAATTTTATTATTCAAAAAACTGTGAATCCGTAAGCTGAGGAATTGTGTTCGTTATTCTTATTTTTATACGAGAATAAAATAGATCGCCCCTATACAATGTTTCTTAATAACAATGACAATTTTTCTTTATTTTGTCTTTTGCTCTTGATATTATGATCTCGGATCACAGGCTTAGTGTATTAGAATCAGATCAAGGCTTGTATAAGCAAACATCACAGAAACCTATTCCAGTAACTCATGAAATCATTTGAGAATACGGAAAAAAATGCTCTTCAAAACTAAAAGTAAATTATAGTTCACTACATATGCTCTGAACAGTTGCAATGTGTTTCGAGTCACTCTTTCAAAATGAGGGCTTTATGAAACACATGCATATTGGCGAATCAGACAATGCGACAATTCACAATCATAAAACATAACTGTCCTTGATATCCGAATAACCCTGGATTATGATTCGTAATAATCATTTACTATTGTATCCTAAGGTCATTTAGTAATCAAATACGAAAAGGGTCTAGACTAGTTGTCTTCTTACTTAACATCAGTCAATCAGCTTCCATATGACTAGACCGTTCTCTTTTAAATTCATATGATCAAACCATGTTGATCTGATGAACGCTACAGGATCACGAATTGTATATGTATAATATAAGCACTACCTTACTTTTAGCTACGGTACATAAATAAGTGGGATATCCTAATTAAATCCACAATAATTAGTCCAATTGATATACACTGAGATACAACCTAAAATATCCCCTAACTAACCACTTGATTCAAAAACTTCCAAATAAGTTTACAACGATGTTCTTTTATGTGACCCAGTTAAACAATGATGCATGAATACCTCCGAGTTTTTTTAATAAACTGATGAATTAATGAGCACGGAAGAAAAATGTTTTGTCCTTCTAAGTGATCTCAATTCAAAATATAATAGGAAGAAATATCTAAGTGAAATGTGTTGGATATTCTGTTGTTAACTCGTTAAAACAGAATCTCCAAGTTCATGTACAGATACGATAATGACCTTCCCGTCTCACATACATTCCCAATGAGGAGTTGTAAATACAAGATTGCACTAACACTTCTATAATCCAGAACAGAAAATTTATCGTATTTTGTCCATTTATATACAAATATCACATAAATACGTTTAATAGGAAATCAATGTTTTTGAGATGTAGTTATTCTTGAACTTGATCGACGGTTTTTTTGACGATTGTTTGGAGATTGACTTAAGGTTGAGCAGTTAGATTTGCTTGCTTTTGGTTTAACAACTTTCTCATTTTTCTCACCATTATTAACATCACAATCATTCCCAACGGTTCCCAATTGTTCAGTAACATCCGGAAACAGACTTGTATTGACAGACGTTGAAGATATCTTGACGTTTAAAAAAACAGATTAATATATACACTGGACAGAAATTGAAATTTAATAGATTTTATTTTTATTTATTTGAACACATAAATATTAGTACAATGGGGCACCGAATACATATGCGCCACATAAATCACTTGATTTGCATTTGTGCTGTGATACTGCCCGGGTGCTCAGACCGAAGCAGGTGGTCTTCTTAGGGGACAGCACCCGGAGCCTTTGTCGCGAAGGTCTGATTCACAAGGCAGTGAAGCAACGTCAGGAGATGCGATCCCATGATAGCCGGTGACCAATAATTGGTTAACACGCCATTTGTTTCATCATGATCCTGGAGCCCATGTACACCATTGGTTTGGAATCAGGGTTTTTCAACCCTCTAGGTGAACCTCTCGTGTCCACCAACCCGGTTAAAGCGCTAGGCATTCGCTTTTCGTCCTCTCAATTTCGTAAACAACACCCTCGCCGCGAGAAGGCATTGAGTAGGACTTCCCTGGCAGAGGCTATATACGCGTGGCCATGTGAGAGCATTTCGAGAGGGAGAACTGACTCTCCTCACCCTCGGCCGTACGAGGGCATTTGGAGGCTTAATAGATTAGTGGATATACTCCAAGGAATTTGATACAAAGTTCAATGAATAACGTTAGTGAGATCCAACAACCAAGTACACGTTTGTGTAGTTTCGAGCCACATTCGGACGTTTGGAAAGAGGTAGGAAAAGAGAAGGTTGAGGTTGAAAATCGAGTGCACGACCAACTAAACCAAGTCTTCAGTTAACCAGCATGAGTTTATCCGAATTCAGTTTCAAGCGTACTAATAACCCTAATGAGAATTATACGTTTATAAAGGCGCCTTACTACTTATTGAAACCCATCAGTCTACTCCGGATGACCGTGCGCTTGATCATAAATGACGACTGTTACGTAATGAAATTGAGCAAAGCTTGCGCAACGACCCAGAACCCTAGTGGTAGGAGCCAATAGTTGGAAGCAACAGCTGTATCTGGTAACTGCCGAATGCTAGAACACCGCCATACTTATCAAAGGCCAACAATCGTAGTGTTTCTTGACATCAGGGCTGCCTTCGATTCGTTGGATAGGACAGTTCTCTGGAATTGTCTATTGAAGAAGGGTGTGTCTGAGAAGTTTATTAACATTTTATAAACCCTATATACAAACACCTCAGGCAGAGTGAGGGCATACAACTACCTCTCTCCATTGTTCCATTCGAGCAGTGGGGTTAGGCAGGGTTGCCCAATCTCACCATTCCTCTTCAACTTTGCCATCGATGACATTCTAGAAACAGCTCTGATGGATGTAACTAATAGTGGTGTGGATCTGTTGCCTGGAGAAAGATTTCTCGACCTTGAGTATGCGGATGATATTGTCTTACAGTGTTATAATGCCCAAGGCATGCATGGTATGGTATATGCTTTGCACATTCCAAGTGCAAATACTTTTACGAGACTGGCAGAACCCTGATCCTGCACTCACACTGGGTAGTGAGCAGATAGAAATAGTCGGGAAGTTCGTGTCTCTGGGTAGCTACATAAGTGCTAGTGATGGCGTGAGCGATCAGATCAATTCACAAATAGTGAAAGCCAGACAGGCTTATGCCAATCTGGACCACCTTTGACGCCTTCGTGATGTTAGTCTGGCAGTAAAAGGTTGGATCTACAATGCGTCGGTGAGAGCAGTTTTGCTCTAAGCTTGTGAAACCTGGCCTCTCCTGGTTAACGATGTTAGACGACTCTGTGTTTGATCATCGTTGTCTCCTAAGTATTGCTGACATCCAGTAGCAACACCATATTAGTAATGCACAAGTTCGGCATCGTGTGTCGGGCACAGCGACGATAATTTAATTGGTGTCACTAACTTGAAATATGGACTTCGGTGGTTTGCACATGTTCTACGGATGTGGTCCTAAAGAACTTCACATCGTGCATTATTTGCCGACTCTGGAACAGGTTGGAAAAAGTGGAGAGGTGGTCAGTGTATGCATTGCGTCATGTTATGAAAGTTGTACATGACTGGCTTCTGTTGGTCCTTCACGACTCCCTGGTTAAGGGTCGTAGAGGGGACTGTATCGGGCATGACTCATAAGAGAAGTCAACGGCAGTCCTACTGCAACTTTTTTTACTTTCTTCATAAAAAGAAAAATGAACGTAACTTCTTTAAATAGAAGGATTCTTTTTGGTTGTATTTTCCCTAACTGTACTGCTCCTCTCCTTATTACCATCATTATTATTATCATTTCATTCTCACGCACTAATTTATGTTTATTGTTGTTCTTCTTTTTTATTATATGCACTTAGCATTCTCTATCTCTTCAAAACTCATTGTTGTTGTGTGGCTCATATGTATTTGGTACCCCTTTGTACACATGTCTGTGTTCAAATAAATAAGTTGCAGAATAATAATGATTGGACTTACTTCGGTTGATACAGACAAATCGTCCTCAGAATCTTTTATTTCGGGATAAATAAATTTGTCCGAATCACTTTCAGCTTCAGAAGAAATTATTTCATCTCCCCAGTCATCATTTATACTATTAAGAAACTGTTCTGTATCAGGTGACAGAGGTTCATTGACATCAAATACACCGGCATCAGATTCTTCAACCGATTGATACAACGATTCCTGTTCATACTCTGAGTCATCTTTCATCAAAGATGACATTGTATCCACATCCAAATATTCATCATTCAGGATATCAAGATTTTCTTCATTGTTTTCGGAACTATATAAATTTAATGGAACATTAGATTTTCCGGTAGGATTGCTTTCATCTAAGGAGTGAGATAGAAAATCAAACTATTTCATGTCACACATTATAAATAGCCACAACTAATGAAGATAAACAATGAGAAAAGTTTTTACGCCATTTGACCTATTAAGATTACTACAGGAAGTTTACATAATAGATTTTAAGCTTGTTGCTTAGTATCCAAATAGTTCTAAAGCTGGTCTGGCTGTACATAAATCATTTTATTGTTAAGGAATATCTAAACACGAAACTGAGCATTTTAACGCCATTCTTCAGGAAACAGAGTACCTTATTTTTCAAATGTTATTCTCTTTAAAAGGATTATGCAAAACGATGTCCTTTACCAGTGAGTATGCACCAGTTATCATTCACAAAACTGTCTGATAAAATGTTTACTTCTGAAAACTTTAGGTGTTCACGTTTATATTTTTTGAGAGCGTTGTCTTGACTAATTTTCAGAACAATGACAAACTAAGGTACTAAACAATCCTTCAACTTTTCACTTTGAAATGAAAGATAAAACAAAAAACTTGATAGTTTTGAAAAAATATGGTTAAAATTCATTAATATTAGAATTCAAGTGGTGTACATTACTGTTAGTGCGTGGCGAAAGGAAAGTACTGAGTTAACCATCAACAAACAAAGTCAAAAATTTACAAAATGAAGGTATGCTCACCTTAACTGATTGTATGCACATGCTTTATGTAGGTGATACAACAGTCTAACATTTAAATTATCTAGACCCGTCGGATTTTGTTAACATCATCAATGACGTTAAGTAATAAAATAATTTCTAATTGTCCATTTTACCAGAAGCATTCTGTACTTGTGTAAATACGTTTTCACCAAGGAATAATAAACTAGTAGTTAGTCCCTGTCTTCTTAGATCCAACCCATAAAAAAATAAATTATTGCGACGACCTATTATTCGCCATAAATTCTCGTTAATAACAGTATATACATGAATAAGATCAAGTGTTGAACTACTTAACAAAAAAGATTTCTTAATCGGAGGTTGAAGTCTTTACTTAATATCATAGCTATCTGCTTGAGTATTAGAATCCTATTAGGATTCATCTTTACTCATACAACGAAATTCCCTAATGCAGTATGGTAACGTTAACTGATGTATGCATGTATATGGTTTCAGGCTGCGTTGGACTAACTGACTTATTACTATACTTTACTCAGTCACCGTACAGAAATCCTGAAATTTCAAATAAAATTTAATTGTTCATTTTTGTATTGATTGTTTGAATCTTCCCATTGACGCTTAGGATTGCAATTAATCAGTCTCTTATTAGCATATTTACATCCTATGCAGATTGCTTCGATATTGTCTTAAGTCAAAAGCATTATAAGCAGAGATGGATAGAGGATAGAAGTGGAGTTCAGAAGCTAAATGGATAAGGCGATAGCGTTTGAGGCACTGGGTCCAAGTCCCGGAGTGAACATCAATTGTGGGTTGCAAGTACATCCAGCTAGCGGGTTCCAAATGAGAAGAAATGCAAATTCTGATGGCTAACATTCATCTCTGCTTAAAATTTCATAGTATTGCTAAACTATGTACTTATTTGTGTAATGTATTGAGAATAGGAAGATAATCAGAATTATGTGACTTACTAGCACAATGCGTTTTGAACTATTTGATCATACATATATGAAAAATAAAAGACCGATTAGACGAATCGGAGGTACTAGGAAACAGAGATAGAGGAGGAACAATACAAAACTCACCATCCTTGAAAATATTTCATTATCACCAGGGCAGGTTTAAGTTGGGAACACTGCTTTTGTAAATATAAAAGGGGTTTGGTCAAGACTTCAATAAGCCTTAACCTAAACTCTAAACAATTTTTGCACAAAACCAAACAGTTTGAGGTTAGACCAACTTTATGACACGTTTCAACTGTGTCTAGTAATAAAGGACGACGAATGTCTATCATCTACTCTTATCATTTCATGTGATTTGACTTTATTCTGTAGCCTTTTTGGTACGTTTTCAGAGACCCTACTTTGGTAAATCACAATTACTACTCTTATTCATGTGGCCACACACGTAAGTAGAATGATAAATACAGTGAGATTTGACCTGATCTGTATAGGTTTTTGGTGAAGTATGAACCCTGCTTTTTGAGTGATAATGACTTTTACTACATACTATGTCTCACAAAGACATGAAATGGGGTCTTTGTCTTAACACAAGGCACATAAATGCGACGGTCCAAGTTGCTATACCGCATAGCACAACAAAATGAACAACCAATTAATAGAAGTAAGTTACTTCGATGGTAGTAATATGTAAAAGAAAGGTTGCATATAAGGATACAATATATAGAGAAAGAATTAGTTCGTAGAAAATGTGTAAAGTAATTTCAATCTCACAATTAAAGGGAAGACAAAGAGTGAATATACCGACGCCATTGTGATCGATTCTGAGCCATGTCATACAGAGTCTAACCATTGGTTACGATAGCCGCGCGGACCCCAACCAAGTAGCATACATCTACCAACATAGCTCAAACCAGAAGTTAGTGACTTTATGGATTGATGCCACGTCTTGCTTCAATCGTCCGTAACTTTCTCCCATCCGTCTCCAACATTAATCAGCATTGCTCGTAGTGGTAATCGGTGTTCAGGCATGCGTAACACGTGGCCCAACCATCTCAGTTGACGTAGATTTACAACCTCATCAACTGATTTATGATCATTCCCCAATTACTTGCGTCTAACCTCACCATTACTCACCCGGTGATCCCAACAGATACGAGCAACATTTTAAAAACATGTGCGATCAAATACTATTAACCTACGACTATCCTCTACCATTAATGGCCACGTTTCTTAGTTGTTAATTAAAGCAGAACGAACTGCTGCGTAGTATACATAAACCTTAGCTGATAGACGGATGACGTAAATTGGCAAAAGCGAAATGAGCTTTTTGAATCCGCGCAGAAATTTCATCAGACACCAACCTATTAGGGCTGACCAGACCTTCCAAGATAATTGGAATTGTCAACGCGTTCGACTACTTCACTGACTGTCCTTAGTTCATGTGCTGACGCAGGCCAGTCCTGAAGCAACAATTTACACTTAGAGGGGGAGAAACGCACCTCAGAAATCTTGGCATTGTTGCTCAGTGCTACCAAAAGACTGCATTTTACCAGCGTCTTCACTAACACAGAACTAGGTCCTGAAAATTCAGACGATGAGAACGTTATTATCAGCAGTAGGTCTTTGATGACATTAAACAAAAACGAAGATGGTGGACAGCCTTGCCGGACATCACTTAAGGATGCAAAATCACATGAAATTTGGTCATAAGCAACGTTCGCGTAAAGAGTCCTCACACGGTTTATGTACTTTTGAGGTACTGAGAGCATATAGGAGTGCCGTATTTTTCCGAGATAATCTCACACTCGACTTCTTAATTCTGGTTTCTTTTATCAGTCTGAAAAACTATCTTGTGTTAACTACAGTCGCTGCCTTTTCCATTTCTTTTGCTTTTGTTGCCTACCACTGCTTACGATCGTTCCGTTGACTTTTGGCTAACCTAGATCTGACATGTTTTTGCTTCCCATCATGTTCGGAACCTGATAAAAAGTTTAAGACTATTAGTCTTACCTCTGAATGGTAGAGTGATGTGAAAGGGCCTATTTGGTGCTTGAAGTTTAATGTTTCACCATACTGTGATACAAATAAACAAACCCTCTATTTGCATTAAACTAGGCAATAATTCACTTTTGTATAAAGAAATCTAGCACCGATACAACGTCTAAAGTCTCATCACTTTAGTACTTACCATCAATGTATACAAACTTTGTTTTAGGTAGAACCGGATAATAAAATCTACGAGGGAAGTGACTAATAAGCTTTTGAACATTTGACCAATTTTCCATGGCACTACCACGGTTAGCAGCTCTTAAAAACATATTCCCCATCCCACACATTTCGTAGTAATATGAACACAAATTCTTTAAGACCTTCTGAATTTCTGGTGTTTGCATAGAAGTTGAATGGTGTTGTAGACAATAATCTAACCAAACAAGCACTTGTTGAACAACATGTGGATGATGATTTCCAGATACAACAAGGTTTGTTAAAACTTCAATAAATCTAAATAAATGAATGTGACTTTGTACAAGCTTCTCAACTTGAGTTTTGATCCATTCCTGATTTGTTTTCTGTACAAAAAGCTAGATTTTAATAAACAACTAGGTTAGATAAAATAATATTTAAAGCCATACTTTATTGAAATTTTTAGAGCTGACAAGGAGTCCATCCAGGTCATTTAAAAAATCAGTACGCTTTTGTATCTACAATGGAAAATAACACTAAAAAAATTTCTACAAACCTTTGGCTTCGATTCCAACTGTACATCTTTTTGTCGCTTCATCTAGGAAAAGTCATTGACAAAGATCATATTAGGGTTAAAACGTAATTAAATATGTAGTCATTCAAAAGTTTTGTTTCAAGTTTTTGATTGTAAGTACAAGTGTATAAAGCAATTAGTCCCTTAGATAAATTTCAATAATGTAATAAGACGAAGATTATCAGAACTATGTGATATTTTAGCGCAATACATTTCGAACAATCTGATCACACATATACTTGTCAAGTGTATGTTTTAATACAATATTCTATAAATACTCAATAACAACATAGAAGGAAAAGACACCTGAATTATTAGTTCTGTAAACGAAAATGAGACGTTTAAAAATCTAAAGTAGCAAAGTTCATTTTAAGAGTGGAATATCGATACGCAACATATGAAATATGAACTAAGCTATCTAGCAGATAAATATTCATATTTACCCATTCAATTCAGTGAATTAGTTGCTTCATGTTTCTGGTGAAGAGTTTATAATCTTTAAGTACAAAAGCCATATCAAACGAGATCCGACCGACAATGTGTCATGGTTACTCTGAACAACTATTTCAGCCTCGTCTCTGCAAACAACATTTATGAAAATTAAGTGATTACTTGCAACTTCAAAACCAATGACTATCTCTCACAGGTTTGCAACTAAACTGCCTACGTGAACTGAATCTGGTTAGTAGGAAAATAGGGGTAAATGATTATGTGTAATGAGTGAGTCAGGTAGGATTATGACTTGAGCAGTATAACCACTCTTCATAATGTAACCCAGAAGTGAATGGGTAAACATGAACTTAGTAGAGAAGTTACACTACTTATTTAGACATTTTGTGAAGGCAAGATTTTATACAGATATGAGAAATGAAAGACCTGGGAAAGTATATATTAGTCCAATATGTTACCTAGGAACTTTAATTAAACTAGGCTGAACAGAAGATTTTGTCCACAATATTCAGAACTAATGCAAGCCACAATGAAAGCAGTGTAGTAAGTATTATATACATAACTATCCCGAGCATAGTGACACTTTTAAATGTTAAACCTGATAAATTATCATTGCCAAATGTTTTGTACACTTCTTCTTATTGAAAGCGAACTTATATACTAAGCAGAAAACCGAGTATTACGAAAACAATATCGAGAAAGAAACAGTCACTATTCATAATGAGACACGTTTGGAACCAGAGCCTTTCCAAGTTTCAACCTACCGGACATTCTGTGACAAACGCTGGTGCCACACCGTCTCAGTGATGTGACTGTGTAGTGTTTAGACTCCTACCTCTGTAGAAAATATGGATGAGGGTCTTAGTACGTACTGAGATCAGGCAGTACTGCCTGATCTTATCAATTTATCTCCATCACCCAAGCTCTTAACATTGGGACAAAGGTGATCAATCGAACTACTCAGTGTTGATTAGTTCGTCCATTATTCAAACTTAGCTTTCTGGGGAATGAAAAGGTGTAGCCGTAAAATGTGGAATGAGACATTGTGTCTAACTGCCAAGATATCGGCCTAACTAGCATAGCAGTTAAGATATTTAATATAATTCTCGGTTACTTAGTCTTGAAGAATCAGGCAATCTGCTAACTCCTGGACAGTACAGCGTTCGGAGCCGATATGGATGTCTAACTTGCCAATTTTGAAACGAAATTAGACAGCACCCCAAGATTTACTTAGTCTACCGATGTGACAGACGTCAGAAAAGCACCTTGAAAATGTCTTACTTGGGGTTTATACAGATCTCCAGACTGAAATCAAAGGAACCAAACAATAGTGAGTACACTAATTTGTCTGTGGAAAAGAAAGAAGAAAACGTTAGTCGACGACCCAGAAAGCGGACATAATGAAGGGACCGCAAAAAAAAGTCAGGCTCACTCAAAGCCGCCCGCCGTTCGTGTACGACGACCTTGAATGGCCTGGCATGAGGCGGTCATTCTAGTCTTCAGTCTTCAGTACTAAGGATAGTAGATTACTGACCCTGTGTTAATCCTGAAAGATTGCATTCCAGTGAAGGTTTAGCTTCTCCTTGGAAATGCTCACTGATTAAGCCGATACCACTTGTTCGTTCAAGGCGTTACAGTCACTGACCACTCGATGAGAAAAACGGGATCCTACTTTAAGTTTATTAGATCGGAGTTTATGAACCTTTTTTATATGACATCAGAGACTATTAGTGCTGGAGAGAGCAAAAAGACAGGACATATTAACACCCAAATCATAGTTAAAGATAAGAAATGCCAGTATAAGGTCACCTCGCGTCCTACGATAAGACAAGGCGTTTTAAGCGCTCATCATAAAAGGGTTTGGAAAGACCCTTCACTACTTTTGTTCCCACACGCTGAATACACTCAAATGAGTTTGCATCTTTATCAGAAATGAGCTAGCTGGTTGAATACAGCACTCTAAGTGTTGTCTTACATAGGTGGGATATTAAATTCTAAACATTTCCTCGCCAAAGCATTTGAATGCTCGGCGAAGTGACTATTACGCGCGAAAACCTTTGATAACAGCTGTGTTGCAATGCGTAGTTGTTTTCAAGTCGTGACTTATTAATACTCCTAAGTCTTCATGTTCTTGAACGCGTGGAAGAGATGTACCATCAATAGTATAATTGTGACTATTACCGAGTCCGATGTGCATGAGCGCACTCTTCCTAGAATTAACTTCAAAGTCCCAACCTCGAGCCCATCTAACTAATTCACCTAAGCCAGCTTGGAGATCCAAATGATCAGCCTCACTTTTTATAGTTCTCCAGATTTTCGCAACATCTGAAAACAATAAAGTTGACGACTTAAGCAACATCTGTAATTCATTGACGTAGAGAGGGAAAAGAAGAGGCCTAAGATGGTGCCTCGATGTACACCACTTTTGACCGGCTTCCAATCTGATGACGTTTTACTGACCCTCACTCTCTGTCTGCGGTCATAGAATAAGTTTCCTATCCACTCCTGTACAGCGTATATTATTCCGAAGCTCGAGAGCTTCTGCATAAGACCTACGTTTGAAACCTTGTCAAATGCTTTGCTAAAACCTGTGAATATCATATCGGCAGACAGACCGTTATCTGAGGCTGCTGTCCTCTCTCGCATTAAGTAAGTTGGTCAAGCATGAACACATGTTACGAAACCTATCTTGCTCGGAAGTTAGCATATTGTGCGAATCTATGTGGTTTAGTAACTTAACCCGAAAAATCTTTTCTAGTAACTTGACGACTATGTTAATTAGACTGACAGGCCAGTGGCTAGATACGATCTGCCTCCGACCGTCCTTAAACATAGGGGTGACTATTGCGTCTTTCTAATCTTTAGGGGGTTCAGCGAGTGGAAAGGACATGTTGAGGAGCGATGCGAGCTTTCTTGAAATGATCTCCGCAAGAGATAACAGCAGTCATGGATGTAACCCGTCAGGGCCCAGTATCTCACAAGTTTTGAGGTTAGTTATCTGTCGAAGTGTCCTCAGTCACATGTAAAAATCAAATGGCTGGAATCTTGGCGTTATTGGGAAAAGTATTTGTAAAAATACGCATAGATTAGACTTCGCTAAAATAGTTTGAAAAGGTTCCAGCTTTTGCCCGACCCGACTCAGCTAGTAAATCTGAATTTTCATGTGACAGTAATGAAGGAGTACCATCATTACGTTTTATTCACCGTTTAACATACGAAAACAATATCTTCGTACAAGTATGGCTGTCATATGCCAATTGTCGTTCGTAAGTAGTACGGGATTTAGCGATGGTCTTTTTGTATATATTCCGGAGTCGTTGATATACATACTTAAATGATGCATGTCCTGGTCACATGTATAAGTCCCAGAAGTGTTTCCTACGCTTCAACATGGGCAATGTGAAAACTTATGTATTGACCATGGGGTATTATTATTATTATTCACAAACATCTTACCGGTACATAAGTGTTGTGAAGAAACAATTTCGGGTTTTTTCAAAAATGCAATCATTCACAAGTTTCAATAATTTTAGCATTACATTTGAAAAAGAGAGTAATAATAATAGAATGATACTAAGAAATTGAGAAGAATATTGGATTGATTTTAAAGAAGGAAAGAGGGAAAATAAGGCAATAGAAATAAAGGAGATGTGAAAAACGCAAATAGTTTAATAGGCTTGTCTATGAACACAGAACAAGAATAAACGACTATGTATGAAGGCCTACCATTTCTAATACAGATGCAACCTGCAATGGTGATAAGACAGTCTATATAACGGTGAGCCATGTTTCTGTGACGAATTAATTTATCCACCATCAAACTTATCTCGGACTTTTTATTTCGAAGACTGCAGGCGTTCGTGTAGCACACTTTTAAGGTGCGTTAGGAATCATTCGTTCTACCCATACAGGTGTCGGAAGCGTTATCCTCCAATACCTGACTACCTGAAGACCCTTAATCGAAAGGTTAGTTTCGCCATTTAACTTTCGAGTTCTTAACTCGGTAAGAGCATTCTTCCATTTGATTAGGTTCTAAAGCGTCCAATATGATCGGATACGAATATTTGACTCGCGATTTTTGTGTGCGTTATTCAATATTATGTCGCTTCCCTCAAAACTCCCGAGTACCAACTTGAAGATCCTTCTTGGTTGGGTCTCGCCTCCAACTTATTTACCGAATCGTGTTGCTCTCGTGATATGTACCCCAAAACATCTTCAGGCAGTACATTTCTGATTACAGATTCCATTAACTGCAGATCGTGTTCATGTCTTTTAGCGGGGTCATTGTCTTTTGACTCCCCTAGATTCCAGCTAATGGGAAGTAAATTCTTTTGAAATAGTGTTCACGGCTTTCGACCGTGATGTCAGATTTCGCATATTGACTCCTGGTACCGTACCGTTAGTTGTGTTTGTAACAGTCATAGAGGTCGAGGGAATGACTGACAACAATGTTTGGTGAGGTCTTACTCTAGGACTTTGGCGTAGTAGTTTTGGCTATCTTTCCCACTCTTTTACGTCTCCGCGGCACCAATTATCCATCAGTCGCATTATCTAAATTGGAAATACATGGGACGTTAATGGTTTTATCAGGATCGTCAGCCGCTGCTCTAGCAACTTGCTCACCAATAACCTGTTACAGGAGAACTGAAGACATTTGTCTGATTAAAATGTTTTTGTATATTAATAATTTTACTGTTTTTGTGTGTACTTGTTCTACTAAACTTTTGAACTTGTTTGTTTATATCATTAGTTTCGAACATTTTCGTTTCTTTTGGTTATTGGTTTGGTATTTGGGAGTTTTTGCTCCGGAAACTTACAAAATTGAAGAGAGACATTTGGGTCGACTATTTGTAAATCGCAAATACATTCTGGCGTTTAATTGGAATTCGGTTCTATTGTTAATTTGGGTTCCTGAATTGCAAATACGGAAAGAGCAAAAACTGGGACGTGAAAATATAGTTTCGGGGTAGAGAGCTCGATAACGTGTTTCACAATTGTGTACCTGGCAGGTGCTGTGACAGCACTTGCGACAATGACGCAATCTTCGCCATCAGCACCAGCGCAACCAGCATTTTTATTCTTACAGGTCAAAGCAAATAGGTTCACAGCCTCCCGGAGTAGTAACGTCTTATTTGTACAGCAAATTATGCAAATCCGATGCGGTTATGTTTCGAGCATCTTTTGTATACGGTAAAACTTAAACGGGTACACACCATATTAAACCACTTATTACACTCATCGAAGATTATACCTTCACCCACAGGGGGAAAACAGTTTGGCTGTCAACATTTATAAGTACAACTAACCAGCGTTTTAAAATCAAGGTTTAAAACGCAATATGATCACAATAAGAACACAGCTGCCAGTCAATGAGAAAGAAATTACCACAGGACAATATTATCTCAGATTTCAAACGTTAACGGAAATACTTCAAGTTAAATTGGACCAAGAGTGCTTTTGATGTAAAAACTACATAAAAGCAAGGATAAACACAAATACAAAGTCACTGCAATTTTCGAAACGCGTATTTTAATCGCTGTAGGTTTGTTAGGTGTCTGTTAGATTGCACGGATATTTGGCGTCCTCACATTTAAACCACAAAATCATTGGGTAGTACATTAATTTGTCAGTGTACACATTGTTACGAGTGTTGCTTCAAGTAGTTCAAATGATTGTGCTATGGAACAGAAGAAGCTTTCGCTTAATGGTCTTCCGTTTCTAGTAGCAGTGGATCAACAATACCTCCAGACAGGAAATTAGGTATATTAACGATAAAAGAGGGAAAACAAATTGATAAACCTTACTTACACCTGGCACTCCTCGTGAAGGAGCATAGGCCGCTCACCAGCATTCTCCATCCAACCCTGTCCTGAGCAATCCTTTCTTGCTCCGTCCAGTTGTAATTCATCGTTTTCATATCTGCTTCTATTATCCGACGCGATGTGTTCTTTGGCCTTCCTCTTTTCCGCTTCCCTTCAGGATTCCAAGTTAGGGCTTGCCTCGTGATGCAGTTTGACGATTTGCGTAATGTATGTCCTATCCATTTCCATCGTCTTTTCCTAATTTCTTCTTCAGCTGGAAGTTGGTTTGTTCTCTCCAACACAAGGCTATTGCTCATGGTATCCGGCCAATGGATGTTGAGTATCTTGCGTAGACAGCTATTTATAAATACTTGTACTTTCTTGATGGTGGTTGTTGTAGTTCTCCAAGTTTCAGCTCCGTACAGTAGAACTGCCTTGACGTTCGTATTGAAGATTCTCACTTTGATATTGGTTGAAAGTTGATTTGAGTTCCATATGTTCTTCAATTGTAGGAATGCGACCCTTGCTTTGCCGATCCTCGCCTTTACGTCTGCATCGGATCCTCCTTGTTCATCGATGATGCTTCCTAGGTATGTGATGGACTCTACATCTTCCAGAGTTTCGCCATCAAGAGTGATTGGATTGTTGTATTCCGCTTTGGATTTGAGGATCTTGGTTTTCCCTTTGTGT